TTTAAATATTTAAGTACTATAGCAAGGCCACCTGATTTTAGTGCTTAGCGTAGTAGAAGGAGGTTACGTTATTAGTACAATTAGGCGGTAGTACTTAGAGATTTTAAGCTATTACTCTTCTATAATAATATTATTAATAATACTACTGTAAAGGCTATACAAAAGAAAGGAGCCTAAGAAAGTAGAATAAAGAAGTATTAGAATATATTTAAGTCAGAATTAAGAAGGAAAAAGTCTTTAATTCTTTATTATAGTATTAAATAGAGGTTCTTATAGATAATAATTGTCGCTAACGTAGGGTCTAACCTGAGGCCTTAAGGTACTAACTAAAGTATATTAGTAAAAAATTCTGGCGCTAGGTGCACGTACTACCTGCTATTTTCGCTATTTTCGCTAAATAGTCGCGTTTTATACTTAAGGCGCTTTAAAATATAAGAGGCTATTGTACGTCGGCCTTAAATAATAAAAGGCCGCCTTATACGCCCTAAGTACCCTTTATAAGACTTACTTTTATATATAAGCTAGACCTAATTAGGAAAGATATAATATTTTTAATTAGAATTAAAAATTAAAAGTTAAGTTTATTTTTAGATTTTAAACTAACTAAAAACAGTAGTTAGACTAGTGTAGATTTTAACTAAGAATTTAAAAAGACTTATACTTTCTACGTATATCCTTAAAACTAATCTTATTAAGCCTTTAATACTATAAATATCTACGCTAAAAAATCGTTAATAAGCTTATAATTCGATTTAAGTAAATTCTATATAAGAGTAAGTCGCCGCCTTACCTAATTAGGTGATATAAGCCTTATAATACCCCCTTATAAGGTATACTTTTATTAGTATCTTTAGTATCCTTAGTATCCTTAGTATCTTTAATATTCTTAGTATTCTTAAGAAGCTTACTAATATACCTTATATAATATAAAAAAATCGGACTTACTTTTATTTTATACGCTAATCTTAATTAGGGTTATAAGCACCTATAGCGTCTTAGTCGCCTTAGGCGCTTACGTCGTTAATTTAAATTAGTATATACCGCTTTAGGAGTCGCTAGCTGTTAAATTAATTAATATATAACTTTAGCTGAAATAGCTGAAAAGACGCTGGTAACAGTCAGATAGCTACTATATAGAGCTAAATATATTTACTGATATAGGACGAAAGCTTATTCTACACTACTTGAGATTATTATAATAACTACGCTTTTTAAAGAGATTATATCTAATCTAGTCTCTTTTTTATGTTTTATTTAATAAATCCTATACTTTAGATATATAATATACAAAGATTTACTTAATCTGCTTTTTTATATTAAAGTACTTTTTATATCTTAATTTACTACCTCTCTTGTTATATTATAGTAAGGTAGTGTAATTCTAGGTTAGAAGATAGTTAGCCTATTCTATAGGTCATATAAGTAGGCGCGATAGCGTGTAATAAATACATTATCTTCTCTCTCTTACTCTTACTACCTGTTTAGTTAGTAGTCTTCTACGTCCCTGCTTACTATACACTTTAACAGCACTACCTCACTCCTTTATAATATAAGTGTTTAAGCTGTGGCCTGCTATAGTACTACCGCCTAGTTATATTAATAATATAACTTTCATTCAATACGCTAAGCACTAAAATCAGGTAGACTTTTTAAAGTGATATTTTACTTCATATTATAATACTACTATAAAAAAAATGTAACAAATCTTATAACAAAAGTATATATATGTATATATAGAATTTCAACTTGAAAGTTACTTTTTTATACTTAGGCTGATCTAATTTAGTTTCGGCGAGGCTTTACAGCTTGGAACTCAATTTAGCTTATAACCTACGCTATAAATGTGACAACCAGTGCTATAAAGACAGGGCGTCACGTGGATTACTGCCTCACATACTAATCAACAGAACATGAAGACAAAAGTCGTCTCTTGAGAATCTAAAGCTACAGAAGGGGGAGAGGTCTAGAGGTCAAAGAAGCTATATACTCAGAGAGGCTGTTAATAGAAAAGGGGTTAGCCGAGAAAGCCGAGGGATTTCTTAAAGCGGACAGCTGGAATAGCATGCGACGTCACAATAAACCAACTACTAAATCTCTAATACAAAATACACCTTATTAGAGAGAAAGAGAGAACTATTTCTATTTACTTATTTATAAGATTATAAAGAGATCTAATTATTATAAGAGCCGCTACAGGATATCACATAGATTAGAAGTTTCTTAATATTCCTATGTCTCGCTTATTATTACTAGTTGTAAATTTAAATAACCTTGTACTATTGATATTATTCTGTTATTACTATTATTATATATTAACCTTTGGAAGTAAGTAGAAAGCTATTTGATAATTCATCTAAAATAACGTGATTTAACTGAAGTTAAGATCCAAGAGTTAATACCACTTTGCTTAAGAAGAGGTAGCGTCTCTTGTGGCGCGCTTACCCTGAAAGTATCTGCCTTTAAAGCTATGATAATTCCCACTACTAATCGCTAAATGACTTTCTAAGAGACAAGTAACCGCTACGAGGGTCGTCCGTAGAGAGATAAGCAAAGCCACGATAGCTCCGACTGCTAACCGCTAAACGGCTTTCTAAGGGCTAAGCAGTTACAATAGGCGCTGAAGAGAGGGTCATCCGCAGAGAGATGAGCCATTGGAGCTCGAGGCGCATATCGTGTGTGGAATAGTGACCCTTAATGGGCGGCGGTTAAGTGTCTAATTTTAGGGCTAGGGTTCGAATTAGAAGTGGAGAGCGCTTAAATCATATAGCCAAGAAGCTAGCCAAAGGTTAGAGATCTTGCAATGCGCCCTTTCAAATAAAGGACTGCCACTCGAAGCGGCATTAACTGTGGAATGGAGTATTGAACGCTAGTTCTTACTAAATCTCTATTAGGCATGTAAATTATATAATATACTATATAATATTAAGGTTTAATACTATACTAACTATTTAAACTAAGTAAATAAAAGTATTTTAAAAGTCAGAACTATTATTAAATAAGAGATTAAATAAGAGATTAAATAAGAGAATAAATAAGAGAATAAATAAGAGAATAAATAAGAGAATAAATAAGAGATTAAAGAGATATTTTAAAAAAAGAATAAAGATTTAAATAAGAAATTAAGTAATATCTTATAAAGTAATAATAAGTTAAGGATTAAGTAAAGATTAAATTAAAAACTTAAATAAGTAATAGAACTAATTAAATATAAGGGATCTTAACTATATTTTAATTATAGCGTCTTTTATAATTTGAATTTATCTTATATTTTTATTTATATCTACTGATAAATCTCTTTATTACTTCTTTTTAAGAGTTTCTTTTATAAATTCTCTTTATAATTCTCTTTATAATTCTCTTTATAATTCTCTTTATAATTCTATTTATAATTCTCTTTATAATTCTCTTTATAATTCTCTTTATAATTCTCTTTATAATTCTCTTTATAATTGTTTTATAACTCCCTTTAAAACCTCTCTTAACCCTCTTCTTATAAGTCTTCTTATAATTTCTTTTATAATTCCTGTTATACCTCTTTTTATACCTCTTTTTATACCTCTTTTTATATCTCTTTTTATACCTCTTTTTATACCTCTTTTTATAACTCTTTCTATAATACTCTTTAAACTATTTTTTATAATACTCTAAAAACTACTTTTCAGAACTCTTTTTATAACGATTTTTATAAGTCTTCTTATAATAATTTTTAATACTCTTTAAACTACTTTTTAGAACGCTTTTTATAATACTTTTATAACTTATAACTTCTTTCTAATAACTTATTCTAATACCTTATTCTAATACCTTATTCTAATAACTTATTTTAATAACTTATTCTTATAACTTTTACTAATACCTTCTCTTATAATTACTCTTATAATTTTACTTATAACTGTCTTTAAAACTATTCTAATAACTTTTAACTTCTTTTTAATAATATCTCTTATAAATACTCTTATAACTCTGTTTATAACTCTTTGTATAAACTATAATTCCTTCTAATAATCTCTTTTAATAACTTTGATTATAGCTTCTTTTATCACTCCTTTTAAAAGTACACTTATATTATTATTATTATTATTATTATTATTATTATTATTATTATTATTATTATTATTATTATTATTATTATTATTATTATTATTATTATTATTATTATTATTATTATTATTATTATTATTATTATTATTATTATTATTATTATTATTATTATTATTATTATTATTATTATTATTATTATTATTATTATTATTATTATTATTATTATTATTATTATTATTATTATTATTATTATTATTATTATTATTATTATTATTATTATTATTATTATTATTATTATTATTATTATTATTAAGAATAATAAAGGAACTTAAGCTATAGCTTAGGTCTGGACGTTAAGTAGCTTAAGCGGATCTAATATAAAGTAAGCCTTAAGTAGTAAGGTAAGAGGCTATAACTAATAAGAAAGCGAGCGACAGAAGATTAGTCATGCCTTAAAAGTTTAGGACTAATTAGGAAGCGAGAAAGAAAGCTTAGCAAAACTTGAAAATTTAACCCCCTCTACTACCTAAAATCCGGCATTCAATCTGCCTCACGTGCGAGCGCGAGAATTTAGTAGAACTAACGTTCAATAACGCACAATCCTCCCGCTCTCTTGTACTCAAACCAACGTCAGGCAGCTATCCCCTTCATGCCTCAGGCAAGTAGCGACTCGATTCAAGTCACAACGACCGCCCCACCAAACCAATCTTCCTTTAATAACTGCACGACCCACAATCGAGTTGCAGTACTTACTCAAGTCCGTCCAACAGTACTCAAAGGCCCCGCTGAGGTATGTGATCTGAACGATATCCGCCTTTATGCAGTTCTTTGCTGATTATTTATCTGCAGCATATAGCTCCAGAATTCTTTCCGCACACATCTTTCACATATATACCGCCCTCCACTTTATTTGTAGCGCGGCGCTTCCTTCAGTACTGCTAGAGATATTCCCTGCCACAATGGATTTATCAAAGAGTCTCAGCCATCAGGTTATGGACAGTCAGTTCGATCCCGAAAGCTCATGGATAACTGTCATGTGTCGCGCCTCGCGATTTCAGATTAGCGTGTCCCTTAAAGATCTTCGCGGAAGCTGTTTTGAGCAAGAGTACGCCCAAATGGTTGCCAAAGTCGATGACATGGACGGCGGATCTGATGAAGACTACGAGTCATTGTGTAGCTGGATGGTAGAACCATGCGTTTCTCTCTTTCGAGAACATACCGCACACGTACCAAAGGATCTCACTTTCGAAGCGTTCTACTATCCACCAACCTACCATGTGAAGCTTGTGGTTTCTGGATCTTCCCTTCACGCCAAGATCACTCGAGACCGTCACACTATCAATCTCTACGCCCTGATGGTCCCGTCTCGAGATCTTCCACAGTATCCACAAGTGTGTCGCTCAAAGGCATCAGATATTCAAATCGTCCCTGTGGTTGCCGGAACCGACGACTACATGTCCGAAATCCCCCAAAAAGCCAGTATTGGCGATGGCACAATCAAGTTCTTTAAGCCCGCGCTCGACAAGAAGCAAATAATCAGAGAAATCGAAATGCATGCCATATCCTCAAGGCCGGTTTGAAGGGCAAAATCAGAGTTGCCAAGTTCCACAGTATTGTGATTTCCAAGGACGCTAAGATGACGATCGGTTTACTGTTTGACTTGATACCCTCGATCGGCGAATCTTTGCAAGGCTACAAATGCAAATCGGCCTCAGAGCATCATGCAAAATGGAAACAGCAAGTCGCAGCTATTGTGAAGGAGCTACATGCCCATGATATTGTATGGGGTGATGTTCATCCTGGAAATATCGTCATCGATAAGAATTACGATGCCTGGGTCGTGGATTTCGGCGGTGGATGGGTTTCGGAATTTGTTGATCGCAAGAAAGCGGGTACAAAAGAAGGTGATTGGCAAGGGATTCAAAGAATCTTCGACGAATGGATTACTCGGAAGGAGTGACCTCTGTAACCACGCAGCAAGTGACCCATTTGAAGCAATCGCTTGAAATCGAAGTGTTTCCACCAAGAGGATTAGTTTTACCCTGATTTAATTTCATAAAAATACTTTCAGAATGATAGACTTGTATGAGTTTCAAGCACAGAAAGTCTCGCTTTAGAGTGGTATCCCTGTGCCTCAAATTGGTCGATTCCACCGGGGTCGACTAAGTGACATACAGGCCTTGCGGTGACCAGTATCCTCTTGATTTAGACAGCAAGCTTTCTTGACCCAGCGGTACACATCGGCCTTGAAAGTCAGAGAGTACCCAAAGAACACTATCACTTACCTTTTATATACTACTGACAAAACTCAATGTGTCTTTAGAATATATAGAACAGAGAAGGACAAGAAGAAGGGAACAAGGCGGGGAGGGGGGCGGGGACAGGGCAAAAGCCAGGTAACGGGGTAGTAGAGAAACAGAATACCTTGCCTTAAGAGAGACCTTTGCTCAAGAGAGAATTAGAGGGAAAATCTATCTAAATGCAGACCTGAAAAGAGATCTAGAGGGAGACCTGGAAGGAGAAGGGAGCTCTAGCGAGAGTAAGTGACAGAAAGAAGAAGAGAGAAAATGATGATAGGAGGAAGTATCCTTTATTAGGCAGAAAAATCTACGAAGTACAGACAATAGCAGGGTTTCTTTGATTACAGATAATGTGTGTATTTTCACTCCAAATCTTCAGATATCCATTGGAATAAGATAATCTGGCTTGGAAAATTGCAGATAATCAAGTGTATTATAAACAAAAAAAAAATATGCTAAAAAGACCTTTTTGGAGACGGTCGGGTACCTAAGCTGCCGCTACTGCTAGTCATATTGTGGCCTTGTGCCTTCAGTCTGCCACCAGTATTCTACTTTGTCCCTCTACGCTGCAGTACATCTCCTGAATTGCCCAAGGAGTGCGTCTTTTTCCAAAAGAAAATAAGGTTCCCTCGCCAATATGTGTGCTGTTTGGATTCTCCGGGAGTTTTTGTAGCATGGCAATCAACAATGAACAGAGCAAGCGAAGAATGGGTTTGGCCGAGTTCAATGAGGGGAAAGCAACTCCTTCGCCTTCCCCTCCCTCTCTCCGGTACTTCATTATCTCCAAACCCCATGCATCATAGCCCAAACATCCTTATTCTCCGACTTCACCAACCTCTCGAACAATCCATCTCCTCCCACCATGCCCCGATCCCATACGAGCTGCTACCCCCTCGCCGCAGCCGCCACTCCAGGCTTCACGCCCCCCTCCCCCCTCTGTCCATACCCCCACCCAAGCTGCTCCGCCTCCCTAACCTCCACTCCCAACTCCCCACCCCACTCCCACACCAGCCCTGGATTCTTCAAAAACGCCCTCGCCACCAAAACCGCATCCGCCTTGCCAGCCGCCAAGATCTCCTCCGCCTGCACACCACTCGTAATCATGCCCACAGTTCCCACCTTCGTCTTTTCGCCAAGTCCTTCCTTTTCAAGCGCTTCTTTGATAGCTGCTGCAAAAGGGACTTGGTATCCAGGCCCACTGACGACTTTCTGCTCGGCCATTAGCGCGGCGGTTGAAACGTCGAGGAAGTCCACGCCGGCGCGAGCGAGAGCCAGGGAGAGGGTGATGGCTTGGGAGATTTCCCAGCAGTTGGACTCCGGTGGCATCCAGTCTGTGCCGGGGATGCGGACGAGGAGGGGCATGATTGCGGGGATGATGGCGCGGGTGGCGGTGGTGAGTTCGAGGAGGAGGCGGATGCGGTTTTCGAGGGGGCCGGAGTAGGGGGCTGGGAGGGTGTTGGTTGCTGCTGAGAGGGTGGAGTGGAGGAGGTAGCCGTGGGCGGCGTGGATTTCGATGGCCTGGGGTGGAGGTCAGTTATGGGTTCTCGGAGGGTTGAATGATGGGGAAGTGTAAGGACTTACGTCGAAACCGGCGATGAGAGCTCGCTTGACGGAAGCAAGGAATGATGCTTTGAAGCTGGCGATGTCTTCTAAGGTCATGCATCGAGGGACGCAGGTATGTGGTGCGTCGAATGGGATATCACTAGCACTGATGACATTATCTGGCCATCCACCGACCTAGTTATCCCTTCGTCAGCAAGATGTCTCCAAGTGTCGATAGGTATCTTGGAGGCTGGATCATGATCATGTGACACACCTCAGCAGTAGCAACGGCCTTCCGATTAATCCATGGCGCCACCGTACTTGCCTTGCGGCCAGCATGCGCCAACTGAATTGCAATCTTCTGACCCTGGCTATGCGCAAATTCCACCGTCTTCTTCAAAGGCTCAATCTGGCTGTCTTTCCAAAGCCCAGAATCATGAGGAGTAATTCGTCCCTCGGGCGTCACAGCTGTAGCTTCAACAATAGTCAGTCCTGGTCCTCGCTGAATGATCCCGCCGAGATGAGTTTGGTGCCACATGGTGTGGTGGCCATCGTCAGCGGAGTATTGGCACATCGGGGAGACCATGATGCGGTTTTGGAGGGTGAGACCCCGCAGCTGGAGGGGTTGGAAAACTTTGGGGATGGGGGATGGTTTGGAAGGGTGAACTATGGCAGTTCCGGCTGGGATGATCTGTCGGGGAGTGAAGTATGTGACCTATTTCTGTCAGTCCATGAAGTGATCAATGGGGGGATACCTCGTACATTTTCAGCGGGAACATTTTCGAGAGGATTGATCGGCTTTGGAGCCTTTGCAACAACAGGGGTTCCTGGAGTAGACGACTTCACAATCGTGGAAGGACATTGATGATCAGCCATGGCGAAGTATATGTGTGTTGTTCGATGGTCTAATCGCTGAAGAGTTGCTTCTGAATTGAACTGAACGGAACTCATTAACGTCTCCACATAGAGAGTATATATAACTCTTCTCCAATGCCGTCATAGACATGCCATTCGTGAAACATGCTCTCATGTCGGCAGATGCGTTCTGAATAATCCAGTGGCATTCGCGTCCCGTCAAATAGCGTCTTGTTTACAGCGAGGCGAGAAGGCTGAGTAAGCCACATCAGCATGCAGCTCGCTGTTCGGCGAGACCTCGCTAATTGTCCTGGTGCGGGTTAGTCTCTCGGCCGCTCGCCGCAATCTACGCGCCTTCGGCGAAAAACTATGCCGTATTTGGGAGCTCAAAACTTGGCATTGAGAATAGCCTCATTTTGATGGTTGAGGAGAGCCGCATGGTGAGAATGCTTTGAAATTGTTGCTGAGAAATACAAATTGCTGGTTTCTAGGGAGAGACCTAATGATCAACCAGGGAAACGGCATTTGAGAAAATTGGGCTGCAATTCGAGGATATAAGGCAGCGCAACTGCTCTGAGAAAGAATCATTCGTTCAGCATTAATCCACAGCTTCATCCCGTTGCATCAATACAAAGAACTGTACTCACAACCAAGCTTTCAGCGCCAGTATTTCCTGCAGTCAAGCAATTTTCTGACACTAGGCAAAGACATCTCCGCGACCATGTCCACTTCGCCAAGAATATTCGTAACAGGCGTCTCTGGCTATGTCGGCGGCCACACAGTCACGCGCATGGTTGAAAAACATCCAGAATGGACCATCGCTGCTCTTGTAAGGAACAAAGAACAAAGTGATATCGTCCAAGCTCGCTGGCTAGAAATCGAGACCATCATCGGTGACTTGGATGACAAGGAATTAATGATAAAGGAAGGATCCAAAGCCGATGTTGTCCTTCGTAGGTATTGGCTCTTGGCTTTCATATTGAGAAGGGCTGATCTTGGATAGAAACTGCGTCTGCAGACCACGTTTCAGGTGTTTTGGCTTTGATCGAAGGGTTGAGCAAGAGAGAGCCAACTCCGGGGTATCTCATCCATGTTGGCGGCACCGGAATGCTCAATGACGTCCCCAATGGATTCGGTAGGTATCTAGATCTGCTGTTGGTAGGACGTGCTAACACAAGCAGGTCAACCCTCGACCAAGGTGTACTCAGATATTGCCGACTTGCAAGAAATCACATCTCTCCCAGTCGAGAACCACGTTCATCGGGATGTGGACATGGCAATTTTGGAGGCGCAGAAGAAGTTTTCTGTGCCTACTGCCATTCTGTCACCACCAATGATCCATGGTGTCGGACAGGGTCCTCTGAAGAAAAGAAGCATTCAGGTCCCGTTCCTCATTGAGGCAGTCCTCAAACGTGGCAAGGGATTCCAAGTGCTTGATGGAGAGAACATCTGGGACCGTTAGTATTGATTTCCATCAGTTTTTGCTCGGATATTGACCACTATTCAGAAACACACATCGATGATGTCGCGGCTGCGTTCATCCTGCTTGTCGAAGAGGCTCTGAAGCCAAACGGCGGAGCCGCTCAGTGGGGACAGGATGGATATTATTTCGTCGCTGGTGCCCAATTCGTGAGTATCTCAGAAGTAACAACATCTCCAGATGTGCACATGGCTTACTACTATTCAGAAATGGGGAGACGTATCCAGAGCTGTCTCGAAGATTGCTTTCGACCAAGGCTTGATCAAAAGCCCAGATGTTGACAAGCTTTCGGTCGCTGATGCTTCGGAATTGCATCCTTGGGCTCCACTGATCTGGGGAGGCAATTGCAGAAGTCGATCAGACAGAATTGAGAAGCTCGGGTGGCGAGCCAGGAGACCGCTGTTCCAGGAGAGTCTGCCGGCTATGATAGCCGAAGAAGCGACGACTTTGGGAACACAGTCATCCAAAACTACCTTTGATAAATAGGGGCATGATGACTTTGACTGGTATCAATAGAGATGTTGAAAATCTTTTCAAAACAATGGGTACTCCGAGTTACCTTCCCGCAACATATCCGTGTCGTGAAAGTGGTACCCGGATTTAGTTCGGTACAGGTCACGAACTTCGTGTACAGGCTCAATTCTGGACTCGATAGATCACTGCTGGTCAGAAAATGAGGACTAAGCCATCCGTAATCGGATGAAAATGATAGATGGCGTTGAAGAATGAAGATGTGCTCGTATATAAAACCCTGAACGTTGTCCATGAGGCCAGAAGCGATGATGACACACAACGGTCTAGAACGAAGGATTGGAGGGTCAGGCAAGCCATGCATGGCAAAGTACGAGTCTCATCTAAATATACGTGATAGCCCAGTCCTCGGGAAAGCAACAAAACACGACAGACATATCGTCGGGACAAGAAGAACTGGCTCGCCGCCCTCATGAACTCTCAGGAGGGAGACGGCGAGGGAAGCGCCGCATCGCAACATGGCCGGCCATGTCACGGCTGTCGCAAACGAAAGGTGCGCTGCGACAAGATGCGACCGTGTTCCAACTGTGTGCGCTCCAAACAATTGTGCACGTACGAAAGCAGTGACAGCGCCCTCGGTTCATCGCGGGATGTAAACAATGCAGCGATGTCGACAGATGCAGAGCTGCGAGAACGGCTGGAGAGGCTGGAGGCTCTGATGAAGTCGATGATGGTCGGCGAGACGACCCCCGGACGGTTGGGTACCAGCAGCCCGGAATTCAGTAATCCTTCGCTAAGAGGCTCTACCACACCCACCTTGACTGCACCTGGAACACAACAGTATCAAACAGGTATATCTGCAGTATTCTCGGGCGTCGAGAGATCACCTAATCAGAATGAAAGTGGTGCACCAGTTGGTCAGATCTTATTTCAAGATGGCTACAGTGCCTACTTCGACTCGGACTTTTGGCCCGGTCTGATCACCGAGGTATGTCCGTCTATCCCGATGTTTTGTTTACATCCCTACTTATTGCTGTCCAGGTTGAAGATCTGAGACAATTGTTTGATGATCCAATTACCGATAATAATAGTTCTTCTCATTGGACTTCGATGTCCGTACTGGGCATGCCTTCTCCATTATCTGGATCGGAGTTCGGCTTAGCACACCCTTCAATTGAAGAAAGCAATATGCTATGCAAATACTTCTTTGAAACAGTAAACCCATTTACGCGAGCTCTCCATTCTTCATTATTTGCTCGCGAGTTGAGCATGTATCGACGCGGTACTTTCCACTTACCACATGAGTTTGAAGCACTACTCTTCTCCATTTACACCTTGACAGTGAATAGCCTGCGTGCGGAAGTGGTCGAGAGGATCTTTTCAACCTCGAAGGATGACCTACTGTCTCGGCTGAAAGTGTCAACTCAGGTTGCTCTAACGAGAATATATTTCCACAAGACCGAGAAGATTCATGGGCTCGGCGCTCTTTTACATTACTTGGTAAATAAATCCCTACACTCAATACAAGCAAAAGCTCATTACTTCAGACCTTTCTCTTCCAACAAAACCTCTACAGAGATGCAGTCCCTCTACTCTCAATTGCTGTTCGTCTCGCTCAAAATATGGGCATCCAGCGCGACGCACGACACTTCCCCTTCTCACCCTGGGTAACCGAGATCCGAGCCAGAATATGGAACCACATCTGCATTCTCGACGCCCAAGCCATCGCATACTACGGAGCTGAATCCTGTCTTCCTCCAACATCCGACTGTCTCCCACCCAGAAACGCAAACGATCGAGACTGGCACGCTAGTCGATTTGCCAACCCGTCATCAGTACCTCCTAATGTCTTGGGGTTCAAAGACATGACGTTTGCTCTGGTACATCGCGAAATAGCTGATGCGACTCGGCTACTCGCCACAATTGACGGTACTGATTTGGATAAACGGCATAAAATCCTAAGTCAAGTTGAAGCGTCACTCAGCCAGAAATACCTTGGTAGGATAGATCGAGCAAATCCATCACAAACAGTAATTGCTGCACTCGTCGAAGTGCGCCTGTCAAGTCTCAGACTCTGTCTCCGCCATCGACAGACTGAGACCTTAAAAGTCCATCCTTCAGATCCGCAAAGACATCAGTATGTTTCGCCCTGGCCCTTCTTTGACTAAGTCTCAAAAATACCTGCTGACTCTGCCAGAGTGTTCCTCGCAGCCGTCGAACTTCTCGAAGCAATAACCTACCACATCAGCAGCTTCACCCCCCTCAACTGCGAATGGCTTTTCTCAACCCCTGTCCCCTTCCTCGCCACCTCCATCGCCTTAACAGACATGCGGCACGCCACCCGCCAAAACGACAAAGAGCGTGCACAGCGACAAATCGACAACGTCTTCTCTCGCTTCTCATCTTCCCCCGTCGCATCAACCAAAATGTGGAAAGTCCTCATAGAATTACGCAGGAATATGATGGATGAAGGCACGCACAGCTCAACACAAGTACTCGTAGGAGGAGGAACTGTCGGTAGTTGCGAAAGTACAACGATGCCTGGAGACACAGGTGGTGGAGCGGGCAGTGGTGCTGCGGCGTTTGGGTTTGGTGATGATTTGATGTTGGATTTTGGTGGTGGTGGGACGGGGCCTGGGAGGAGGGATGGGGATGGGGATGGGACCTATGATGAGTTTGCTATGATGGGGGATTTGCAGAATTTACCGTGGTATGCTTGGACTGAGGGGGGATCGAGTGCGTCATGAAATCAGAGAAGGGATGCTGGCTAATGTTTTCTATGTAGGATGAATAATCAATACAATATGTAGAGCAGTGCGACGACGGCAGTTATCTGAGGACAGATGCTACGCGTCAAGAAGCAAGGCCTACGTCGACCAAATATAAACGAACAACAACGACAAGATAGAGACAAAAGAAAGAACAATCAAGGAAAACGATCATACACCACCACCACAACACACCACCTTCAAGTCAACCAACCCGCCCAAGGCTACTTATCCCCAAACTGACTAAACTCCCCCTTCTTCCGCCCCCTCAACTTCTCCATCGGATCCTCCTTCTCCTTAACCCAAACCCTCTCCCCACCTCTAACCACATCCCTACACCAGCGTCCCCCCTTAAACCTCCCCACCACCCAATCCCAACACTCAATCACCGGGCCCGTATAATCCTGTCCCCTCCTCTCCTCATCCCCACTCCGACAACTACTCTCCAGCACACCATCCTCTCCAAGAATAGGATCCAGCTCCATAGGCTCGGACTTGGGACCTTTGGCATCCGGGTATGTGAAGAGCGAGATGATCGAGTTGGAGAGGCTGGAGCCGACGGAGGATTTGATGTAGCCGCTGGAGAAACCTTGGCTTGTGCATTGCGTTTGTAGGGTTTTGCACATGTCTGCGAGGCCGCGGTTGATTACTAGGGCGTCGCAGCGATCGCAGTTGCAGACTTTGAAGCCGGCTGTTCGTTCGCGGCCTGCGACGCAGACACACGAACCGCTGGCTTCGACGGCGACGGTGGTGTTGTCGCGTGTCATGCCTGCTGTGGTTATGGAAGATGGGGAAGCCTTGGCGCGTTGCACGACATAGTCATCGTGGAAGGGGAGCTTTGTGGACTCGCGGGCGCCGAAGTATTTGAGTTGGTCGATGTTGCGGCAGAGAGAGGTTATGTCGTTGTTGTTTGGGGTGGGGCCCGGGCGGAAACACCAGCTCTTTGACGAGGTTTCGGGGATGTCGACCAGTTGCGAGCGGTAAGGGAGAGTGCGGGAAGTGCAAATATCCCGGCGGGTGATGGTGGTATTGTTGGATCCATTGGAACTTTGGTCCTGCTCTGGAACTTTGTCCAAGGTGGAAGTTGTGGTGTTGGTTGGGACGCCGGCACAATTATTCCTATCTGCCTCTGTATTTGGCATGAGAGACGAGAAAGTAGACTCGAATTTGTCGACAGTGTTGTCGTTGGAACGCTTGGCAATCATTGATTGTGCTCCATATGTTTTCATTGAAGGGTGTGACTCAGTGCAGATTCTGGTTTGCAAGCCGTTCTTATGCTCATCCCATGCGATGTCCTTGCAGGGTGGTGGGTTGGCTGACTGAGGGACAACTCCTCCAGCGACGAGGTCAGGAGTCGTGGCAAGGAGGAAGAACAGTAGCTTCATGAGAGCTGACTTGGAGATCTGCATCTTGTGTGATTGTATTTATGTATTGTCTGATATGTTGAGAATTCTTCAGCGAGCTGCAGTGAAGGGAAGAGTGAGATGAGAAGCTATGTGTTAGATGAGGTTGTTTTGTGGGATATGTGAAGCAGAGAATTATTGTGCGGGATGAAGTCTGTGCTCTGAGGGAGGCGTCTACTATATAGATGAAGACTTTGAATATTGACTGGTGCATTGAGATCTGAACTGGAGTACAGTATTTTGATGTGGACTAGTACCTCGCTTAATAGCAGAAGTCAAGTTTGGGACCTAGTTGATTAGCGGCATGGAATCGTAATTGCTGGAATGTTGCACGACTAGCTCGCTTGTGCACTATCCTCTGGTCATCCGCTGAACAGTATTATTCCAGAATAAAGCTTTACTCGTTGCTCAACGCGCTACTTGCAACTTTCCATTCTCGCTATATTCCCTCGCTTGCTGCAATCGCTTGGACACAAGTCAATCTGCTTGTTCCAGACTACCCAATGCAGCACCTTCTTACCACCATCCACCATCTTCTCAATTCTGTTTCCAGCCCAGTATCAAAATGTGTGGTCATCCCCAAGACGTTAATCCAGTGTATTCGATCCTCCCCGAATATTCTGAAGCCGATTTCCCACATCGTATCGGGTCAATGTATACAGAACCCGGTCATGCACGCTATATTTCCTCACTATGTCTCTCAGTATCCACATCAAAAGTTTCTCCCTGTCCAAAGTTGTTGGGTATCGGTCCATTCTGTCGTTGAGGATAAAGGTCGCGAAAGACAATATCTGTTGTACCGTATAGACGGGATGTCTGCTGGTAACCCACTTGACGAGAACCCAATCGCCATGTTCGTGCTCTTTGACCAAACCCCAATCTACCTCCCACGATGCTCTATATTTATCGATTATAGAGTTCTCAAAAGGGCTGTAATGGTCGTAGATCGGTCGAGAGTGAGCATATCGAAGCCCATTCGATCCGATCAAGGTAGTTTCAGAGTCAAGGACAGGTGGGAGACACCGCGGCTGTTCACGTCGCCGGAAGTTCTGAAATGTGCGTCTCTGGTGCTGTTCTAAGGGCGTTATTTCGATGTTATCTGACATTGTTCTTCAATCTGGGCTGGGCTCTGTTGCTGACGTATGCTTGCTGGTGAGCAAGCTGATGGATGTAAACTTTGGGATATTGATGTCGAGACTGCGGAATGCAACGCAAATGGCGATATGATGTTTCTTGTCAATATATAATTGTTGACTGGTACACGCTTCGACCATCGTAAGTACTTTAAATGTATGGGTTTTACGTGCAAGAGGAAGGAACTGCCCTGCCCACCCGCTTCCCCAGACGGGAATCAGAAAGGGCGTCCCACGCGAAACGTCTATCTTTCCAGCTGTTGCTCAGCATCCTAAGAGGGACCTTTATTTACCATCGTGAAAAATACTTTGGAAATTTGGTGATTATACCTTGCCAGCCAAAATCTGAGCTGCGGGGTGGCTGCCGCAAACAAGGACTAGGCGTGCAGAGGCATCTTTCTCTGCTAAGTTAGGAGATCGGCTGAACTTTTCCAGTCGCTACCAATTGGATCAAAGCGTCGAAAGGGGGTGGGGGAGAAGTTTTCTGTCCCATGTATTCTTGCGCAAGTCGACCTAGCATAATGTCATAAATGGCTTCAGCGTAGTCGATAGTTTTCTCGTTCTTAGCAAAACGGGAATAGACGGCCGTTCGTTTACACTAACCCTAAACGGACTAGCGTTCGTTTTAGCAACCTAGAACAGCCGTTAGTTAGTTAGATCTCTAACGGAACAGGGTTGTTTAACCCCGTTTTAGTATAGTTCCCGCTAAGCCTTATATAAGTAGACTATACTACCCCTTCTAATAACTTTTAGAGGAAAGTCAGATATCTAAGTATTAAACTCTACTAATCTTTAGTATAAATATATAAAAATAACATTAAATTCAAGCTATAGCGTAGATCTTTTATTTAACGTATTATTTATTATTTTCCACTGAGTAGTTATTAAGAAAAAAGGGATTAAAGTTAAGTTACTCTTAACGCGATTTTTATAAGGAAACCTTATCTTTAAAACTATTAAAATACCTTCCTTAACTTAACGTCGACTTACAAATAACACTAATAACTACTCCAGAGGCTCTTTAACTCCTAGGAGATATAGAAATCATTAAGTATATCTTAATTTCGCTCCGCTACCTACAAAAGATAATATTATACCTCTAATTCCTATTAATTTAGACCTAATAACTTATAAAGCACCTTCAGAGCCTCCTAGCCCTCTAGAGCCTTCAGTATATAAAAACAAACGTTAGGTATAGATATTTCAGCATATACTAAGTAAGAATATTAATAAGAGATACTACGATAAGGCTATTAGTAAAGAGATATAGCGCTATAGCTACTATTCAAAGGTTTACTATACAAATAGTAGCATATAGTCTATAGAGAAGCATTTAGCTACCTATAGATTAAAGAAAAGTAATCCCCGGGGAACTACTATTACTTATAGTAGTTCTACGCGTTAATAACCTCTCTCTGTTAGTTTTAAACGTTAAGTTAAAATAGTAGACGAGTCTCGATTCAAGCGTCGGAATATAGGAGTAAGTAATAGTAACTCTATTAACCTAGATAAGCTAGAGCTTCTCTATACTAGGTAATATAAGTATTCTCACCTGTTTTTAATACTAACTTTCTATAGATTTATCTTAATATACTCTTAACCTTTACGACTAGTTAAAAGACTCGAATTCCGTGAACTCTTTAAATACCTCAACTCTGATATTATATGTTAGTTACTACACTCTCACTCTACAATTAGTATATAAGTAGAACGACAATTTAAAGCTCATAAGAGTAGAGTTAAAGATAATATTAAAAACGCCCTTTCAAAGATATACGTCTCTTATGATATATAGACTTTAATAAACAACCTCCCTATACTTACGATTATCTTCTATTACATCAGAGCTAACGGAATAGTAAAAAGAACTATAGGAGGAATAAGAGAGGTCTCTAGGAATAAAACAAGAAAGAATCTAGCCTCTATAGTAATAGAGGTAATAAAGGATTAAGAGGTTCAAGGGAAATTAGGGTATTTTATAATAGATAATATAGTAGATAATAACGTAATAATAAGATTTCTTACTCTTAGTAAGTCTACTACTTTCCTTATAGCTTTTACTAATAATTTAAGTGAGATCTTCATAAGTCCTTTAGTATTCGATACGACCCTACTACTTACCGATTACACTATACTAGCTATATTATTAACCTCACTACGAAAGCCTTCCTTTTTATTACTAACGATAAATCGATTAAATCTACAGAGAATAAAATAATAACAAACCGATAGCTGTAATAAATAATAGAAGAGATAAGGGAATAGTATTAAAAGGGACCTCTTAGGAAGCTTTATAATTTCGTTGTTTTTATATAACGTAGCACCTTATAGCTCTAAAGGTTCCTTACCTTATCTAGGAATCGTTACCTCTATAGAGATAACTCTACGTGATAGAACTCTTAGTTTTTAATACTTAAGGTTACTCTATTATTATAAGAAGCAATTAAGGAATATTTTACAACTTATAGAGATATAGAAATCGAACTAGATTACCTGGATACTAAAGATTAGAGGATTTTAGGTGAGATTAAGAGCTTTTTAGGAGTCCTGAAATTATCTACTAAGTGTCTTAAAGGTTATAGAGCCTCTCTTAACTAAGTTCTCCCTTTAATAGATTTTATACTTACTTACTTTAAGAAAACTAAAGAGAGGTATTAAGATAACGTTAAGATATTTGCGATAGTTAATTTAGGATAGCAGAAAATAGATAAATATTATAGTAAAAGTAACGAATCTCCAGCTTATACTACAGCCCTCTTATCAAATCCCGCACGTAAATAGTCGTATATTAAGAAGTTCTAGAGGCCCTCTTAGTAAGAGAAAGTAAAGGCAGCTGTTCAGAAGCTCTAAGATAACGAATATAAGCTAAAATCAACTATTCCGACTTCTCTGACACTTTATACCTCTTTTACTAATAAGTTCGAGCTCTAGCTACGTCAGATTAATACGCTAACCCTTATTACAGATAAATATAACTAATATTATAAGACGGAGTATATTTATAGCTATAATAACGCTATTAAGTAGTAGCTTAAGCCTGCGTAATAAAAGGCCTTTCTAAACCTCTCTAAAATAGCTCTTAATATACTCTCACTTCTAGTGATATCTAGCGATCTAGAACGCGCGTTTTCTATAGTAAAAATCACTCTTTTAGATCGTCGGAATAAGATAGGTATATATATAATTAAATATCTAGAGTATTTAAAGTCGTGGACCGGTCTAATTAAGTAGGAAATTAAAGCTAAAGATATAGAGGTTCAACGGAATACTCTTTTAAAAGGGCTAGGAGTAGAGGAAGTAACTAGAGACGTAGTAGAGGTAGATTTATAAGTAAGTTTATCCGTTCGTTCTTAGTAACAACCTCGTTCCGTTAGTTTATATACTTATAAAACAAACGGCAGTTCGTTATTAGGTATAGAAACGTCAGTTCGTTCAAAAGCCTTAAAACGACGTCGTTGAACAGCCGTTCAACTATCGACTATACTAAATGGCTTCCTCGTCAAAGTTTAGTCAAGCTAACGATCGGTACCTGTATTCTGAGCTACAGCCTAGACTAGCACGAAGAGTTAGATATTACGACTAGATTCTGGTTTATCCATGGTTTAAAATAGTGTATTCTGAATACCCAGTCCAAATGTAAATTGCAGGAGAAAAGTTACACAGAATATCTCTCAAAATTTTCAAAAGCAAACAGTTCCTTCCAAATCAAAACTTCCAAGCATACCCGGACAAGTTACCACATATCAAACCATCTGAAGTCACGGAATAATCACCATATTCACCATAATCACCATAATCACCATAACACCAAGATGGCCATCGAAACTATCACCAAGATTCCAGCCAACGAGCCAAACAAGTCCAGCTTCAAAACTCGCCCCACTCAAGCAGTGAAATATCGCGCCAGCAATTTAGTCATGCCTCAGTATGTCCGAGAATATCTCCTCAGACTCCCTCTCCAGCGAAGAAAGATCGAAGTCGAATTGCGCCAGCGTGGAGAATTCGTCCATGCCTTCTCGTGCTTTCATTGTGGATTTGCCATGGATGAGAATAATATCTGTATCGCATGTGGTCTAAGTTCCTTGCGTATCTTAAAGTGGATACGTATGCAACCTGAGGTGTATTCCCAGTTGGGGGAGGATGACATCTCCGAGTATGCGGCAGAGAAGGCGGCAGAGGAGCAGCAAGGGAAGCAAAAATACCACACTAGGTCTAAGAAGTTTATGTTGGGAGAGGATGCCGATTAGATACGCTCCTCGCTTTTGGAAGGCTGCTCCGTATATTTGGTCATGGTTCTGTTGTGTATATCTTAGCAGAATGGAGTCCACTGGCATCAAGTGATTCAAGTCTTATTAATGTCTCGTATAATTTGCTTAGAACCGAATCATCAGCACGGTACAAAAAACTATATAATGGTCATAAATGCTTGATTAATATCTAGCGTGAATTGCTACTGCCTCTGCAGCATATAAGGTCCCTGAAAAATGAAGACGTGAGAAGGAATGATGGGCACGTGACTATGCCTTCTTTATTTCCACAGGGCACGAGAAAGAGAAGCTGTCTAATTTAAAAATATATGGGGGGGGAAGATAGGAGCTCAGATTCCCTCCAACAGGGAATATGAGACAGGCGTGGGACGGCAGGTTCCATTGTTTGAGGAGACTTGACTGCTCTCGCTTATCTGGATCTAACGTATTTCATAACAAAACAGAACTTCCCTTCAAGTCATACAGATCTGGACCATGAAACCTCCAAGATAGTCACTAAGGTGTTGTTTATAGTGGTTTACTGAGAAATTCGGCAATATAATTTCCCTCAAAGTCGACAGCTAGTGCTTCCGTCCATATCACTCGATTTCTGCACCAATTTTCATACAGGAATACTGCACTCATTTTGCGAAATTGGTATGAGTGGATTGATCATTCGAAGCTGCTCTGCTCAGGGTATGATTGAATTACTTAGGTTTAGATCCAGTTACTGCAGTTCCTCGTTTCGTCTCTGCTTTTGCTTCGCCGCTCACTACGCTTACGAGAATCGTGGATCCACGAACGATGAGCTGGTTGTTTCCAAATCTGCGACCCAATGTGCTGCAACTGCGTAAAATCACAGTCCAGAATTCTTTGAGTACAGAAAGTATATACTGAAAAGCATGGAAGCGATGACACAATAGAGATAACAGAGGTAAAATTCTGAAATTTAGTGCATGTCAGAAACGCAAAGTTTGTTGTTCTTGTAAGAAACATCAGATTGCAGGTGGAACTATCGTGGCACATTTTGTGAGAAGGTCAAGAATCAGGAAATATTTGAAAAGAAAAAGTCGTTTTTACTTTCGGTTATGCAATGGCCCAAATAAACCTTTCCAGAGACCTATTCAGCTGCTTAGGTGCCGAGAGTTGTATGCATGGCCGACCTGGGCCGCCTTAAAGCAACCTCCACAGCCTCGCCCTTTGAGTGACCATAAACGCCTCTTCCTAGGCAGCCATCATGGGCTCCAATTTTATAAGTTGATTGTCACCTATCATATCTCGCCAAACAATCTTGTTATAGGTCAGGCGTACTGTTTTTCAGTCGGCCTTGTGCATGGTGCATGAATGCAACCGAATAAGCCTCAAACCAGAGACACACCTCGGCCAACACCGACAGGTCTTCGAAGTTAATAGAGAAACGTCGAAAACACCACTTCGTTCGTCACACAATTCTGTACCGTCCTGGTCTGGTTACTTTACTTTCTCATCATTCAAAATGCTTCCTATCTCCCATCATCTCGAGCAAGCTCGGGGCTCACGTACACGTCGAAGTCTGCAGCCACCTCGTGTACACACGGAGAGACCAGCACTGAAACTTGGAGAAGTTTGCGTTGGCTGTATTGTGTGGCTTCCGTCAAAAGACGTTACTCAACAAACTATTCGATGTATCAACAATGGCTGCTGTGACCAAGAAGAGCTTAATGATGGCGGTCACAACCATCCTGTGGTTGTCCTCAAGATCACGCAGAAGAAGGGCTCTGATGTACTTGGCGACCTCGTTTGTACTGTTGCATGTGTAAGGATTTGGTTTCTGAAATGTGGGAAATTGTGCTGATAATTCCAGGTCACGACATTCTCTGACACAACACTATCAAAGTATGTCTCGAAGCGCCAGTATAAAGTATCATCCATTCCCATCTACGATGCAGAAGCGACTCCAATTCCATCGGAATTAGGTTCAAACCTGATCCAACTGAGAATGGAAGAGGGCAGACTGAAGAAACAGTCGTACGTTCGCTTGCAGCACACCTACCAAGTTCCCCTCTCAATGCTACGGCAATATACATTTCGGAATTCCAGAGCTTTTAGACAAAGACTCTCAGAAGATAGCTACAAGACGCTGATGGGACTACTGGCCCGGACTCCCGAGAAGTATGATGTTACAAAAACTCTGCTCGAGACGAAAGATCGACGATTGCTGGCTCTGGCGAGATCGGAACTTCCTCCTGTTCGCCGAACACGGCCAACACATCAACCAGTACGTCCTGCCAGGATTGCATCTCACTCCAATCACTATGGATCCTACGGAACGACAATGGTAGATCAGCCAATTGGCCAATACCTCCCACCAACGCACACGTATCAAGGTAGGGGCTACATTCGGCGAGGATACACATCACCAGGTGATGGAAGCGAAGAATCGTCGGCTGCCTTCACGTTGGTGGTTGTAATAATAGTTATTGGCTTGTTATTATGGCAAGGGACAACTTTGAAGGTCTGAAAGTAATTGCAAAATTGGGCGCCGCAATTCTGGCAGAGGTAGCTTTAAAAGGAGTCAGTAGTGGTAGATATAGCACAGTTTCCTTGGGTCTTGTACGTCACGTCGTTGGTATTCCTGTTGGCTGATTGTAAATGGATGAATAACGAAGAGATTTAATAGCCGTGACCCTACTGAGATTTTTTGCTTAATTGGTGAGATTGTACTCCATCGGGACTTTTCTCCAATTGTATCTCCACGAAATCAGATTGCCGTAGACTCTCTATCTAAGGGCCAGTCACACGCAAATTCCATGGGCATAGTTCCGTTTATAAGAAAAAATTGTCACAAATCTGAACCTCCCTGAATTGTCGTGGACTGTCGGTTCAAGGCAAGCGGATCTTGTCTGCCTTTGTATCGCTTAGTTCAGGAGTAAACATGCAGTGAATCTAAAGGCTTGCTACTCATCCTAACATGTTATTTCAAGTTGGGTAGCATCCAAGCTTACAAAAACTTCTTACTATTGCTTAAAGATGTCGTCTATGGCAATACTGCCTGAATCTAGATCGATTTGATCGTTTGAGTCTCCGTGGAGTCACGTGATTACTGGTCGCTCCTTCGCGTGGGGAACAAATAGCTTGGTGTCATGCAAAACGACCAAAACATGATGTCTGAGGATACTTACAGTTCGATATGGAAGAATACCAGTTGTTCTTTAGATTTCAAATGGTCGGAATTTAGAATGAGCCAGATACCTTCAAGTGATGGAAATGGCTGAAGATCGCAGACTCAAGAAGTCTGCAGAAGGAAAAATTGGCGGACTATCTTTAGCTGACCTTCTACGATCTATGACTTAGATTTTTAACGTGTATACTTATTTCTTCAGTTAACTGATCATCAGCATCATTGCTGCGGTATGCATTCCCAAGAATGGCTCCGCCGACAATAATACTTGGCAGTAACCTCAACCCCTTGCAGTCGAACTCCGAGGCGCAGCAACATGCGGCCATAACGGTGACCTGCTTTGAAAACATCAAAATCTCATATAACCTTCGTGATTTGTTCCGTTGAACAAAGTAGAAAGGCTGCCAGCAGGAGCTGGAGCTTGATTTCACGAGAGATGCAGCTTCGGAACGATACAATCATTCACATCTGAAAAAGGTCAAGCAGCTCTCGTATTACATACCTTGAACTTAGACCAATCATCATGTGTCTAATAACCTGGGGTGCGTTATACTGGGCAGTATCAGTTCAAAAGCATGGGTAGGCTTGGTCTGTGGTACTTGTAAATACCCTGCGAATGAGAACCTCGTTCTGCACGATGGCTCCCAAAATAGACGAGGCATGCTACAATACATCATCATTGATCGAACGTACTAATCTCTTCATTGAGATCCTAGGTAACAGTTGTGACAACCCGCATATTTGTTGGTGATTGCGAGGCGTTCTGGGGAAGTCAAACTGGCACAGCCACTCATGTTGCTTCGTGCAGGGGTTGGGAATGTTGGTGTTGCAAACTTGAACTCGATACAACGACTATCCCATTGGACATTTAAGGTTATTTACAAGGTTGATGATCCGCATGAGCGCACCTGCGCCTTAATCCGTACATGTGTCATCTCGTTTTCAAGGTAGAAGGCGTTGGTTTGTTGTTCATCTGGTTTCGCGTTATGAGGGATCCTGCCGCTCACTTTTCGGTCGAGCGATCATTCTTTCTTGATGTCTTTATGAAGCACTTGACATGAAAACTCACCTTAATATCGCAAGTCATGCGCTTTTCCAGTTCGTTCTTTTGCAATATTTTCCTCTTCGCTACGAATGTTGTGAGCGAAGTTTTCCCATGGGTGGAGGATGACCTGATTGGAGGCCAGACCATAAATGTCAAGTACATCGATGAGGGTAGTACACCTTTGCTCGTCGATCTATCGGTTTTTGAAGTAGTGATATTCTCTGGAGGAAATGAATCCCCTGTAAGTGCGCCCATATTATTTCTTCAAGTAAGTGTGTCGGGTAACATGTATTGTAAAGGTGACCCTTTACACGTCACGAAGGTTCAATTTCTCGGAAATTCGTCAACTTGACGATCCAAGTGGCAACGAAATGGGATTCAAGGACTGGTATACGATCCCCATATCTGTACCTTGGTCAATTGGGCCGAATATAGCCCGCGGATAGTACGTTGCCGATCCATTTGCAAGGACTCACTGATGCATTGTGTTTCAGCTTCCTCGGATTTAGATCTCATTTCAAGCAGAATGAAAGCATCGAGTACATCACATATACGGCTCGCGTTTCTATGCTCAACAATGGATCTCTTTCGTCGGAAATCGAAGAGGCGGCAAAAGCGGACGGACAGGCGGGGGCCGGACCGCCCAGCTCCTGGGTTTGCAAAGGGCAACCATGCTCTCGATCGACAGCACTATCGTGGGTATACTTAACCCAACCAAAGCCCAAGAAGTTCGTAGAACCGCTCAATGAAAACCAAAAATTTGCGATAGGACTTTCTACTACAATTGGAGGACTATTTCTGATCCTCCTCGCTGGGATAATTTGGCGCTGTAGGCAGATACGGTCGGAGAAGAAGGATTCTAAAAGGAGATGGTGGAACAAAATACCATCCCCAGAAGCTGGGGCATCGGAGCTACAGGGTCGCAATGGGCCATATACAACTGCTGAGCTAGGTGGTGAGGGAAATCGCGGATCGGTATTCGAGCTACAGGCAGGGAGTATACGAGAAGGCAGCGATGGAACAGGCGACAAGAAATGTGTTTCATCTATGGAGGCGTTTGACTTTGAAGAGACACAAAGACTGCACCCAAGCGGTGATAATGTTAATAAAGTTGTGGGAAAGGAGCTAGCAGAGACACCGAGAATGGAGATGGATGGAAATGAGGCGAGAGATATCGATGAAATCTTACCAGTGGATCCTAAGCGGTCGAAATTCGGGTCAAAATACACCAAGAACCGAGACAGAAAACACAGCTCAGCACCAATACCGGATGCAACGACACGGCCACTTCGAGACACTTCCCCCCACGAATCTACAGCAATGCTGACATGATCCTCGCCAGATCCCTCAAGTACACCGGCTCCTGAAGTCGTCGTTACAAGACCGGCTTCATTTCCGCCGCTGCAACGTAATGCTGACTACGAAGCGATACCCAGAAAGTCTCCTAGAATGGCAGATGCGGATCTGGAGGCTCTTGCAGGGGCGTTCGCACCGCCAGCACCACGTCCAAAACCACCTCCGAAAACCGGTGGATGGGTGTATCGATAGAAATTCAAACACTGTAGAGAAATATAAGTCTTTGTTGCATGCCTGTCAAGACCAATTTTCGTCAGCTATTGACTAAGTAGATTGTTTTCGAAGGATCCTGGGGGTCTACATACAGCGGCGCTAAAACATTGCAACAAGCAGAAATATGAGACTCTTTTGAGGAAGTTATTGATGACGTTTTGACTATGGTTTCAAGTCCTTCCTCCGATATATAAAAACCTTTCTAAGCCTCTAGAGCAGGCGTATCAGCAAACAAGTATCCCGCCATAGCCTCCGGATACCTCTCTCCATGAACCTCAGCATTCTCTACTAGATTCCTGATCTCAGCCTCCTCCTCCTTGCTCAACTTCACATTAAAAGCCTCCAGATTCTCCTCCAAATACTTGATCTTCTTCGTGCCAGGAATAGGCAGAATATCATCTCCTTGAGCCAACAGCCACGCAAGAGTCAGCTGGCCGGCCGTGCAGTTCTCCTTCTTGGCAAGAGCTTCAAGCCCGTTCACGAGCTTGAGGTTCTTGTCGAAATTCTCGGCTGAGAATCGTGGCGAGTGCAAGCGGAAATCATCGTCTGCGAAATCAGCGCGTGATTTGTAGGCTCCTGTGAGCATGCCACTGTGGGGTCGTCAGTCACTGATTTATTTACGTATTGGGGTCAGAACTTACCGGCCGAGTGGAGAGTAGGCAACTGTTGCTACACCGAGCTCACGACAGGTTTTCAGAAGATTGATCTGAGGATTCTCGATCTCGATGCAGAATGGCGAGTATTCGATCTGAACGGCGTCGATATGGACGACCTTACAGGCACGACGGACAGTCTCTGATGAGACTTCACTGAGTCCGATATACTTGATCTTTCCCTCACTACAGATTCCCTGGTCAGAATATAATCTACTCATCAACTCGGCAAGATTCATCAGTCGTACCTCTGCAACTCAGCCATAGCCTTCACCGTCTTCTCAACCGGCGTCTCCTTATCCACACGATGACAATAAAACAAATCAATCGTCTCCACACCCAGCCTCTTCAAACTCGTCTCGCACGACTCCTTGACATTTTCAGGAGTCGAGTCGACGATCCTCTCGCCTTGGGCAGTGATCTTGAATGCGAACTTTGTGGCTAGGAAAATATCCTTGCGCTTCTCAGGGTTCTTGGCGAACCATTTTCCCACCAAATCTTCGCTGTCGCCATAGATTCCTGCAGAGTCCCAGAAAGTCTCGCCGAGCTCGTAGGCACGATCGAGGACCTTGAGGCGTTCTTCGTCGGCAGGAGGCTTGCCGTAGAAAGATGAGAGACCCATGAGTCCGAACCCAAGGGCTGGGATTTGGGGTCCATTCTTGCCAAGTTTGCGTGTGGGGAGTTGAGGTGCCATTTTGGATGTTCCTAGTTGATCTAATTATTTGTTGTATGGTCTTTCAAAAGACTTTGTGATCTGGAATCAGTCACATATCTATAGAATTCAATTGTACTTGGCGTCGGCGTTAACACAAAGCCCCAGCTGTGGGTTGTGTTTAACAATACGTCACCTGCTTAGGGCAAAAGAGCATTCTGTGGCATCATTTGGAGCGGCTGCTAATCCAATCGGCTGCTGATCCTATCGGCGATATGCCCTTTAGTTGCAGGCTTAAATGTATTTATCTCCACTTTCTGCAAGTTGGTGCGTTAAGATCATAAATCCGAGCCTATTCCCGTGGACCCTTCAACCATAATTATTATTCCACAACCAAACTCGTCATGAGAACATTTATCTATCAGAATCATACCTTCATAAGCGCCTTGATTTTGGGTATTTCCGAATCCAAGTTTTTCTCTAGATGAGAACCAATAGCCTTCATTGCAACGGAAATAGGGGATATGACTGTCAGCAGGGCTCGCTAATTGGCATTTTGGTTTGTTGACTTCACTACCCCGCACTTGCACGTGACTCGAATACCTCTTAAGATTGTCTGCAGCTCCTTTCAAGAAATGCAAGTTCGTACCTTCAGCTGGAGTTGCAACACAATCCACAGCTTGCGCCCCAAGATCCTTCAAAGTGAGTGATATATTAAACCAAATACATGTTCAATTTTCTATAAACCTTCGCAAGCAATGTTACCACCACAAACCCAAACAAACTAAACGATATCCAGTCCCTCCATGACGGTTCTCTTCACGCTCTCCAGAAACAGCTGCACATCTTTATGCTCATGAAACACCATATTATACCCAGCACAAAGGCACATCTCCCCTTTCCAAGTATTCACAGCCAATCCCAGCGCAATCGACAGTTCCGTCCCCATGCACCAAGGATCCAGTACCTCGAATGGTCCGTATCTATGCTTCACGTGATAGTCCGTGATGCCTCTGCTAGATAGCGAAACACTGGCACTCTGGGTTGGAGCTGGTAGAGGAGAAGATACAGAGGGACAAATTGGGGTGCGAGCAGCGAAACAGAGTGCGGCTTCCAGCAGATCCTTCGGGATAGCTTCCTCCTGGTAGAACTTCAGGACTGTGCTGAACTCTTTTGGACACGTTCTGGCGATTGTACTTGCTGATGAGGGGATGATAACATCGACGACCATCAGGGAAGTAGAGTTGGCGTGGCATGTCATCATGGAGAATTCGGGACCGTTATACGGCTCCCGGCAATATTTTCGGAGACTCATGATCACGTAGCTCACGTACTTGGCTTGTCTTTCATGCTCCCCACGGGCTTGTAGATCTCGAACGGCAAGTGCGATGGCTGCATGGATGACTTGTGTTACAGTCGTTTTCCTGGCTTTGCAAGCTGCCATGACCCGCTGAGACTCATCGAAAGTGAATTTGAGAGTCGAGGAGCGCGTTTTGCCTGGTATTGAATCTGCGTTCTTCGATGGAACTGAGAGAGCGTTTTCACGATTTTTGTTCCTCTTATCTCGGACCACCTTGAGATCCTGATCTGTGAAGACCTTGGTTGACGAAACACCCAGCATAGTCCGAAATGGCGGAGCCAGATTTCTGTGCTCATTCCCGTATATCACATCGGGTATATTATCCTTGGCCATGAACGCCTCTGCAGTGAAGCCAAGTAGTTTATCCATGAAAGCATATGCTGCCATGCCATCCATCACATCGTGTCGGCACCGAAGAATGATGTTGTATTCAATGGTTGACAATTGAGACTGTTCGTTATGGAGATTTGGAAACACGAATAGCGCAGAAAACGGAACTGGAGGATCGGAGTCTAAAAACTCCTTCGCGGTCTGCGTGCCATGACAGAACGTGAAGGTTTCTTCGAGCCATTTATCGATGATCTTCTTCTCATTCGCCACCCGGTATGTACGATGCCATGAATTGGTCTTCGGGTCCAGCTCAACACTTGATGCCAGAACAGGACAGTGGTACCTGATCTGTTTCCAAGCATACCTCAATGACCTTTCAACCCGAAGGTCAACTGCACGTCTGTCATCTTCTGGAGACAATGGTAGAGAGATCCCAACATGTACAGTGATTGCGCTTGCTGTCTGACCTGTTCTCTCCCAGATTTTGGCATTTGTAGTATAGTATAAGTCTGGTTCATCGAGAGGCCTTGTGTAGATACCTGGAGAAGATTCTCGCCAGTTGCTTGAGGTTTCTAAGACCATGACTCTTCTTGGAGGTGAGGTTGATTGATGGCTTGAGGGCATGAGAGCGCTTTCTGGATGTATCTTTATATCATTTTAGCGAGATGATCATAGTCCTTGTGTTCCTTCCTTTTCTAATTTCGTAACATATACTTGGAAGGAGCTCGGCCTTGCAAGGTAAAGTGTCAGAGGATAGACCTGAAGCTCATTATTCTACTACTCGAACGGAGAACCCATATTTCTGGCTATTTTACATTCTAATATTGGTCTCTAAATGATACAGGTAAACGCTGTATCAGAGAAGTTGTGTAGCCGAATGCTAGGATAAGCCCTGGTCATGACATAAGTGAAAGCTATTGAGAGCAGGCTACCAAAGTCTGGTCCAAGTATAGCGCAGGTCGCTTTGAGTTATATTCGGGAGCTTGTATTCCACAATGCTTGTTACACATGTAATTTGTACCATTTCCAGATTTTCTTCAAGAAAGCTGTGGTTTATGCTTTATTTCACGCTCAAGAAACCCACATCAGCCGATTCTGGTGAGGAATTGGGAGTGAAAGACAGCCTAGTCAAACTACTCATCATCATTTACACCAGGTAGTTGCTCTGGCTCCTGGCAGAGAATGATTCCACAATTCCCACAATAGCGTGCCCTTCAAGTCTTTCTCCTTTCCAACGCTTCATTCCTTCCCTCGTCCGTTTTCCAAGCCTCATCTGGGGACTTCACAACCACAAAGAAGATGTGAAATACAAAAGACAGCATAACTTATGAATTTTCACCTTGGTATTTCAAGCAGAATTATCATTCGATTCGCCTCGAACCCAGTACTGTAACCGGAACACCCGCCGTCCTAGCCCGTTTTTGCCCTGTGCAGTACACGCGCGCGGGGGAATATGTACATATGCAAACCGATTCGCGGCTGCCATCTTTGCTATCCAATGTTTTGCTATCCAATCATTTCTCTCTTCGGATCTCGTTCCATCTCAAGAACTGGTCCATCAGCTAACCCCATTTCCCAATCACAACCTACGCCTCTGCTCTACTTCCCGGCTTCAATATCGGGCTCTGCTTCGCATCACTCTCGAGCTCATCATTTGGTTGATCATGCCTGGAGTACATCTTGTACTCGATACTGTCTTTAAAGGACAGCTTTCCACTCTCGACTTGCTTGCGGGTTGCGGTGAGCTTGGATTTCGGGAGGCCCATGGACTCGAGGAATTTGACGGCTGTGGGAAGTAGATGTTAGGACGTATTCAAACATTTTGATGAAGCTTCGGGATCGAGGATGATCCCATAGAGCACCTACATATGAAGAGGGTATTTAAGAAAAGGAATACGTACTGTCAGTCCATTCAAGGTCCTTCCGCTTCGAATCCCACTTCAGCTCCTGCGCCATAATATCGATAACCTTTGGCGCAGCCTCGAGAGCAGCCTGGGCATTCAAGAACGCCAGTCTTGTCCTCCTTGCCAAAACATCAACAGCTGTCTGTGCATACTCGTGTCTGACCGCATATCTGACTTCTCCATCAATGAATGGATAAAGCGGGCTGATTCGCTCGCCTCGGACAGGGAAACGTCGTTCTGTCGGACTGCTGAGAGCTGCGACAGTCCAGGCACGATCACCGTAGGATTCCGTCAAATGCTTAGCGATATCTGTCTCAACTCCAAAATGCTGGATGAGGTTGATGAAGAGGGTTTTGGAGAAGCCGTGGGCACCGACAAGTTTGACTTGGTGCGTTTGGCAAGTACCGTTTAGGCGAGCGCCGTCGTCGACTTGCTCTGTGCCGCTAATGTCGGGGGCGTTCCTCACAGGACCGGTTTGGAGATTGAAGGTCTTAATGGCTTCATCAACAGCCTCTTCAGCCATTTGACGGTAGGTGGTCCATTTTCCACCTGCACAGGTGAGAAGTCCAGATGGGGAAACATTGATGAGATGATTCCGGACAAGGGATTCAGTATTCTTCGCATTGGGATCCTTAACGAGAGGTCGGATACCAGACCAGGCCGCTAGGACATCACCTCGGCGGACGTTGATATCTGGGGACAGGTAGTGACGGATCTCGGATAGAATCCAGTCGATTTCTGCTTCTTTTGCAACGGGATTCTGGGAGATTTCGGTGGGGGAGTCGGTTGTTCCTGCAATCGTGTTTCCTTGCCATGGAAGGAAGAAGATAACTCTTCCGTCGGAGGTCTTGGGATCAATGAGTCCCATCTTTTGAGGACTGTAGTATCCGGGCAGGATTACGTGGACTCCAGAACTGGGCGCGACAATGTCCTTGACTGTTTCATCATCAAATTTACGGATGCCATCTGTGAAGGGTCCGGTCGCATTAATGATGCCCTTGGCCCGAATGACAAATTCATCTGGCTTCTTTCCATTCTTGTCTTGCACCAGGTCCCTGACACGGGCTCCGCAGAGCTGTCCATTCGCATCCTTCTCCAGACCGGTAACTTCGATGTGATTGACAACTGTACTGCCGTACAACGCAGCAGTCATAGCCAGTGACACATTCATCCTCGAATCGTTGTGTGCTCCATCGTAGTATACCAGTGCTCCCACCAAATTGTCTTTCTTCAGCATAGGGAAGGCATCCAAAGCTTTACTCCTGGTCAAGAAGTACGAGCTCTCAATTCCCTCCGACCCGGCCAAGAAGTCGTAACATTTCGTTCCGGCCCAGTAGTATGGGGCTTTCCACCACTTATCCAAAGGCAACATGATCGGCAACCAACTCGACAAATGTGGTGCAGTATCCAAGAAGAATTTCCTCTCCCTCAATGCCTCCTTGACCAACGCATACTGATTGTAGTCCAACTCCCAAACTGCCTTCTCCAAATATCGCACACCTCCATGCACCAATTTTGTACTCTTACTACTCGTTCCACTGCTGAAATCATCTCTCTCGACGACTGCAACCTTCAATCCTCTCGTCGCAGCATCCAGAGCAATTCCCGCACCTGTAGCCCCCGCACCAATTACCAGCAAGTCGTAGACATCCGCATCATTCTGTGGTGCAGCATCGTCTGCAGATTTCAACAATCCAACGCCTTTGCTTCCACCACTGCGCTTCAGATCTGCGATTTGTTCATCTCGAGTTTTGACTTTGGGAAATCGTGGAGGGCGGAATCCGCCTTCTGCCCCATAGCCGGGAGGAGAAACTACGGCGGGGTCGGATCCAGGGATGTTTCGCGGCCGGTAGCTGTAGTACAGAATACCACTTCCAAGAGTTGCTGCTCCTGTCGTGTATAGAAGAGGCTTCGCGAGTCGCTGTCGGAAAGCCATTTTGTGTTATATTGTTGTGTGAAAAGGAGGAATTCGAGGAGGAATTCGAGGAGGAATGGCAAGCAGGTCTTGCTGATGATGATGCTACTCTGGGAGCTTGGGAGCGTGCTAATGTAGATCAGCCCGCTTTTGCTAGCCAAGGATTTGCATATGATGCTGGACTGCGTCTTTGTTGGAATGCTGCAATTGTTGATAATACAAAGTAAAGTGAAGAAATAATGGATGCACAAAGCGCAGCAGATGAAAAAATCAGAGCAGAAATATGAGGATAGGGAGGAGAAGGTTGGGCTTGGGAAGATATAGTTGTTAGCTGAGATTCTTCATGGTCTTGTGAAGTCTCACAAAGAGCTCTCCCTGTCGCTCTGGCCTCACTCTGCATCATCGGGACCCTCTGCCGGTTAATTTTCCGCCAATGGATGGGCTGAATCGATGCCCGTTGGCGGTCTGCCAAGGGGTCCACCAGTCTGTTTACAGAATTAGTCCGAAATCTCGTTCAGGAAATATACCGAGAGTTTCTTGGTGAGCTGCTGCCCCTCTCTTTAACACTGGAGACTTCGTCGTGTGACGGGAATATTTGGTTCTGCGCAATTGCTCGCAGTCGAGAGTAAGAAACTGACTGGGATATGTCGAATATCCTGCAGAACGTTTCTATTCTGAATAATACGAAGCAGCTACGATCAACATGATGCCTCGAATCGATCCAGAAACTGTAAAGGTTATTCGTGCAAGTGCAAATGTGCAGCCTACTTGGAAGCGTGAGACAGAAGGTGCGACCACGTGATGAATATCTTCATATCCACAAGGCGTCGTACTCGGTCCTTACCTCTGTATACTTTAGCTGTAAGTGCTTCCAAATTGGATTTCAATTCCTGGGTCTCTGAAGGCAAGAATAAGCAAGAACTTGACGAGTGTTGTGATCACCGAGCTGCGTGTAGGTCCCATCTCATCGGGAGCCCATCGCTTAAGGGGACGCCGAACAAAACATCACAACGTACCTCAATCTACTCCACTACTTTTCTGCTATTCCGCAATCCCAGGGATTCGAAATTTATGTTTCTGTGGATTTCTGCAATGTTTAGCCCCTTCGGAAGAATTGGAGAGGGAGGGGCAGTCAGTTTCAGCATGGGGATCACCAATGGTTATTTGTAGTGTCTTGCGGGCACATCAACATAGCATTGTAAGGCTAGCTACCGATGAAAAGTGCTTTCGTGCTTGCCGCACCCCCAAATATTTCTCTAACGTCAGATAGCGTCCAAGTCCTCCCAAATCAATGTCATGACGATGCGAACAAAAATACAAACTCCCAGTCTAAACTAAACCACCAATCTCCCCAAGTCCAAATTTGGCTTCCCATAATCGTCAATATCTCTTTATTCAAGGGTTGGAATCGATGAAAGGGAGAGAAACAGTTGGTTCTTTTTCACCAGCTCGCAAATCCCGATATCACGCATTAACGAGCCATCCTGGTATGCCGCTTCCAAAGACATATCTCAGGGGTCGTGTCAATACCTTGAAGTTTCTTCTATTGAGACGTCTGCCTTGCTGGTGTTTGAAGATTTTGTGGCCAAGACAGCAGAACCCATCCCCCGTATCTGCCGATCAAAGCAACATGAAAGAAAAAAAGCTCACAATCAGTATGTGAACAGACCTTGGAAATTGTTACCCAGTGACAATGAGCCTTGAAAAATTATAAGCGCTGTTCTTTATTCATAATTCTTTGCCGCTGAGACAAGTATTATGCTCGCAAATCTGCCCCTCTCTTATCCAGCCTACTCAAAATCACACCATTATGCCAATACCCACAAACCATTCCCCACGGCTATCGATGGAAGATCCCCCAATTCAGTAGCCATTCAAGAAATCTATCGAATCATTGTTGTCCTTCCTTCGGCACACCTGTCTACTCAACGTCCACAACACTTCCATCTGGCGCAACCTTTCTCCGATCCTTCTCCATATCGACATACTCCTGATCCTGGTCGACAATCCACTTGATGATATTAACACTCGTATTATCAGCCCTATCGTTGTGATATTCAGCCCATATGTAAAAAGCACGTTGCTGAGTCCGGAACTGGTTGAAGAACGCGTCGCATTTGCGTAAGAGTTGACCGAGTTCGCTGTGGGATGGTGGGGGAGGACTCGTTAAAATGTTCGGGAGACGAGACCGGAAATCACGAGGTAGTAAACCGGGAGGATGTTCGAAAATTCTGGATAGATAGACAAGAAGTTTTGTTAGCCAATGTGCAACTGATACGGAAAGTATAATGGTGGGAGGTGCATGGTATTTGAGAAGACTGGTGAGGTATGAAAAACTTCCAGTACAGTATAGAGGCACTCACTTCGGCTGGCTAGCTGTTTCTTCTTCCTCAGCTGGTGGTTCGGTGACCGGATCTTCAGGTTTGGCAGATTCACTGTCTGCTTTTTGATGTTCCGTCTCGATGACTTCGTCCTCAGGCTCGACAGGTTCATTATTTGCTTCCTGATCTCCCGCAGTGCCCCTATCTCTCCAGTTTTTATGGAGCCAAGGACCATCAGGGACATTCCGTATGGCCATTTTCGTGTAAGTTGGGGCCTTATGATAAGGAGGAGGGTTATGTGTGATCGATAAAGATATTGCTTGACGTCTTGCAGTTCTGGCTCGTCGAGGGTAATGACTGTGGTACGAGATGTGATCAAGAGAAGTACAAAGAAAGAATACAGAGAAGATATTTGCGCTGAAGTTATTCGATAGATGCTGGTATTTGATTATTGCATATTGCGCTGGGCTCAATGATTAATGGAAGGCTTAGTAGAACTTTTGATCTTGGTAGCTCTTGCCTATAATCAGCATATTCAAGTAGAAGTCAAACAGGGCTGAGGAAAAGAGATATGGGTAAGTACGACCTTCGAATGATGATTCTGATTGGTGTACAACGATTCATTTTTAAGCCATCTATGCATTTGACAGAAAATATCTACCGACAGTAGACATCTCGAAGTTGACCAGAGTTCAGTCCTACTGGGAAGCTACAGAAGGCCAGAAGCGATGCGTCTAGACTATGAAATGAGATCAACACTACTTGTCTTCATTGACTCCTGGATTGGAAGCTGAAAAAATTTCCCTAAATCCAAGAGAAAATATCATGGTACTTGAGATAAATCAATAGAACACCTTACAAAGCAGACAATGTGGAAGGGGAGATTCAGAAGCAGAGTCTGACAGGGAGATCCTCCCTGGAGACTCGAACACTCTGGACTTCTGCAACATGACCTACAAGTATTACTGGGTGCTTTTCTTTCCTACTTTGATCAAAATCAGGACAGGAAGTGTAGTCCGTTCCAATGTTTGAGACGTCATCATGAAAGATCTGCTACACGAAAGCCCATTAACTGGCCGGATGATAGCTCAAAAGAAGGAGCACAGGAAGTGCTTAGAAAGCTTACATGGTAATGTTTGCATCTTGGTTTTGACCATCGGCAGCAATGCTTTACTCATCCGGCCTATTTGGCGTAGAAATACGTCGATCCCCAACTTTTCAACACCAGGCCATGTTCCACCATTCTGCTATAACTCCTCATCACCTCCCAAAAATCCCAAGCAAATCCTCCAATTCCGGCATATCCACCTCCCAGTCCCCACAAACCTCCTTCAACTCCTCAATCTTCTCCAGCAACCCCTCATCCTCATACCTCTCCCTCTCCTCCTCCCCAAACCCCCTCGCAATCTCACACATTGTACCCATGAACTCACCCAGCACAACACCATCTTTCATTAGCTCGTGTCTGATAACCTGGACCTCGCACAGCACGATACTCTTGCATATTTTCCTCAACACTTCCAGGGCGTTGCGGCGAGTCTGCCAGACTGTGTCGGGACCTGCTTCCTTGAGGATCTTCTGTCTGCTGGACTCCAAGATGGCTAGGACATCGCCTGTGGCGGAGAATTGTTGGCTGGTTTTCAGGCGTTTGTGTTGTGTGTTTAGGGCGTGCCAGCAGCTTTTGGAGAAGGAGGAAAAGTCCTTCGCTGGGGCTCGGGCAGCATCTTTGGCGGCGGGTTTCAAGGCATATTTGGAGTCGATGTGATCTGCTATCCTCGGAACTGTGACATACTGTATCGCTAGGCAATCAGCAATTGCTGCAGGTGCTCGAGGCGGTTGGACAACTCACGGCATGGACAGCTATCTCGCGGAGGGCAGCGATATCGAGGGCGTAAATTGTGCGAACTGCCTTGGCTTTGAGCTCGGCGCCAGTGATATTCGAGAGATCGCCAGTTGAATTAAAGGTATCAAACTTGCGCTTTGAGGAAGACGCCATGACGGAGTGTTGGCTTGGGAAGAGAGCTGGTGAGCTGATTGCGGTCGCGTCGTGGGGAGACGCGCTGGGCTCAGGTGAACGCATCATTCAGCATTTTGAGGCACCGCCACTTCTCAGCACAAAGACATTTTACCCCACTACAGTACAGTACCCCGCCATGAGCCAACTTTGACTTCATAAACCTCGAAAGATTTGACCCTCTGTTATTTCCACTTGCACTTTCGGTATTACTTTTGTGTTATCGAAATTCGAAGAAATGTTTGCTCAATCATAAAAATACTATAGCATTTGTTTATATAAAGAAAAATAACTAACAAAAACAAATGAAAAGTAAACAAAAGACAGCTTGGCAGTTCGAGGTTGCCTCAAGGTATACAAGAAGACTCGCCAGGAATATAGAAACATGTACCCAAACTCCTTCCAGTATAATACAAGAAATCCTCCTTTTATTCATTCAGCCCTTTCGGCCTCCCCTTTTGATCTCCCAACTCGCATCTTCCTCGCCAATCCCACAGACTTCCCCAGCAACTTCTTGATCCCTTTCTTTGGACCCTGCTCCTGCTGGCTCTGAGGTACCGTCACAGCAATATCTTCCAGATCTCTCGCCATCTGCTCCTTCTTGTACGCCACCAACAGCGCCAATTGTTCTACCATTACCGGGTGATCCACCAGATCTTCAACCCGTAACTTCATACCTTCCTGTTCCAATAAAGAAGCGACCTGCGCAAGCCCAATGATATCACCACCCATCTCGTAGAAAGATGTTTCAAGATCGAGAGCAGGTGAAGGTGTTTTCTTGTCGGATAGAATGCGCGTCCAGACTCGCTTTAAGAGTTGCGAGTAGTGAATGAGGTCTTGTCTGCTGAGGGTTTTCAGACTTGCTGCGAGCGTGAGGTCATTAAGTTTTGCTTCCTCTTCCAGTGTCTGAGCAGGAAGGGAAGAGAGCTCGGTTGGACTTGGCAGGATTGCCTCAGGGTTGTCTGAGAAATTCATGGATGTCTCACAGAGGACTTCGAACATGCTTTCTGCGAAGGCATGAGAGACGCCGCTATTCTTGGTGAATATCAAGCTAATCTCGATCTCAGCATCGCTCTTAGGAGTAGAGAAGACAGTCAAGTCTGCGAAGTCTTCCTGCGATCCTATAGCGCCAAGTTTGTACTGAATATCGCCGAGCTGGACGTCTGTTTGCTGTTGGATGTTTTGGTGTTGGCAAACGGTGGAGAAGTTCGTCCAGTCGGGCCAAGACGAGCAGTTCTTGATGATCTCTCGGAAACCAAGAGATTCATAAGGCATGGCTGCCACTTGTTGATCTTGAATGCTGCGGAGGAGATCATATACGGTCCACCCAGCTTGGAAAGTGACTCTCACTGGGATCAGGTTTACGCATGGACCGATGATGCTTTCGACTCCAACTACGGCTGCATTGCGTCCACTGATCACATTTCCAAAGATGATATCTGAATTCGCTGCCCATTTAGCCAATGTGACAGACCAAGCTGCTTTGATGACGGTTGCTGGTGTGATATTCTTCGACGCTAGAGAGGAGATACGAATGACCCGCTTCAAAGTTGTTGGAGCATCCATTCCACGACTGTAATTTGGCCCGCTTCGATGGACAACTTCAGTCATCGAAGAACCCTTGAGAAGATTCTTCCAATATAGATAATGGTCATCTGTGGTATTTCTTGCTGCATCCCGAACGTAGGTTGAGAATGCAGGTGTTGCAGGGAGAGGATGGCCTTTGTAGCCAGCCTGAATAGCAGCCAAGATCGCCGGGAAACAAACTCCGTCATATTGAGCATGCGACATGCGCATGATGATCCTGTGTTTCCGGCTTCCAATTTCCTTCGCAACTGTGAATTGGAGGTAGGACTCTCCAAGCTGCGGCCCGTCTTTGCGATCCTTCTGCTGAAGTTCCGACGTGAACAGCGCCAGGTCGCTGGTTTCGTACACAGAGAAACTTGGTTGAACTTTTCTCATGACGGCCTGGAAGAACCGATTGCCATGAGGGACGAAGACTGTCCTGAGAATTTCGAAAGAATCCACGACTCGAGATATACTACGCTTCAGACGCTTCAGATCAAGGGCCCCGTCGCCTTCAAGGTAGAAGTAGTTGAGCATCCATTTGGACTCCATAAGTGTCCCCGTGACAGCTAAAGCTTGAAAGTCGGTAACAGGGAAGACATCCATGATCCCGCCGCGGAAAGCTCTGACTTTGGGACAGATATTGTCTTGAAGGAAAGCATCCACGTCAGCGGTTTCGATGAGTGAGTATCGTTGATATAGCGCGTTCTGAATCGCCTGGGATCGTGCTTCTCGAGCTTCAAAATACTCCTTCGGATCGCTGATGCCTTGTGGTGTCTGCGCTTCTTCTGCCATACGAATGACAGCAGCCATATCGGCAAATGTTGGATGCCTGAATACATTCGCGACTGTCAAAGCAAGGTCTTCATCGCGAGCCATCCCAACCATTTGCATTGCAATGATACTATCGCCGCCAAGAGAGAAAAATGAATCATCTTTCTTGATCGTGTCTTTGGAAATCTCAAGCAGCTCACTCCAGACAGAGAGTAGCTTTTGTTCGATCCCACCAAGCTGCATGATGGACTCTATCGTACTCGTTGATCTGGTCCTGTTGAACTGCGGTCTGAGAGGTGCCATGGTGAGTTGCGAGTAGTCGATCATGGGCTGGATTGTTTGCTGGGTCGCGATGTGCATTGTGTTGTTGACAGTATTGCTGATCGTACTGCCCATGCTTTGTTGATCATTATTCACCAAGGCTCCTGTCTTGAGCATCTGCTCCATGATCTCGCGCACGTATTCAGAAACAATCGTTCTTAGCTGCGCCTCGGAAGCAACAAGTTGTGGTTGGTCATTAACATTTTGTGGGGGAGGCGGTTCAATGATGATAGGTTCCGAAGCTTTCTTGGTGAGATCAAGCTCCTCGACGAGCTGATGTGGCTTGTTGATAAAAGTCTCCATGACGCGAGCTAGCATATCACAAAGCTCTTTTGCCTGCTCTGGCGCCATAACATCTGTCCAGTATCTAATCACGACACCCTCGTCGCCTCGTAGGGTTCGGATGTTCAGTGTCGCCGCATACTTTCAGAAATGTCAGTAAGGCTTGCAAGAAAGATAGTCAAATAACTTACCTCGCTAGGATCGTGTGCCGCAACAGGATCGAAAGATATCGATGTTGTCTCATGTCCATCTGATGGCCCGTCACTTTGTATAGAAACAGCTGTGTTAAACAATGCTTTTCCGCCCATGAGATCATGTTGGACCTGTGCCAGCGAGCAATGCTGATGCTCAAGACTCTGGAGGTAGTCATTCTGAACTTTGTTGAAGATCTCTTTGATAGTTGACTGAGGTTGAAATTTGACTCTGCACACCAACATGTTGATAAAGGCGCCGATTGTGCTTTGCACCCCTTTCACAGGCACGTCACGACCGCTTGTTAGATACCCGAAGCAGATATCTTCGGATTTTGTGTAATGTCGTAAGCAAAATGCCCAGGCCGCTTGCATGACATTTGCGAGTGTAAGGCTCATCTTTTTGCACATCTCCTGTAACTCAGGGAATCTGTTGAAGTCCATCGCAACTGATCCCAAGGCCCTGGTGCCAGCAAAGTCCTTGTTGAGCACTGGGAAGTTACATGCTTTCGATCCAGCGAGGTACGTTTTCCAAAACTTGATGCTCGCACCGGCAGGTAGACTTTTGATGTATGCTACATAGTCAGAGTAGAGAGGTCCAAGACCTTCAGGAAGGCGACCGTGATAAGCAGCGGCCAGATCTTTCAACATGATGTTTGCAGAAGATCCATCAATGACTGCGTGGTTGACTTCGGCCTTGAAGTAGACCTTGTTGCTTGTGGTTTGACAAATTGTTGCTTGATGTGGCAGTCGAGGTTGTTTGGTGTAATTTGCATCCAGGATTGACATTGTGCTGAGTGTATCCAGCGCATCCTCTTCGTCACTTCGAATAACCATCACGCCGCTGTCAACATTCTTGACCACGATCTGATTGAAAATATCGCCTTTGTAAACACTGTCTGCAAAGACGGATCGGAGAGCAGCATGTCGATCGACGACTCTTTGCCATGCTTTTGCCAGTCGATCTCCGTCGACTGGTACTCCATCTTGAGCCGGATGAACCTCAAAAACAGCATGGAAGTGGTATAAACTGGGGTTCTTGAGCTGGCTAATTAACAATCCTTCTTGTAGTGGTGCACAGGGATATATGTCTTCGACTTCATCTTGATTGATACCGACTTGCGGAAGTGATCGAGTGATTATCTTCTGGAGGCCCTCATATGAGATTGGCAGAAGCGGAAAGTCGCTAAGGGTAAAAGAGGGTGGCCCAGTGAGTTCAGCCAAATGTTCTGCGATTTCCTGGAGTGTTTCTTGACATTCGGAAATCCATCTTCGGATAGATTGTTGATGCCGAATATTACGATTGAAGAGAAACGAGAATTGGATCTTGTCGCGCACGACAGCGGCGGAGATTTCGAACAGAGCGAATCGGTTCGCGTGAGGTCCGACATCTGCTATCGTCTTAGAAGTCTCTTCGTCTTCCGGATGCTCCCATTGCTCAAGTAGGGAGTCGTCGTGCTCCAGCTGCTGCATTTTGCCCAAGTAATTGAATATTATCTCCATGTTAACACCACAATCCTTGGTATACGATTTGTTTGCCATTTGAAGATATTGATGTGTGAAATATTCTCGACCATTGCTTGGTACACTCCGCCGGGCGTCTTTCATTCTTCGTACTGTATCTGCTACATCATCTTCGTTTGTATCGATTGCCGTATAGACTGGAAATATGGTGGTAAACCTAGATTATTTGATTAGCATGGTCCGAATGTCTCTAAATAGATTGTTCTGAAATGCAGATTGAACTTACCATCCTACTGTTCTCGATATATCAATGCTTGTATCCCAAGGCTCACGCCCATGTCCCTCGTTAAATATCGCTGGAGGGTTTCTATCTACAAAAACACGGGCAAAGGAATGACTGATAGCCGCCATGAATAACTCAACTGGTTCAGTCCGAAGAGCTCTATTGCTTTCATCAAGTAGCATACCTGAAACCTCAGTGCTCAAGGTGAAAGCCTCTGAGATGACGTCGCCGTATGTATTGGCTCCTTTCTCGATACCCCAGTATGACATGTCGACTGAAGGAACTTCGAATGGCAACGCTCCTGCATTCGGCTTCGCACTGGCCTTCAGCGCATGGTCGAACTGCATGGAGGACCAAACTTGGAATGAAAGAGGCTTGTCGGAAAGAATTGATCTGGTGGTGAGCAGTTCTTCCAGATCTTGCAAAATGATTCTCCAGGAGACCATATCAATCACTAAATGGTGAGCTGCGAGGAAAATCATCTGCGGTGAGTCCGCGATATTGAAAAGGTGTGCCGTGAAAACAGGCCCGCGGGAGATGTTGAGACTTGAGTGAGCTTTTTCGACTAGTGACGTGATCCGACGAGTGTCTTCAATATCATGGATCTGGAAATCGATTGAAAACTCGCTTTCTGATTGCAGTATTTGCTGCCATGACCCATTCGGTCCTTGCACAAAACGGGATCGAAGCATGGAATGCTGATCGACGATTCGTCGAAGTGCAGTCCTGAGCTCCTGAGGCTCAACATGCCTCGTGATCTTCAATGAGAAGCTTTGGTTGAAGCGACCTGCTCCGTCGAAGGTATTGCCAATCTGGGAATCAAAGTAGAGCTGCTGAATGGGTGATAGATCAAAGACCTGGCCAAGAACCTCGTCTTGGTACTGAACCTCATCCTCATAGCTGGCTATCGATGCTAGCTGATGTATTGACTTGCTTCTCAAAACATCAGAAAGTGAAAAGTTCAGCTTTTCTCTCCTGCATAATGCCATAACTTGCATTGCGCTGATGGAGTCACCACCAAGACTCAAAAACGATTGGCCCAACCTCGTTCTCTGGAGTGGTAAATTGAGGACGCGGGAGAAGATCCTTTGGAGTAGCAAGGTTGTCTCTGTCGCAGGAATCGAACTATCTTCTTCATCCTCAGCTTCCAGGATACGTTCATAAGTTTTGTCATCAATGCTGTGAAGCCAAAAATCAACGTTGCGACGATCTAGTTTCCCCGAAGGTAGAAGGGGAACCGACTCAACTACGAGCCAAGATGACGGTACCATGTATGCAGGCAAGATCTCAGACAAACGGTTGCGAATCCCAGTAACTTGAGCCCGAGCAGCGGCACCCTCAGGTCCGTTTTGAATTAGTTCACAGGAACCCTTCGTAATTGTTGTTCCTGTCAGGGCTGTCAAGGAGATCACAGCCACGAGACGTTTTCGAAATGGCCCTGTTTGGGGTAGCGCTACAAGCGCGTGTTGAATACTCGAATCCTTATCTAGGGAGTGCTCTATCTCCCCCAGTTCAAGGCGCTGACCATTCAATTTGACTTGGTTGTCCTTCCTTCCAATGAAATGCAACGATCCGTCTTCGTTGTATCTGACCAGATCGCCTGTCTTGTACATTCGGCGAGTAGAAGCTGAAGACACTGAGGAGGTGAGTGCAAATTTTTCAAACCATGGTGGACACTCAATGAACGCTTCTGTTGTCTTCGTTGGGTTGTTGATGTACTCGCGGGCAAGTAATGGTCCATCGAGCAAGAGTTCCCCGACGCATCCCACAGGTGAGATAGAATTATGATCCCCAGGGTCTACAACCCACGCATGTCCGCTCGGAAGCGCGTGTCCGATGTTGGATGGGTCCCGAACTTCGCTGACATTGGGGTTGCCCACAGCTATTACTGATGCTTCTGTCGGCCCATACCCATTAACAAGTGTGACCTTCGATGCCCACTTGGTAACATTTTCAATCGACATTGCTTCGCCACCGCAAACAAGGACATCCAATGCTGGGACGGAAGTTGGGTCGATGATGTTAGCAACGGACGGAGTGAGGAAAGCCCACGTTGCTTGGAGTGTATTGATTGCTTCTCCTACATTCCTGGTTCTCATGTCTTCAGAAGGCATGCAAATACAAGCGCCGCAACTCAAGGCTGTCAGCGTTTCCAGTACGCTAACGTCGAACGTGAACGACGCGAACTGGAACACTCGGGACTCAGGCTTCATCAGCAACACCTTTTTCATGGCTACAGAGCTTGTTGATATAGCTTTGTGCTCTACTACTGTGCCTTTCGGGCGACCTGTGCTTCCAGATGTGAAGATGGCATAAGCAGCGTTGTGACTCTTGGCTCGGCTGCAGTCCAAGGCAGGGCTCAGGGGTGAGGACAGACTCCCTTTTAGTGTCTCCTCGATAGAAATGAGATTGATGCTCGAAGCTGCAAATCGGTTTGCATGGTTTGGTGAGCAAATAAGATACTTCGCGTTGACATCCTTGATCATTTCTTGATGTCGAGCAGTCGGTGCGGTAGGGTCCAGAGGCACATAAGCTCCGCCGGACATCAAAATTCCAAGAATTGTTACTACAGCCCAAACTGACTTGTCCAAGCAGATAGGTACGAACACCTCCGGTCCTATACCGAGCGAGGCGAGATAATGTGCAAGGCGTGCAGCATAACCTTGAAGTTCTTCATATGTCAGATTCCCGTCCCAGGCACATACAGCTTGCGCATCCGGTTGTGACAATGCCATCTCTTCAAACTCTTCATGAATACACGCGTCTACCAATGCTGGTTGGTAAGAGTTCCATGACGATATAGCAGTCCTGTCTTCGGGACTAACGATCTCAACAGTGTTCATTTTCGCACTGGTTCCAAGCTTCGGTATGTTGCTAAGCTGCTGTAGCACAAAGTCCAGTTGGTACAAAATTCTCTGCACCTGCCACTTTGGCAAAACAGCATCATCATAGTGAGCCAATATGTCGATCTTGTCCGATCCACCTTTGCACTCAAGGACAAGAGGATATGTGAAGAAGTTCGAAGCAACACCTGTTCCTTGGAGGTCCCAAAGCCCCTTTTCAATCTCTTCCTCTGCTGTTTGAATTACGAGAAGATTGCGGAACTCGCATGCAACCTCCGTATCACGATTGATTCGCTTGATTCGCTGAAGTCCGGCATGCTGGTATGGGATGATGTCGGTCGCCAATTTCTGGATACCCTGCAGAAATCCCGTCATAGAAAGTTTGCGATCAACTGCAATTCTTGTCGGGACAGTCGTGATTGTGGGACCAATGATATCGGTTATGCCTTGAACGGCAATATCACGTCCAGCAAAAATTTCGCCGAAAACCACATCGTTCGACCCGGAATACGCTGCCACCACCAATGACCATGCAGCGCGAATGATAGTGGGCACAGTTATTCCCATGCTAGCAGTATTTCTTGATATTGGTGTGCTGTGAGTCAACATTTGATTGTTCCGAGCCTTGTCAGTCGCTACATGTTGATCTTGGGGAAATTGCAAGGGTGAACATTCCAAAAGTCTAGCCTTCCAGAATTCATCCGAGGCTTCTCCGTCTATTTCACAGAGGTATTTGATGAACAGTGAATATGAACCTCTAGAGAATCGAGCCGAAGAATCCAGGTAAGCAGTTTCGACCCTCTCCAATACCATGGGGAGAGACCAGCCATCGTAAAGTGCATGATGGATGTGCCACACAAAGTAGCAATCCCCAGATTGATTGTCCGAGACAATAGTGTAGCGAGTGAGACAGCCTCCATTTGTTGTTGGAATATTGACTTCATTCAGATCGACATTTTCTAGGTTTTCTGCCGAATACCAGTGGACCGGATTGTGTTCAATTAAGGCCTGTAGAAAGATGCCAGACTTCATGTGAACGATACGTGTCCGCAAAATATCAATCTCTTCAATTATCTGATCCCACACGGTCTTGAATCTCCCGATATCGATGTCTGCTGGTAATTTGAAGATATTCTTGGCAACATATGCGCCAGATTGCTTGATCGAGAGTGTCAAAAGCCCTTCTTGGAGCAGACTACACGGGTAAACATCCAAAACAGAATCCTTGTCGACGTTGCACTGACTTGCCACCTCATTGATGATAGTCTCAGCTGATTCATCAGTGGAAAGTAGGGAGAAAGGTAGCAGCTGCTGCTCCTCTTCGACAACAAGGGTTCCGCACACCTGCGCCATATCACAGAGTCGAGGATTTCGAAAGATATCGATGACAGTGAGAGATATTCCCTGGGAGCGAGCAGCTCCGACAAGTCGCATGGCTGTTACCGAGTCACCACCAAGCCGGAAGAAGCTATCATCGGTGCCAACGGATCCTGGAGGTGATACATTGAGGACGGATTCCCACAGAGCCTGGAGGGACTTTTCGATTGCTGTCGCAGGGGCTTTGGGGATTTTTGATTCGGAGCTTTGGAGTCTGTAAGGCGCAGCCATCTCTTTGGGGAGATTGGCGACGATAGCTTTGAGCCTGTTTCGATCCATCTTGCCAGAACTTGTCCATGGGAGTTTGGTGACGGGGATGTAGAAAGATGGGCACATATATGCTGGTAAGACCGCAGCTAACGATGAATCCAAGCTTTTTGCAACATTTCTTGCTGCATTTGCCATTGGAAGGAGGATTTCATCGATGTTTGACTCTGAACGGAGATCGTTGGCATCTACAGTGAAGAACACTGCTAGTGCCTTGGTCGATGTTCGGTTCATGGGGGAAACGAGTTCAACGACAGACTGCACAGTGTCTGGCAAGCAAGTCTGCACGTTTTGCTCTATTTCTCCCAACTCGATACGCTGCCCGTTTAGCTTGATCTGGGTGTCCTTGCGGCTCAAAAAGCATAGACTTCCGTCAGAGTTGTAGCGTACGAGATCACCAGTTCTATAGACCCGTTGTCGTGGTTCAATACCATTCAGCCAAGTGGGATCTGAGATGAATACTTCCGCAGTCTTCTCCGGGTTGTTCAAGTAGCCACGAGCGACCGTTCGACCTTCCACAACTAGCTCACCGATCCCACCGACTGGAACCAGCCGGTTATAGTTACCAGGATCGACAATCCATACACGAGCTCCCACTCCGCGCCCAATGTTTGATGGGTCCGAGTTTAAGTCGTGGCCATAGTGATCCACCTTGGTGCTGGTGCTTGCAATAACACTCGTCTCGGTAGGGCCATATGCGTTTATAAGAGAGCATTGACCTTTCCATTTAGCAATATGATCTAATGACATCTTTTCACCGCCAGTAACGAGCGTTTTAAGACACGGAACACTCTTGGGCGATAGTGTGCTTGCCACAGATGGAGTCAGAAGGGTCCAAGTCACACCCATGCGTCTGATAGAACCTGGGATATCGTTCATGCGATCTTGCTCGCTCGGGATGCACACTGTGGCGCCCACTATGAGAGCGCTGAGGATTTCCATGACACTTGCGTCGAATGTGTGACTTGCGAATTGGAAGACGCGAGAGCCTGGTCCCATTCGCATGGCCTTAGCATGTTCAACCGCACTGGTACAGAAGGCTGCATGCTCAATGATTGTACCTTTGGGTCGCCCAGTTGTGCCAGAGGTGAAGATGATGTATGTAGGGTCGTCTACGGAAACAATTGGCAGAATCGCTGCCGAGGTCTTGTAGTTGAGAGTTTTGATGAATTGCGGGTCCACCGACAGAGCACGTTTGGCGACGTTCGAGATCTTTTCAAAATTCTGAGCCGAGCATAGGACTATTTCACTCTGCACGTCGTCGATGAAACCCTTCAAGCGGGCTTCGGGATGAGTAAAGTCAAGGGGGACAAATGCAGCCCCTGCCTTCAGCACAGCAGTCATTGCTACGATGTTCCAAGCCGACTTCTCGAAGCTAGATAAAGTCACAGAGTCAGCAATTGCCAGGTCCTAGGCGGTGAAATGTAATTGCAGATAGAAAAACATGATTCATGGGGAAAAGGATGCAAATCGCGTCTCAAATCAATCTGGTTGAGGGACAAATTGGGTCGTCACCTACCACAATGGGACAAAGCTGTTCGTCTCAACACCAACCTCAATAAGATGAAGTGCCAACTGTGTTGAAAGCATATCTAGCTCGGTATATGTGAAATTCCGGTCCCAGGCACAAATGGCGTCAGTTGAAGCGGGTCGGTCCGAGACTTGGTCGCAGATCATATGGTGCACACACTTCTGTACGCTGACAGGAAGTGATGCGTTCCATTTCATGATTTGTTGGTGGCCATGATCACTTATCAATTGCAGGTCCGAAATTCTTCGATCGCCGTCGTCCTGAGATACCATCTCATTTAGAACGTGCTCAAAAGTGTACGCCATGTTTTCTGCTTGGGACTCCGACAGGGTCGTAGTCCAATATCCGAAATGTACCTCAACCTCCGACTCAAAGGCTTCCACATTGACGGTGATATCGTACTCGCTCGGATCATGAGCTTCGATCACGTCGAAAGTTATACTCGAATTTGATGCATGCTGTTTACTTGAGCGTTTCTGGAAAGTAAAAGCAGTGTTGAAGAGCGAGGTGCTGGACAGCTGCAGCTCGTGTTGAATTGATGCGAGGGAAACGCCCTGATGGCTCATCCCGTTGATGAAGTCCGTCTGCACAGTCTGGATAGCGTGTTGCAATCGCGTTGAGCTGCTTAGGTTCAGCCTGCATGTCAACATGTTGATAAAAGCTCCAAGTGCTTCCTCTTGAATGCCTGAGATCGGAGCATCTCTTCCAGAAGAGAGGTAGCCAAAGCAAACTTCGTCTGCACCAGTGTAAATTCGAAGCATGAGCCCCCAAGCGAGCTGTAACGCATTCGATAGTGTGACGCCGTTCTGGCTGCAAAATGCTTTCAGTCCCGAGGTGTTCCTGAAGGACAAAACGCGAGATCTCAGTTCCCGGGGGATCTCGATTCCATCGTTGAGGGGAGTGACGTGACAGGGCTCAATGCCATTCAAGTAAGCTTTCCAGTAGTTCATATCGTCATCCTGTGATCTGTTCTGGATGTACGAGATATAATCGCTGTACTTTGGCTTTGTGGTCGCGCTTCCCTTTCCAATTTTCGAGTGCAGACCTGTCGCTCCAGCAGCGGACACGAGATTTCTATAGCTTGTAGAAAGGTCCCGGAGTAAAATCGGGACTGAAGTCCCATCACATATTGCGTGACTGATTTCGAGCTTGCAGAATAGACCCCTTTCTGTCTTGCAAAGACTAAGCCTGTGCGGTGGGTGCTTGTCTTGGAAATTGACAGGCGACTGCTTCTTGAAAACGTTCAATAATTCGGAATGCGAGCACTCAAGCCAGGCGACTCTGGCAGTCATATCCTTCAATACAACTTGGTCATTCGAACCTTCTTGGCATACACTCTCCACAAATATTGTTCTGAGAATGGAATGTTGGTCGATGACAGCTTGCCAAGCTTCTGCAAGATGCCGAGCATCAATGCCCAGCCCGTCATTGGCACGAGCCTCAAAAATAGAGCAGTAAGCATACAGCTCGGGGTTCTTGAGCTGTGCAAGTAGCATGCCTTGTTGTATCGGAGACGAAGGATAAACGTCCTCGACTTCTGCGAGAGACCGGACGCCGAGTAGAGGTAACTTCTCCATCAACTTCGAGATGCCGTTGTACACTAATGGAAGGCGGGGAAAGTTACAGAGTGTTTGTTCTGGCTTCATTTGTACCAAACGCTTGATAGCATCTTGTAGTGACCGCTCGCATTCCATGATCCACCGCCGGATCTTGGCTTGTCTCTTCATGTTTTTATTGTACGAGAAAGACATCCTGATGACTCCATTTGTCACGGATGCGGATATCTCGAACAATGCAAAGCGTGGCACATCTTTGCCGATATCGAACTCAGTATTGGTAATTGCTTCCACTGGCTGGAAAAGAGCTTCTTTCCGCTCAAGTTGTTGCAATTTCCCTAAGTAATTGAACGTTATTTCCATAGGCCAATGCTTTGAAAATCGCTGATTCCCGTCGTCGGTGAGGAGGCGACGGGCGAAATATGGTCGTCCTTTATCAGGAACTCGACGTCTCAGATCTTTGACCCAGCGAATGGTGTTCATCAGATCGGATTCTCCGTCGATATTGGTTGGCAGGAAAACGGGACACATGGTAGTGAACCACCCCACAGTTCGCGATAAGTCAAGCTTTAAGCCCTCCCACGGTTCGCGACCATGGCCTTCGTTGTAAATTGCTGGGACAGCAGAGCAATCAGAGAAGACTTTGTTGAATGAATGAAGCAGAGTTGCCAGAAACACGTCAATGGCCTCTGTTTGCATTGATTCGTGACATCTTGCGAGGAGGGCCAAAGATGAATTGGCATCCAGGTCAAATCCATTCTCGATAACGTCACCTGACAGGTTTTTCCTATCGCCCATGTCCCAGTACTCAAAGTTAGCAGCCGGGACGTCTTCTAGTAAGCCAATGACTGCGTGATGGTTACTCTGTGCCTGCTCAGCTTGAAGACGAGACCAAGTCTGGAAAGGGAGAGGCGTCTGCAATGTGGACGTATCGCATGAGAGAAGGTCTTCGAGATCCTGGAGAATTATCCTCCACGAAACGACATCGATAATGAGATGGTGGGCGACGAGAGAAAGAATCTGTTCCTCAGAGCCACTCGTCTCGAACAGATCCGCGATAAAGACAGGTCCAGTGGAGATGTCGAGCAGGCTGTGGCTGTTCTGTAAAAGAATGGGAATTTCACTCTCGTTCGGTTTGTGCACTCGGAAGAGATAGGATCCAGGGAGATCAATGACTTGTTGTTGCCATATGCCTGCATCATTTCTTTGAAAACGAGCCCGGAGCATCGAGTGAGCTGTAACCAAGGAGCTCAGAGCCGCAGAAACTCTTTCGGCACTCGTGGGTCTGGTCAAGCGGACTAGCATGCTCTGACTGAAATGACAATTCTTGTCACCGACACATTCAAAGAATAATCGTTGAATAGGGGACAGGTCGAAAGGCTTGTCAACTTCCTCAACTTGTTGTACGACCTCTTCAGGGAGTTTGACTAGTAGCGCTAAGTCAGAAACGGATTTGCTTTGGATGATGTCCTTTACAGTCACTCCAAGTCCATGAGATCGGCAGGTTGACATGACCTGCATTGCCGAAATCGAATCTCCTCCAAGGTGGAGGAACGACTGATGTAGGCCGATTTGCCGTGGCGGTAGATTCAAAACCATGCCCAGAATTTCTTGCAGCTGGCGCTCTACTGGATTGACTTGGATCTCTTGATCCGTGCCAGCTACGTCAGAAATCTGTTCGAATGTGTGCGAGTCCATGGTTTCCAAATATTGCTCTATCCTGCGTCGGTCAAGCTTCCCCGATGGTTGCAAAGGTAGGGATTCCAAGACAACCCAAGAAGAAGGTACCATATAAGATGGCAAATGCACACACAGTCGATCCTTGACAGCAGCCACAGAGAACTTTGTTGCTTCGTTGACAACAGTCTTGAAGGCGCCAGGAGCGATGGCCGAAGCCGAAGATTCTTGAAGCGACAGAGCAACCACGAGACGGCCTGTGCAAAAGCCTGCATGGGGAACGGAAGCGAGAACATGCCTTATTGAAAGATCTTCTCTAAGGTGATGCTCCACCTCGCTTAGCTCTATTCTCTGTCCATGTATTTTGGTTTGCGTGTCCTTGCGTCCACAGAAGAGGAGTTGACCTTCTGCTGTATATTTGACCAGATCACCAGTGCGATACATTCGTCGGTGGACATGATCATTATTCCGAGACCAAGCGGGGTCTTCAATGAACACTTCCTTCGTCTTGATATCGTTCTTGAGATATCCATTCGCTAAAATTGGTCCCTCAATCACCAACTCGCCGACCGCTCCCACGGGACTTAAACGATTCCAATTGATGATATCCACAACCCACGAGCGGCCACCTACAGCTCGGCCCATGTTATTGGGAAGTGTTGTTAGATTCATCTGAGAGTTCGCTGCTGCGACAACTGCAGCCTCGGACGGCCCATAGGCATTGATAAGTTCGAGCTTATCAGCCCACGTCGTGATGTGCGATTGCGACATAGCTTCTCCACCAAGTACAAGAGTCTTCAAATTTGGAATGTCGGAAGGTTGCACGAGCTGGATAAATGAAGGCGTCAAAAGGGTCCAAGTGATTTCCATTCTGTTGATGACGCCGGTGATGTTGTTCAATCTCTCATCTTCGTCCGGAATGCAAACACATCCACCTAAAGTCAGGGTAGTCAGAATCTCCAACAAGCTTGCGTCAAACGTGTAGCTTGCAAACTGAAGCACTCGCGAATCTGAAGTGATGCCGAGAGCTGGACCATGAGCGGCAGCACCAGAACAGAATGCGGCATGTTGCAGGATAGTTCCCCTTGAGATTATTAGCACGAAGCGCACTGTGACAACTTTAGGTTATACTAACTTTGGCTTCCCCGTGGTTCCGGATGTAAATATGACGTAGCAGGGGTCTTGTGGGCTGACGGAGGGAAGTGTATCCTCCTTTGAACACAGTCCGGCGATCAAGTGACTATCCACAACAATCACATGAGATGATATATTTTGGCAAACCTCGGCGAATGAGGGAGAACAAATAAGCAAGTTCGCCTCCGTATCCTCAACAATACCTCGAAGTCTGGAAATGGGGGCTGCTGGATCCAAGGGTACAAAAGCAGCCCCTGACTTGAGGATCGCAAGCATCGCGACAACAGTCCAAGCAGACTTCTCAAAACATATTGGTACGAGCGAATTCTGGACTCCATGATGAACCAAGTGTCTCGCTAATTGGGTTGAAATACTGTCCAGCTCTGGATAGGTAAAGCTGGAATTCCAGCCATGTACAGCGATTTTTGATGCCGGCTGCTTGAGGACTTGTCGCTCGATCAGGCTGTGAATACAATCTTCAGCGACAGTAAGAGGCTGGCTGTTCCAGGATTTGATCATTTCTTCGTCCATTGGATTCAGGGTCTGGATGTCGTAAAGCTTGATATTTTGGCTACTTGGAGAAAGAAGCTTTCGAAGAATAAACCCGAATTGGACCAAAAGTCTCTCTACAAGCCATGTAGAAATGCTATCATGGTCAAAATGAGCCTCAAACTCCACGCTTTCGGCCAAAATTTGGCAAGAGACTGTCAATGAATACGAATAGAAATTAGTTCCTGCGGTACCTGAGCTCGTCAGATTCCAGATCCCAGTCGAAGATTCGTTAGCGTTGTGATGAATAGCGAGCAGATTCTGGAAGCCACACGCGACAGCTGCATCTTGGCTGACATGCTTGATGCGTTGTAGTCCAGCATATTGGTAGGGAATTGCTTCAGCGGAGGACGATTGAACTTCTTCCAGAAATTCGCAAATTGTCATCTCGCAATTGATTCGGATGCGGGTAGGAATAGTCGCGAGTGTCGGTCCAACGATCTGCTCGATGTCGTGAACTGGAGCATCTCGCCCAGTGAGAGTTTCTCCAAACACGACATCTTCAGAGTTTCCAGAGTATGCCGCGAGAAGCAACGCCCAGGCAGCTCTGATGACTGACGGTAAAGTGATGCTGGAACCCGAATTGCGAGTCACCTGCACGGTATGTGATGAGACGCTTGTGGCTTGAACTTGGTATGCCGGGTGTGGCAGGGCAGGAAATTGCGCTGCTGTGGTAGCAGATAGCTTGCTCAACCAGAAAGCATCAATAGTTGCATTATCCACCCCAGCAAGATATTTGATGAATCTAGGATATCCTCTGCCAAGTTTTGTGTCTGGGGGTGAAACATTGTTGTAGCATGCTTCCACCCTCTCGAGTAGGATTGGTAACGACCATCCATCGTAGATAGCATGATGCGCAGTCCACACGAAATGACCCGTGTCTTTGACCATCGTATAGCTTGCAAGAGTTCCGCCGTTGTGTGAAGGTAGCTGTCGTTTATCAAGAAGAACGTCTTCGAGAGTGGCAGCAACGTGCCAGGCAAGAGGCTCACGAACCACTACTTGCAGAAATCCCGAAGACTCAGTGAACACAATTCGCGTTCTCAGAATGAACTCAATATCAAAGACCATTTGCCATGCCGCTCGAAATCTGTCAAAGTCGATGTCTGCCGGCAATTTGTAGATGTTCTGGGCCACATAAGCTCCGGGGTCTTTGTTCGACAAAGCTATGAGGCCTTCTTGAATTGCGGTGCACGGGTATATATCTTCGATGAGCTTGGGATCCACAAGACAGTGAGAGGATACTTCCACGATAAGTTCTGCCAGAGGTATTTTCTGAGAGACCAAATCGAATGGCTTCACCTCACTCTCCATTGCAGAGGCACCCCCGCCGACCATCGACTTCGCGTCCAAGGCCAGATCGGAAAGCTTAGGTTTTTGGAATATACTGGCAACCGTAAGTGTGATTCCTTTTGCTCGAGCGGCGGTGATCAGTTTCATGGCGCCAATTGAATCCCCTGACATCCGGAAGAAATTATCATCTGCGCCAATAGTGTCCCGCTCCAAATTCAGTACTGATTCCCAAAGCGTTGCCAAAGTCTTTTCCATTGCCGTTGATGGTCGAGAACTAGACCTTTGAGCCAGCCTGTACTGTGTGGCTTCTGTTTCAGACAGTGATCGGCATACGTCTCGTAGGCTTCGGCGGTCAAGCTTGCCAGAAGAGGTCATGGGCATTCTCTTCACTGGGATATACAAGGTGGGTACCATATAACTGGGGATCAGAGCAGCGATAGCCGCCTGTAGCGCAGCTGCAGATGTTCTGACATCGGCTGACATTGGTAGTAGAAGAGAGTCCATTTCGGACACTGATTTGGAGTTCTCGATGCAAAGGAAAGCGGCGAGAGCTTTCCGGCTGCCACTGAGTGTGACAAGCTCAACTGCAGAATTGATACCAGGTAAGACATTGGATTTGACGTGATGTTCAATCTCGCCCAATTCGATACGCTGCCCATTGAGCTTGATTTGAAAGTCTTTCCGGCCAAGGTAAGTGATTGTGCCATTCGAATTGTATCTTGCTAGATCACCTGTCTTGTACAGCCGATGATATCCTTCAGCCACCCACGCAGGGTTGATGATGAATGCCTTCGAAGTTTTTTCTGGGTCATTGAGGTACTCACGAGCGAGGATAGGACCCTCGATCAGCAGCTCGCCAACACAGCCGATTGGCATGAGCTTATCATGATTTGATGGATCTACAATCCACGATACGCTTCCAATCGATCTGCCGATATTGGTCGCCTCAGAAGAGGCCAGCAAGTCCCCATTCCAGGAACTGTTGATCGAGCACTCCGATGGACCGTAACAACAATGGAGAGAGATCTCTTGTCCCCACGTATCAATGTTCTCTTTAGTCAGAGGCTCGCCACCTAGGGAAAGACCCTTTACCGTCGGAATGTCTGATGGATTAAGGAAGCTGGCTACTGTGGGAGTGATATCCATGAAATTGACATTGAGTCTATTGATGGCGCCGGCCAGGTCATTGACGCGATCGTGCTCGGATGGAATACAGACACAGCCACCCCTCATGAGGGTTATGAACATTTCTTCCAGACTGTTGTCGAAAGTATATGAAGCGAATTGCAAAACTCTAGATTTCCGATCGAGTTGATATGCAGTGCCAGTAGCGTGGCCACTTGTGACAATAGCTTGATGCTCAAGTACAACACCCTTTGGCAAGCCAGTCGAGCCGGAAGTGTAAATGACAAAAGCAGGGTTGCTGGGCTGGACTGATGTGGCTGTTGGGAGGGACTTGTCGGGCAGACTGTGTACGAACTGCTCATCGATTGCCAATGCGTTGACGTTCATGTCTTGAAACAGTCCTAATCTAGAAGGAGATGTCAGAACAACCTTTGCTCGGGTGTCTTTTACTCTCAGTTCAAGTGCTGCTTGGGGATGTGTCGCATCCAAAGGAACCGCTGCGCCTCCTGCTTTGAGAACCGAGAGCATAGCAACGACCGTCCATGCGGATTTATCGAAGCATGTAGGCACATACATCTCAGGACCAATGTCCATCGAAGAAATCAGGTAATATGCCAAACGATTCGAGAGTGCGTCAAGTTCGGCGTAAGTGAGCTCGCAATCCCAGGAACAAATTGCCGGGGCTTGGGGTTGCTCCAGTACCTGGCTCTCGATGACTCTGTGCACACAATCGTCTATACTCTGTGGTATACTGGAGTTCCAAACATTGCAGATCTGTTCAGAGTGCTTCTCGTTGAAGTGATCAAGCTGCTCCACAGGTAACTTGGAATTGTGAACAATGTTTTCAATGGCCTTCAAGAACACTTCCCCGATGTTGCCCGCCTGTCCATCTGATATGTAGTCCGTCCAATAGTCCAGGTCAATCGCCGCGTTACTGTCTGATGCTTCGATGTTGATGGAAAGCGGATATTCTGTCGGATCATAGGTGGGGACTACTTCTTGGAATGACACTACATTCTCTTCAGCGGATTGCGTTGGTAGTTTTCGGTAAGACAATGCGGTGTTGAAAAGAGCGCTTCCGGAAAGCAGCAAACTGTGCTGAACTTCGGCCAGCGATAAGGTCCTGTGCGGGAGACTCTCTACATGGTCTTTCTGGACTCGATCCAGGACTGTCTCGAGTCGATTAGAGGGCACGATACTAACTCTACAGACCAGAGTATTGATGAACGGTCCGACAGCATCCTCAATCCCAGGAATAGGGGCATCTCTTCCACTAGACAGATATCCAAAGCATACATCATCCGAAGCTGTATAACAACGGAGCGTGAGCGCCCATGCGGTATGGAGTATATTGGAGAGTGTCAATGACCTATCTTTACAAAACTGTTGCAGTTGAATGAAGTCTGAGTCTTTCAAGCTCAGACGTAAAGAGTGAAGTTCTGACTTTGAGGACACGCCATCATTCAGGATAGGAAACACTGAAGGCTCGGCATTTTGGAGATAATTCTTCCAATAATCAGCACTGGCCTCGTAGGGTTGGTTCTGAAGGTGTGCAATGTAGTTGCTGTACAAGGGCCCTGGTACAGCACACAGTCCCCCTTGATATGCAGCGGCGAGGTCGCGAAAGATGATTGACATCGATGTGCCGTCCATGATCGCATGGCTGATTTCCAACTTGCAAAGAACTTCTCCGTCAGATGTCTTGCAGATAGTGAATTTGTGCGGAGGATGACCATTTTCCCTGTAAAGACTTGGATCTTGTTTCTCCAAGACATGGAGAGCATATCGCCCAGTGCTACAGTCTACATGGCAGATACTGGCAGCAACTTTCTTCAAAACGACCTGGTCGTACAATCCGTCATCATTGGTAACACTCTGAATAAAAACAGTCCGGAGGGGTGGGTGTCGATCGACAACTTGCTGCCAAGCTCTTGCGAGCTTGTTGGCATCTGCTGGAGCATCTGACCGATCTTTGAGGCGATGAACGACCTGTACAGCATAGAATGAAGAACTCTTGGCTTGACTAATTAGGATACCTTCTTGCATTGAAGAGCAAGGATAAATATCCTCAATATTGTCAATGTTGGATATGCCAAGCGTGGGCAACTTGTCTCTGGTAAGAACTTCGAGCTGGTCGTAAGCAAGTGACAGAAGGGGAAAGTCGCCGGGAGTTGCTTCTGGCTCTCGTTCGGAAAGCGACTTGACCATTTGACAAAGGGTCTCGCGACACCCAGAAATCCAATGTCGGATCTTTTCTTGATGCTTCATCTGGTGATTGAAGGTGAATGCGAATCGAAGCTTCCCTTGTGCGATGACCGCAGAGATCTCGAAGAGACCAAATCGTGGAGCGTTCTGTCCAACATCTGCTGTGCCACCAGCACCTCGAGTCTCACCGGCCATGGTACCCACTGGCTGTAAAAGAGCGCCTTTCCGCTCGAGCTGCTGGTATTGCCCCAAGTAATTGAAAGTAACTTCAAGCGGCCAATGTTGCTGAAATCTTTGGCCACCTTCCTCTGTCAGGCACCGACTTGCGAAGTACAGTCTGCCATTATCCGAAACCCTGCGCCGGAAATCTTTCACCAGCTTCAGAGTATCGATTTGACTATGAAAATTGCCAATATGAATTGGGTACATCACGGTAAACCATCCAACAGTTCGGGAGAGATCCACAGCCATTCCAGATGGTTCACGTCCGTGGCCTTCGTTGAAGATAGCTGGCAATTGTCGGTCTTCGAAGGTGTTGCCAAATGAGTATATGAGGGATGCGATGAGAACATCAACAGTTTCTGTACGAAGAGCTACGTGACACTGATTCAGCAGAACGGATGTTGTTTCCTGATCAACATCGAATCCCTCACATGCGACTTGGCCGTACGTGTTAGGATGTCCTGACATGCCCCAGTACTCGAAGTCACCCTGTCGAATGTCAATGAACGGGAAAGTGTTATCGATAGCCACTGTTTGGGACTGGTCCAACTGCATCTGGCACCAGGCTTGGAACGAAGTAGGCTTCTCAACGGAAGATGTCCCGAATCTCAGGAGTAACTCCTCGAGATCCTCGAGAATCACACGCCAGGAGACTAGATCAATGACAAGATGATGGCCAACTAGAAATAAGAGCTGTTCGCTGCCATCTCGCTTCGGATCATTGAACAGATCTGCTGCAAATACGGGCCCGGACACGACGTCCAGACAGACTTGACTATTGGCTATAGCTAAGTCTCTCTGTTTGGCATCGCTCAACTCGTGTTCTTTCAAACGATAAGATGCAGAAATATCGCTAGTGATGCGTTGCTGCCACGACCCATCTCCTTCTGGCCTATTGAAGCGGGCTCGAAGCATCGAGTGGCGCCAAACAATCGTCTCAAGTGCAAGTCCTAGCTCGGACTTTGTGATTTTTTGAGTGACGCGAAGGAAGAAGCTTTGATTGAAATGGCCCCTCCCTTGATGTGGAAGCATAAAGTACATCTTCTGGATTGGAGAGAGCTCGAAGGGCCGTTCGAGGATCTCCTCATGGTGGGACTTGCGTTCAAGCACTCTGGCATACTGGGCCAGGACAGTGATAGACTTGCTCCGAAGAATTTCTTGCACTCCAACATCGATACTCTGCTTCGCGCAATATCCTCTGACCTGCATGGCCGTGATACTATCTCCACCCAGGCTCATGAATGAGCGGTCAAAGGGAATCGAATCGGAAGGGAGATTAAGCACGTGACTCCAGCTGTCTCTCAATGTGGTCTCCATTTCAGATGAAGCAATAAGAGCCAGATTTCCACTGTTGTTCTTGGAAGTCGGCAGTTCGACAACCTGGCGGTAGGTTTCATCATCCATACTCTCAGTCCAGCTGGCGATAGCCTTACGATCAATTTTCCCCGATGCCAAGAATGGAAGGCTTTCAACGAGGACTAACAAAGTCGGGACCATGTGGATGGGGAGGTGTGCCATTAACGAGTTTCGGATGACCTTCCTCTCATCCGATATCTCATTGATTATCTTGAGTGGTTCGATCCTATCGCGGGCTGTTGTTGTATTCGATAGGCTCAGCACTGCTATCAGCCTATCCTTGAAGATACCCAATTTTGGAAATAGGACAGCTCCATTAGACACCAGTGCGTGTGCTGTGAGGTGATGCTCTATTTCGCCCAGTTCGACGCGCTGACCGTGTACTTTGACTTGCGTATCCTTCCGACCAGCAAACTCAAGTGTTCTGTCGAGATTTTGCCGGACTAGGTCGCCAGTCTTGTACAAGCGCCACTGTCCGACTTCCTTACTCTGCAACCATGAAGCAGTGTCTAGGAATGCAAATGCAGTCCTATCAGTATCGTTGTGATAGCCAAGGGCCACGCTCGGACCTTGGATCACAAGCTCCCCAATGCTACCGATAGGCACCAGTTTCTCATGGTTCGTCGCGTCGACCACCCAGGCGTGAACGCCAGTTGCAAAGCCGATATTTGTCGGGGATGTCGAAGCAGTAACAGAGGAGTTGACAACTGCTGCGACAGATGCCTCACTCGGGCCATATCCATTAACCAAATTGATATGTGACCAGCGTTCTAGATGACTTCTGTTCATTGCCTCGCCAGCCAAAACCAGAGTTTTGAGTCCTGGGACGTCGTTAGGGCTGATGAAGTCGATGAACGAGGGGGTCAAAACCGCCCAATTGACTCGGAGTTGATTAATTGTTGTGGCCGTATCATTCAATCTATCCTCTTCGCTTGGGATACAGATCACACCGCCGGCCATTAGGGTGGTAAGGATTTCGACCAAGCTGGCATCGAACGTGTGGGCGGCAAATTGCAGTACACGTGACTCTGCAGTGATCAGCATTGCCGGTCCATGGGCTTTGGCTCCTGAGCAATAAGATTGATGTTGGATCATTGTTCCCTTAGGCTCTCCGGTTGTTCCGGATGTCCAGATGAGATAAGCTAAAGCGGTATTGTTGACCTTCGGGAGGGATTGTTTGCTCCCTGGTAGGCTGTCGATTTTCAGTTGGTCCACGGGAACAAGGACACAGTTGCTATCCCGGAGCATTCCTGTATATCTTTCTGAGCAGAGGATAGTCTTCGCCTTGAGTTTGTTAGCTAGCATTTGGATTCGATCGATAGGCGCCGCTGGGTCCAGGGGACTGAAAGCTCCACCGGCTTTCATCACCGCAAGCATCGCTACGACATTCCATGGGGATTTGTCGAAGCAGAGGGGAACAAAATCGCCCTCACACATGCCGGAGTCGACGAGATGAGCTGCAAGTCTGTCTGACTTTTGATCGAGGTCCAGGTATGAGATGGAACCGTCAATGAAGCAGATCGCTTCCGCATCGGGGTTAGCTAACACATTATCATGAATGACTTCATGAATACACCTCTCCACCTCTTCGAGAGGCGTACTATTCCAGTGCCTGATTTGTTCTCTGTCTCTGCCGCTCAAGAAATCTAGAGAAGAGATTCTGCTGTCGGGTCTGGTGCAGATTTGGCTGAGTACTGCATCCAAAGTCCCAGCAATGTTTGACAGCTGAGATCGACTTAGTTTTCCGTTTCGCCCCTCGAGGAGCACATTAAAAGAACCGAGACACACTCGTACACCAACAATGACATCGCGCTACACAATTGTCAGTCAAATTATTGCGAAATCGAGCTCGATGGTACTGACCTGCTCATGTGAAAGAGTAGCTAGCGCTGCGGAATCTTGCTCTGCATCCGCAGCTTCAGAATCTTCTTCCACGATTAGACATGTGTTGTACATGACGTTTTCACCAGCCGGCTGCTTTGATATTTCGACTTCCGCGGTGTCTTCTGAGAGAATCGTTGACAAAATATTTGCAATGGTCGAATTCTCATCAATGATAGTTCGGCATACCGTATTCTTTGCCGAGGCCCCACACTGGAAAGCTCCTTGAAACCCGAACGATACATGATCCTCATTCGTATAGCATCTGAGGACAAGCGACCATGCTACCCGGAAGATTGAGCTGGCATTTGTGTCAGTAAGTAGAGCTTCAAGTTCTTTCCGATGGCGAATGTCAACATCGGTGGACAAAGATTGTTGACAACTATCAAAGTGGACTCCGAGTGAAGGACGCTTGCAAGGTTGAGAGCCTTCGAATGTTGATGGGTATGAGGAGCTGCCGTTTTGATTCATGTTACTGTTCGCCATACTGCCTCGATTTCGATTATGAAAGGTTATGATGAGAGCTGAATGATGATATGTTTTCGGTTGGCTTTGGAGGTCTTTTCGGCTGCTGCTATTCAGAAGATAAGTTACAGAGATTTCCTCTTTTCAAACTGCTGTTCGAGTCAGGAATTGTGCAAGAAGTCTTGCACAGATACAGGGTGTGGATAATGGGACCTTCCTTTCGTCGTACCCTTTGTGTGTGGAAAGCTTACAACTACAAGTCAGGTGAATACTTGTTGATCGTGTATGCGGGGTGTGACGTGAAGCATGACCACACAGGACAGCTAAAATGCTCGACGTGGACTTGATGTAGTTTGATTCGAGAGTGACTGCAGAAAATACCCGGCAAGTGCGATGGCTCAGACTTTACAAGGTCTTTGAAAACGGTGGATAGTTCAAAATTGTTCTCAATCCAGTATTCGATCTTAATTGCCAATGCAAGTGGTGTTAATCATATGGGAGTGCGAAAACTCAAGGACGAATTATACTGATTCTGTCGATCGTACCTTCTCTTGTTGAGAAGATCACAAAGGCTATCTGTGTTCGAATCCTATGCCAATAGATTTTCAGAGTGATGTAATGACCCGAGGGTAGGCAAATGGGGCATGGTGACGCGCAGTCTACTCTTACGCGTGGACAGATCCCGAACTTTCCAGCGCCAATTTTGGAGCCCGTTCGTAACAAACATTTGATTTCTTTGACCATGAACACTCCTAGCTCCATTACCAAAAAAAAAAAACATCGGATGATCCAAAAGCATCGACGTGGTGTCCGAGAAGCTCAGAAAGACGGAGCCATATCTCCGTGGCATCTTCAACAAGGGTACCATGGAAAACAACGTGCCCGTCTCATATGGGATCGTCACTTGTCATCGAGAAACCACACATATTCAGCTTTTGGCGTGAAGCCTTCTGCGTCACTGGGATGGGAGACTAAGAAAGTAACATCCTTCAGCCGCAAAGTCATTGCTCAGCCTGGACATTTCAAGCAGTACAAGGCCTCGCTAGTGCCGGAAGAATCGCACAAGCCTGCAAATGACTGGAGAGGCTCAAGTGCAACCACCTGTGTTTCCAAGCAATCAACTCGCCTGAAGCGGTATTGCATCTCGTAATGGGCGTTATTCCACGAGTTGGTGGCGACCTGGGAGACTGATACTTGACAGGTGGGGCCATGTTTTTTGCCGGAGCTCAAGCTGAGCATTGATTGACAGCAGAGGTATGTATGAATTGACGTGGTCACACAGATATCCCAGCTGTATGGTGATTCGGTGCATCATTGTGATGCAGGATGCTGTTGAGCATGGACGTCGTCAAAGTTCAAATGAGGTCTAGGCCAGATACAGGCTAGTGTCTCGGCAAGCGAGGCTAAGTCCTCAAATGAGCCAAGCGCAGTAGCTTTCTCTAGACGACATCTCATCCCGTCTTCTGCATCCCGTTGATGTGCCCTGGACATCCTCGACCCCAGACCGCAGGGCACGCCACCTGCGGTCCGTTCAGCCCGTCCTGGAGACAGGCCATCTTGTTTGACCGCGCTATCGGGGTAGCCTCTTTGACCGGGCTCAGCTCTCTTGGAGTTGCGGGGACGGCAAGTTCCAGATACACAAACATCTTGTATCAACCTTTGGGGGTCTATCATCTAGATCCTACGCGGGCCACACAGGGAACTAGATGCCCTCCTACATTATATTTGGGCAATTAAGTCCAACATGCTCTAGTTCAGCTATCACGGCCCCACTTGTGGCCATCCACCGCTCTGCTCAGCTTCTTGCCACTTAGTATTGATTGGCTATGGGCTTACTCATGCGTGTCTTGTAACCACTCGAATGCTGTAACGAGAGGATTTTGGCCTGCTTCGTCTCGTTACCCCCCAACATTTCCTAGATTTTGACGTGATTTACGAAAGCTCGTTCGGAGTCGATTTGCACGTCTGGCTTGCTCCTTGGCTTTGTTCACGTGGACCATGATCATTCTATCATCGCGATCTTCGTCTCCAAGCATGTCTATTTGAACAGGCCCCACGAGCTGTCGAGGTTCTACGATCGGCCGATGACATATTCAAGCATCTCATCTTGCGAGTCGGCCCATGCAAGCTGTCGATCTCCGTCCAACAAAACCACGTAGCCTCACCTGTATGTCTTTTCTGGGAGTCGATCCGGCTATGAAGCTCTCTGTCAGTGCAGATCAGAGCCACTTCCGGTGTCTCGGATTAACAGTGCCTTCCACGTTGAGCTCTTAGACTCGATAACCTACATGCAGTATGGCTCCCGGGCTGAGGTCAGAGTTTTTTTTGCCAGCTCGGAATGCTTGAGTGACATTGAAGCGCATCATTTTTGCCATACCCAAGGATTTGAGAAGCACTGCATACCCCCGTCGACACTTTCCTATAATTTCGCAAAGCTGTCGTATCATGCTGTCTATCTGTACTTCCCTCCAACGAGAGAAGTCATTCTATTTTACACCACGTAATCATGGACTCGGAAGTATATGCTTTGTGCGAGAACAGAGATGACACGTTTGGTCCTCATGCTGGCAATTGTCGCGGTGGTTTTGACTTCACCTTGATGTTCGAGGAAGTTGTCTTAACCATACTTCCACTTGCCTTCATCCTCCTTTGCGCGCCATTCCGAATTTTTTATCTCTTGAAGAAGCAGTCAAAGGTCAACCGGAGCTGGCTTCTTTTCGGAAAATTGGTCTGTATTCGTGATCCCGGTACCTTTCTCCTAGGTGTTTCGCTGACTTGATGAAAGGCATTTTACGCTGCTTATGAAGTAATAAGTCTCTGCCTCGTCGTGAATTGGGCAGCGCCGGGAGCTTCGAAAACGAGTGCCTCTATTCCTGCGGCCGTGTTGACGCTTGTTACATTCCTGATCCTTCCCATCCTTTCCTATGTGGAGCATACCAAATCGGTGCGGCCTTCGTTGCTCCTTAATACCTACTTTCTCATTTCCACTATTTTCGATGTGGCCCGCACTAGGACTCTATGGCTCAAGTCTCAAGACAAGAACGCCAGCAATTTCACAGTCGCTCTTGCCTTGAAGGTCGTCATCCTCACTCTGGAGGCAGTGGAAAAGCGTCGAATTCTCAAGCCAGAGTTTCATTGGTATCCCACCGAAGCAACCAGTGGCATCTACAATACGAGTTTGTTTTGGTGGTTGAACGAGCTGCTTCGTCAAGGGGCTCGACAGACCTTATCTCTTGACGATTTATTTGCACTCGATAAGCATCTTATTTCGAAGAACTTACATCTTTTACTAGAGGCAAGTTGGATGAAAGGTATTCCACTCGAGCACACCCTATCCTTACTCCATCTGATTATATGTCATAGTAAATTCGCGTGGTGCACACACCTTACTTTGGTCAACCTCGCGGGCACTCAAATGGGCCCTGCTCTCTGCGGTCATTCCCCGCCTGGGACTGACAGCTTTCAACTTCTGCCAGCCATTTCTCCTTCAGCGCGCCATTGAACTTTCCCAGCAACCTGTCACAACGGCCTCAACTAATGTTGGCTATGGACTCATTGGCGCTTACTTTCTGGTATATGCTGGCATTGCGGTAAGTCCCTCAGCAAAGTTGTGAGAAGTATACTGAGTCGGATTTCAGGTTACAACCGGCCAGTTCCAGCATCTCACGTATCGGGTCATTACGATGATCAGAGGAGGCCTGATTTCGATGTTGTATGGAAAAGCTACAGAGCTTAGCCTCACAGCAGCAGATCCTTCTTCCTCAATGATATTGATGAGTGCAGACATTGAAAGGATAACAACCGGCTGGCAAACCATTCACGAATTGTGGGCAAACTTCATTGAAGTCGGATTGGCCATATATCTGCTGGAGAGGCAACTGGGTGCTGCTTGCGCAGTGCCCATTGCGGTAGCAATTGGTATGTTGACAGGCATTAAGAACGTTGAAGTGGCATTAACATAATCTCGTTCACTAGTGTCAATGGCAGGCTCCCTGGTCGCAACAAGTCTGGTCATGTCTCGTCAAGCTCTGTGGCTTGAGGCAATTGAAAGGCGTATCGCCGCAACTACCGAGATGCTCGGATCCATGAAAGGGGTGAAAATGTGCGGCCTCACCGATGTACTTTCCAAGGAACTTCAGCATTTGAGACTCGAAGAATTGCGAATATCAAAACGATTCAGGAAACTACTAATATGGAATATGGGATTCAGTGAGTTTGCCAACACCAGATGAAGTCAGCTACTAAGTAGTTTGCGATAGCTTATATCACACCAATTTGCGCACCTATTCTTACCTTCACTGTCTATTCCGTGATAGCTCGCAACCAAGGGAATGGTGCCACACTCGACACCGCAAAAATATTTACCTCGCTATCATTATTTACGTTGCTAGCTGATCCCCTGCAGTCGCTCATAATGTCTATGGCTACATTCGCAGGATCAATTGGTTCCTTTCAACGCATTCAAGAGTTTCTTTCAATAACTCGTCGCGTAGACGAACGAAAATTGAGTAGCCACTTCTCATCGCCACGTTGCCACAGCGATGCGTCGACCGAAGTCATCACTGCCATTCCAGACGTGGCTGACGATGTTGAAAACGAGAAGTCCATTTTTGAAACGCTTACGGACGACATGCAACTCAGCTCCGTTGATGGGATTCTTGTTGTCGATGCAACATTTGGTTGGAATGCAGACAGACCCGCTACATTGAAAGATATCACTTTCAGGATTCCCCGAGAAAGCATATCAATACTCATGGGCCCGGTCGGATGTGGTAAATCTACGTTACTCAAGGGGATCCTCGGTGAGGTACCTCTACTGACTGGATCCGTTCATTTGCCATCCTCCGAGATTGCTTTCTGCGATCAGACACCTTGGCATATGAATGGCACTATTCAGGAAAGCATCCTTGGCGTCTCGGAAATGGAGGAAATATGGTACTCTACTGTTACTCGAGCATGTGCTCTCGACGAGGACTTCAGTCAGCTGTCACGTGGAGATCAGACATCCATTGGCAGTAAAGGAATATCCCTGTCTGGAGGCCAGAGTCAACGCATCGTAAGTCCGGCTTAGTCTGGCTTCTTCAAACATGCATACCTTCTGACACACACAGGCTCTGGCACGAGCAATATATGCACGGAAAAGGATAGTTGTATTGGATGATGTACTTGGCGGCCTGGATGTTGATACCGAGAATCGCGTCTTCCACAATCTTTTCGGGCGCAACGGTCTTTTACGAAAGCACAGCACCACTACTTTGATAACTTCTTCATCAGGTGCGTACATCCGCTCATCTCATCTCATTCTTGCTAAATTGTGTCATAGCGAAGCGTCTACCATATTCGGACCACATCATTATTCTTTCTAGCGATGGCCAGGTTGCTGAACAAGGAAATTTCAAAGAGCTCAGCTCAAGCGGTGGCTACGTTTCAAGTTTTGGCCTTCCGCCACCAGACTGGAACTACGAGCCACCACGACCCGGCAAAGGTTCCCTTGAAAGCCAGTTGACTGAAAATTCACTTTTGTCATCCGAATTGCAGCGATCTCCTGGGAAATCGGACAGGCAGACAGGCGATGTTGCAGTTTATCTGTACTACGTGAAAGCTGTGGGCTGGATTCCTACTATCATCTTCATCATCGCCATATCCGCCTTTGTGTTTTGCATGTCCTTCCCAAGTGAGTCATGCTACCCCTCCGTCCATATCTCAAATAAAATGTATCTGACATGTCTTTTTAGCAATTTGGATTAAATGGTGGGCGGCCTCAAACGTCCAAGCTCCGAACCAGAATCTTGGTTACTATCTTGGGATTTATGCTATGTTAGGTGTTTTAGCTTTGTTATTCCTTGTAGGCAGCTGCTGGTAGGTCTGCTTTCAACTCAAGAGAAATTCAAAACTTACCTACTCATTTAGGCAACTGGTAATAACTATGGTTCCCCGTTCTGGAGAAAGTTTTCACAAGATCCTGCTGAAGACTGTTCTCAGGTGAGACCCGGACATTATGCATTATACACGGAAACTAATGATTGCCATGAAGTGCGCCTATGTCATTCTTCAATTCAACAGATACTGGAGTTACTGTCAATCGTTTCAGCCAGGATCTTATGCTCATCGATATGGAGCTGCCACTCACTGCTTTGAACACCGTGGCAAGTATGTACCAACCTTCCGTGGTACCTTTCGCCGTGCACGTACTGACTTTGTTAGCTTTGATTCTTTGCATTGCACAGATGATTCTGATCGGAGTTGCATCTACCTATTCGGCCATTTCTTTTCCCATAGTTCTCACGGCTCTTTATTTCATTCAAAAGTTCTATCTGCGCACTTCTCGGCAGCTCCGTCTTCTGGATCTTGAGGCCAAATCGCCTCTATACTCTCAATTCATGGAATGTATTAGCGGCCTAGCGACAATAAGAGCCTTTGGATGGCAACACGCCTTGGAAGAGAAGCACACAGCACTCTTGGACCAGTCCCAAAAGCCCTTCTACTTACTTTTTGCGGTCCAGAGATGGTTGACATTTGTCCTAGACCTCATTGTCGCTGCAATTGCTATAATTCTTATAACCCTCGTTGTGACGCTTCGGGGTATCATGGACCCAGGCTTCGTGGGTGTCGCACTTCTCAACGTTATATTGTTCAGTCAAAGTATCAAAATGCTTTTGACATTCTGGACCAACCTGGAAACACACATTGGAAGCATTTCTAGGATAAAATCCTTTACTGCAGACACGGAAGTAGAGAACCTGCCAAATGAAAGTGCTTCGCCTCCGCCTGACTGGCCCGCTAATGGCGCAATCGAGTTCAAGAATGTTTCCGCTGAGTACAAGTAATTTTACTTTTCTGACCAATGGATCTTTTGACTAACCTTTTCCAGAGCAGGTGAGCCGGTACTCAAGAACGTCACTCTTTCAATCGATGGCGGGGAGAAAATTGGAATCTGTGGACGGACTGGGAGGTATGTAGCATCGATTCTGACGCTTCATGCAATATCTGAACGTTGATACACAGTGGTAAAACATCATTTGTACTCAGCATTTTCCGTATGATAGAAATGAGTAACGGTTGTATTACGATTGATGGCATCGATATCTCTACGATACCACGCCAAGAGGTCCGGTCGAAGATTATTGGCGTCCCTCAAGATTCATACCTACTCACTGGCAGCGTTCGCCTCAACGCTGACCCTCATCGAGTTGCAGAGGATACGGCTATTGTTGATGCGCTCAAGTCAGTCCATCTATGGGACAAGGTCAAGGAGAAGGGCGGGCTGGACACGGATATCGATAAAGTCTTCTTGTCGCATGGACAGAAGCAGCTTTTCTGTCTCGCTCGTGCCATGTTACGCGAGAGTACTATTTTGATTCTTGATGAAGCTACTAGCAGGTCCGTATCTTTCACTCAGAGAAACTGCTTTAAAATCTAACACGCCTTACTATAGCGTCGATTCGAAGACAGATGAACTGATGCAGCGCATCATCAGAGAGCGCTTCTCAACACATACAATTATTGCAGTCGCGCATAAACTGGACACAATCCTGGACTTCGACAAAGTTTTGCTCCTCGATGAAGGCGGACTCGTCGAATTCGATAGCCCATACGAATTGCTTTCGGACGAAACATCTGCGTTCCACAAGCTGTATTACAGTTCGCATGCCGATGAAGAGGAGCTGGATGATCACATTACGTTGTCTGAGTAGAGCATTTGTCATATTGAGGGTGGAAGTCAGCGTGTTGAAGGGGGCGAATTGTAGGCAAGAGTCATATAATTATGTTTGTTTGTTTACAAAGTTCACTCTTCGTGTGTAGCTAGTTCTTTCCAGCCACGTTCGTTCTGTACAAAGATACTCCAGTCATATAGAAACAATTGCATTTCAATCCACAATCAACTAAAGTCAAGGTCAGAGAACGTCAAGCCTGGGGAACCTGGATTGACGATGTTGCGAAACACAAAATAATGCGCATCAGCCTCCTACCCCGCAATGCTGATCTCCTTGCCCTGAACGCCTCCCGCTGATCCCTAAGGCTCTCCCGCTGTTAGTGCGGCCATCAGGAAGTAATCCCTGACATCCCTACCAAATATTTCCCATTTCTAGTTCTAGCTGTTTTATACTTTCAGTTTCTTCCCGAAAGGGTTTTCACGTTTTGTCTTCGAAGTTCCTTGGATGGCCATCCCCGAAAGCCCGCAGAGCCCAGCACGGGTCTTCAGCTAGGCATGGTCCGCTCCAATTGCAGTAAGTGAAGGGCGCTCAGCCCGTGGCTCCCCAGCCATTCTGCACCTCGTATATGACTCAGGAACCTATCAGCTTTCTCGGCGGTCAACCCACTTTTCCTGGAGGCCGCATTGGGAGCGAGAAACTTGGCATCAGAACTTTGTGCCTAAATTGCCATTAGCCGGGATATAAACTTTGTGATGATGGAATCAGGGCATCAGTTTTCTAGCTTTGCCATCCTTCCAATTGTATGATCGTCATGAATGATTTGGCACCCATGCTCGCCATTGTACCATTCGTCGGTCGTAGCAATCTCCCAGAGAAGGGCTGAGAGCCTGTCTCATCTTGCAGTGTGTATAAGGGCGATCGTTTACAATACACTCTGTCTCTGAATCAACCAATCTCTCTCCAGTCCAGAAGAAATGATGCGGCCTGTCGGATTCAGACTTCAGGTGGCCGGAGGATAACGTGGAAAGTTTCGTTGGGTACGCGATTTAAGGCTGCCAAGCGACTTTTGAGTTTACCAGTAAATGACCTCAAACATCATCAAATACATCATGTTATTCCTAATCTGGCATATGCGTACAACTAAGTTTCAACAGCACGGAACGTCTTGTTTCTTTGTTCCAAGCCCGCCACAGACATCACTTCTTCAAGTGGTGCTGGTTTCCTGCATTCAAGCGCATGCAATGAGGTATTTCTTTCACCTGACCAGATCGACATTTTCTTCGGGGCTGGCACGAGTTGCAGCTGAAATGCAGGATCCGGTATACCAAAGTTGCCAACTCATGCAATTCCTGCTTTGCAGTAAACTGGTACGCTACTGCTTATGCGAGCCGCTCGCTCAAAGAGGACGCTTAATATATGCAGTGTTACATGTATATATTATTATCTGTTTTAAGGTTCTTTCAGGGACCAATTATAGCATCAACAGTCAGGCTCTTCCCGCTCCCCCGGAGTGTGCTGCGGGGTAGCAGGGATAGACAGAGGGAGATCAGATCCCCGAAGTCGGGGGATTTGCGCACTTTATCTCTGGATGTAACGCTGCGCTGGAACATCACGACTTCATGTACCAAAGCCAAAACACCACTTCCCCGTTGTCGTGTAGCCTTGTGATTCATCGTTGTACTTTGACAGGTAGCACAGAGTGCTTGGCTAGCTACTCTTGAAAAGATGAATATATTTTTCTCGTGATTTTATGCCCTGGTCTGCTAGAATCTTGACAGGAGGAAGATGCATATGGCGGTACCTTTGTCGGCCAGCCTGTCATAAATTTTCAAGAGACGCTCAAATATGCAGGGACATCATCGAATAGGGTTTACCGGTTAGAAGGAAATAAATGAATACGAGCTCAACTTTCCCAGCAGTTTGATTCAAGCAATGGCGTTGACATTCCTTGGACCCTCCATGACCTTAATTACGCCATCGTTTTAAGTGAAGATACCACCAAGGAAGTCCTTCAGGAGGCTTGTGGCGTGCGGGGAGCACGGGTGGCTGATCACTATTTCATTTTCTCCTGACCATCAAAGGTGCCACGTTCTCATACGGTGTGGGTAAGGCTGAATATCTCATGCTCCACTTTTATGAGTGATATTCCATACCAAGCTTTTGAAATTTTGAACAGCCGTAGACTAATATGAAAATCCTCCAAATCCTCCTAACGGAAAGACAAAGCTCCATTCCGAAGCAGTGGCGGTTTCCAAGTCAGGAAGGGGGTTCCTGGTTTGCGGTAGGAGATCAGCAGAGAACGTGCCCACATACTCTGCAAAATGAGGTTACATTATGCTTCAGGCTCAATAAAGTTTTATAACCACTAACTCAATCTGGTTATTGCATTCTGTGCCGTCCCGTCTGCCCAGCCTATTCAAATATCCAAGCCGTGTCCACACTTCGTAATGCACTTTCATCGTATCAATCCAAATCTGCTTAGAAGATCATCTTCTTCAGTTCTGGTCATTCCTTGTTTTGACAATGGGATTCCTCCTTCCGATCTGTCCATTATTTCTCGATCCTGCAAAATTATCACGGCACGCCAATGCAACCACGGTGTCGATCACCTAAAGATCAACGTTCGAGCAATTTAGGTCTCCTGTTGGACGAATCTAGACAAAAGTCTCCCGACTTGTTGGTAGAAGTCTGGAATTGAGACATGCAGGTTCTAGCTCAGTTCTAGTCCATGATTGACTTTTCTCTGTTTGGACGCGGATGGTCAACACCGAAAACTTTCGATATATCTCCGCGAGATTCGGCGAGGGATGGCATACTCCATGCAGGATGCCAATGATGCAGGAGGTCGCCGACTTGAAGTAAACAGTGAACGCAACATGTCCAAAGTGGCTTGCTGAGGGAGTTGGCAAGACTGACATCATTGACTTTCAAGAGCCATCTGTCCAAGTTAAGCAAGCTGCACTGGCGACGAGCAGTGCTGATCGGTGGAAGGTAGCTCTCCGCTTCGAACAGCTCACAGCTCTTGAAATCCTCCTCCAAGTGACAGGATTGATTGAATTCCTCTGACAGAGGCAACCAGAAACGTGATCCCAGGATGGAACATCATGTCGTTCACCTGGGAGCTGGTCGGTGAGCCCTGTTCAAGTGCTTTTTGACAGCTACCAAGGAGCTTGGAACATCACTCCTATCATATACTGTAGAAGATGAAAGCTCCTGATAAGACTATGGAGAAGCAATAGATGTTTGTTACAAGGAAGAGTATGGCAAACATCACTCTTCATCGACGCAGTCGACCACTGTAGAAATAACTCAACAAAATTCTTCAATATTTCAGACATTGGTTCCTTGTGCTGATAAATGCTACTGACTTACATTTGAAGTCTTTTAATGCTTGGTGACATGTCCTAATTGTCTTTCTTCTTACAATTTTTCTTGACACGCCTTCTCTGCTTCAATCGTCTGGTTAGCCTGGTTTGTCATTCTATACTCGAGCGGCGAGGAAATTTGATGTCCTACTCATATGGCAAAGACTCTTTGCTGTTGTTAGATCGTGTAATCCCAAACCCAGCCAGAATATCATCAAGTGATCTCCTTATCGCTCAGGTCGGACTCGTGCTCCCTGTTGATGCCTCCCCTCTTCGTTTTGCTTAAGCGGAGAGTCCGACCCCCGCGCCTTGTTATGAGAAAACTCATCAAACTTTAAGTGAGGAAGCATGTTGATATTGAAGATCTTCTTCAATAACAAAGAGCAGCAGGTGCTGCCGGTGGACATCGTCTTTTTTTGTTTTGGCTGTGGAAGCTAGAACAAGCTTGCAAGCGTTTTTAGGTCTTTAGGCAATTAGAAGTTACCTCACTTACAATGGGTGTATCAGGTGTCATAACTAGATCATTGGCTTTGTTCATGTCGAACTGGGTTATTTGAAGCAATCTGAGAAGTTGGTGTATTCACCCTGGAATCTCGCTTAACAATAACAATGAAATCGCTTAAATGACAAACTCAGCAAAACAACATTGCTTGATAGATAATTGTTTGTTGAACGGTTTCTACACTCTTATTTATTGACAACGACTGAATTTGTTTCCTATGCCACTATTTAGATATAAGTGAGCCGAAATATGTGTCTGTCCACGCAGCCTATTCGTAAGCATCTCAAATACAAGGCTTTCACGTTCTTCCTTCCAAGTGCGCTGAATGAGCTAGATCTAAATTCTATTAGCGAAATTTCAATCTTTGTCGCTGTTTGGGTTTACGCGTATCTTTCACTCAAACTTTCACTGGGGGCTGCGTGCCAAATCATGACACCATGGCACAAGATTAATTCTCGATGAGTCATCGGCTACTATCAATCCCAATCCGTTCACCCAATCTCCCGATTCACTGTGGAAAATAGATTTTCAGGCTTCTCAGACGCGCTCTTCTAGCTAGCGTGCTTTTGGACGACCTTTTGAAAACAAAAACGCGTCCTCCTGTCACCGAGATTTCAACCAAGTTTCAAGATCGACAATTACAACACAACGATAACCTTGACCTTCAGATCCAGAACCTCCTTCAGAAGAACTTTCAAAAGAGAGACTTCACCACCAGAATCTTGCTCAAACTACCCAAGTATCAAAGCTGTTCAAGCAACGCTGCGAGTCTACCTCGATAAACAATCTCTTCGAGTCCAGCATACTCTCCATCTCTCAAGCACAGTCTTCCAAAAAGCACATACCTCCACATAGTCGGAAGATCTTCGAGATGTCTTCATCAGCATCCCCCACTCGCCAGCTCCGTTTCCGCACTGCCCGTTCCGCCAACATCGGTGAGGCTGCGGCTACCCGCGCGTACGTTGAATGTGTTTGGGACCTCGCTAAGGCAACACAAGAGGCCATTGTGTTCAAGGTCCAAATCAAGAACATTGAGAAGCAGATCAAGGAGGTTATTGACAATCCATGGGGGCCACATCTAACCGAGGGCGAAACCCACGAGCTCAATAAATGGCGCAACCAATTGCGACCAAAGATGCTCAGCTGGGTGACCAATTCAGAAGTTAGAGTAAGTTTTAATCTTCTCTTGGACTCATTCCAATCCTGAAGTCATTCATTTATACTCACTAATATCTCTACAGCATCTGCGGATTAAATGCGCGGAACTTTACAACAGGTATGTTGAGGAACGAGGCAAGAAGGGGCTTGGAGCATACGAAGCTCCTACATTCATTATCAACTGCTTGGAAAGTCAGGAGCGCCTGCACATTCAGAGGAAGTTCGACATCAATCGAGAATCTCTGATCATGGCCAACCCAGAGTCTGAATTGTCACACCAACAAATCACCGATCTCCGAGCTGCTGCCGGCAGAGGCAGAGCTGTCTATAGAGGCTGTTCGTTGATCAAGTCGGAGTACACTGTCGAGAAGGAGCTTTTGGCCTTGCAAGCTGCTGGCAGTGTAGTCAACAGCTACAAAGCCTGGATTCCTATCAGTACTGCAAGACTTGCCGGCACAGATGTATTTGGTGCCCCTCTCATCGAGGATCCATGGATGGGTTACTTCACAACCCTCGGTTACCTGCGGCTGGAAGAGCTTCTTGCCACTCCTGTTCAACCTCTCCCAGCAATTCCTGTGTTGGCAGCATCCTCTATTGCAAATTCATGTACTGATCGTGGTCAACACACTCAGCCACAATCTTCTCGTTCAAAGATTGTCTGGCCACAGCCACCTGCTGCGGACGATGATGACGACGATGCGAGAGACTTGAATCCACTTCCTCCACATCCACCTGCACCAGAACCAATCCCCGTCTCTGTGCCTGTGTCTGTACCTTCACGCACACCTGCACAACGAGCAGTGAATCGAGCAGTATCTCCATGGAGACCAGCATACGCACCCTTCCCACCACCCGCTCCTCTCCAACATCCCCCATTCCATCCGGCGCCCCCTCCACCGCCTCCTGCCGCCCCAGTCAACCACAACAACCCCTTCGGCCGTCCCCTCCCTTACAACCCCACGTATCAACAACCCCTCAACCACCCTGAGACCAATGTCCAGACAAAATGGAACAAAGTCCGCGGGAATACCCCGGCAGGTATCGATGTCTTCTACTACGACAAATTGTATAATCGCAAGGACTCAATTCATAAGGTGGATCGGAATGCGGCAAAGATGGCGAGGGAGGATGGGACGACGCGGGATTTGGCGCTTGCTGAGATGGTGCAGCGGGAGCTTTTGCCGCAGGGGTTTAGGGATGTTCATCCTTGATTTTGAGGTGGAGTTTGGGAGTTTGGATGTTTGGGACATTCCGGTAGATTGGAAAGTATGGGAAACCAAGGTCAGTTGCAGAGATGGAGACCTGCTAGATTTATTATTCTTGGTTGTGGACTGGAGCATTGAGATTGTGAGATACGATTTTTGAAGATTGGTCATTGGGAGGAGTTTCAGGAAATGACACGCGCAAGCGCGTGGAAATCATGGTAGTAGGAAGATTAATGGAGTCTGCGGAACTCAACGATCAGAAAAGGCTCCTGCAATGCACAGCATTGTATAGCATTGAGTGGAGATAATTACTTTTATCTTGCTGATTCTTCCTTTTCTTTTTTCGGCCGTTGAAAAAATAGATCCATGTCGAGCAGTACTTAAGGTTCACCAATTCCACCGAGGTCCGGACATAAATCGATTTACAGACCGTGAAAAGAGACAGACTGCTGAGAACGTATATGAATCATCCAAGTGACAGGTTGAAGACTTATTGAAGTTCTTAACTTCATGTGTTCCGCTGGCTCTCGAACTTTTGTAAATTTTCCATCCTCTTCGACCAGGGCAAACGGGAAGGTTGACATAGCCGATGTAAACACCACGTGAGAGCCACACCTCCAGCGACATGCAACATGTTCCGATTCAGCCTCTGTTAGATGCATAATTCCAGCAACTAATTCATGCCTCATTTTCAAGATTTTTAGTTAGAGATATGTTTCACAAGGTGTATATACACACATTTTAACACCATGCCTGTCGGCGACCTGCCTCTATTGGAAGTCAATGTTGTTCATTCCAGTTCTGATAATAACAACGTTCCCCTCACTATCTAAAAACTGAATGGAACCAAGTCTTTGAGCCTATCAAAAGACAAAATAGGATTCTAGCTCTTCCTTTTATCAAGGATTCACCTCAAGTTCCCTAGGAAGAAAATATCATCCCTGCTTGCAGTGTAGTCGCTCCACAGTCTTCCCTTTCGACGGCTATCCATACTATTCTGATTTCAACTTTGACGCTGGCGCTGACTTTAACCCTCGAATTCACCCTTCGAATTCACTCAAAACTTATTTCTCGCGTGAGATCCATAGAACTTGAGTACAACGACCCAACAGCTAAATCTTTAGCGTTTTTCTTTCTCCCCCGATTCGCTTCCGCTCCTCCTCAAAGAGAGAGGGGAGTCATGACAAGTTTGAGGTTTGCGATCTATGAACTTTTCGGGTCTATGACGGCGACGGTGACAGTCTATCTGCACCACCAACTGAGAAAGAAACACAGTTGAATAGAAAAATACAACTGCAAACTTTAGATACACTCCTCATCAACTTTCAAAGCTCTCTCCAAAACCATCCAGCCCCAACACCAACTCCCACAACCAACCCGCACCATGTCACCCATGTCCCCCCCTCCTCAGTCCCACATTCCACAACCCACTCAGCAACCCGGCCTCCAGTGCAATCCACTCCACTACCTCGAATTCGCATGGAACCAAGAAAATTGGACGCAAGAATCTACCGTGTATACCTCTATTGGGAAACAAGTCCTTGCTGCTCTGTTGAGAGGAATAAGAATGGCGAGAGTAGGAGTGGATTGAGTGGATCAAGTGGATTAAGTGGTGCCCGGTTGTTGGAGGAGATTGAGGCGTATAAGAGGGATTTGAAGAGGTTGTTATTGGGGAGTCATAGGGATTTGGGAAGAGCGGGTTGGATGAGGTAAGTTTATGTACCTATCTATCCCAGTACTTTGTGCAAAGGATATTTGCTCCCCCCTTTAGAACCACTCACTATTAACCTCTCCATTGAGACAAGCCACAAGCATCTTCCAAAAAAGAAACATCTCAATAACCACAAATCCACCCGCCAAACAGCTCCGAACCCAACCTCCTTAGCCAACCTCCACACCGCCTACGAATCCTCCATGACTTCCCAAGAAAACCTCCCCATCTACTCCACCCTCAGATTCGGTATTGACCCTAGTAAGTCGCCAAAGCGGCTAGCTATACAGAGGAAATACGATACGTAGAGAGAGGCGCTGCTTATGCAAGACGCATGATGGGTCGCTGATGGAGTTTGGGAAGTTGGGAGGCTGGGAGGTTGAAGTTGAGGTTGAGGAGAGGGGTGGGTGAGGATGGGATGGGTAAAGATGATGGGTAAAGAGAGAAGTGGTGAGGGCGAGGGTGAGGGTGGAGTGGTGGGAGTAAGAGTAAAGAGAGGGGGAGGAATGTCTACAGAGGGCGTGTGCTGATTGAGAAAGAGCTGTCGATTGGGAGGGACTGGAAGAACTTAATGGTGGGGAATACGGGTTTGTGAGAGAGGGTATAGGTAGGTGTGTGGAGAGGATTGATTTGGATGGATGATGAGTATCGTACCGAGGAAAACGAGGGGAGGGAGGGCATGATCAAGAGCCTTCCTCTGTCCCATGTCCAGAACAAGTACCAACAGTAGCACCACCATCAGCCAGCAAGATCACCCTCCCCCGTTCTCGCCACGGCCGTCCCATTCCCAACTCCCCAACTCCCCAACTAAACCCCATCCTCATCCTCAACCCTCAATCACAACCCCCTCAAAAACACAGCAAATAAACTCGGATTCGGCAGCAGGCGCGGTAAACCTCCTGGTAAGATCTCTGAAATCCGAATGGGATATCGCATTTAACCGTGCGGATTGGATTTGAAGGGTATGGCGAAGGGACGAACGAGCACGAGTGTGGGTAGGAGGAGGGAGAGGGAGAGGGAGAGTGGGGAGACGAGGGATGTGGGATGTGATGGTTGATGTGTTGGTTGTGAGGGGGCCAGGGGGTGGAGGGGGTTTAGAGATTTGGGGGTTAGGGTGGGGATGGGGAGGAGAGGGTGAGAGGATAAAAGAGGGAGGAGGGAATGTAAAGAAGATGAGAAGAAGAAGCAGGTAGAAGGGAGGAGGGGAGTTTGGAGAGGCGGACTTTACCGGTAGTGATTTATTTGGCGGGTCGATATCTCCAAAAAATTAAAATGAAAGACTTTCGGCATCTTGAACGACAAGTCTGTAAAATTCCACGTGAGACCCACGACTGAGTGCCCTAGTTAATTTGGTAGCAAAATAGAAAAGTTCAGACTCGTGGAGAGACAGCAAAACATTATCCACAACAAGCAAATGGATCTTTACAACTGGTATGACCGTGTTGGGGAGATGCTTTTGCGTTGATATATGCAAGTAAATCAATATCGTGCATGATGAAACAACGCAGATGATAAGCAGCAACCAGAATGGAACGGAAATGAAAAAACTTCGCAATTGGACTTGGGGAGAGACGTTTGATTGAGGTTTCAAACCGGCTCCTAAATGAAACAATGATAGAGCAAGATCCCTGTATATCCCACGAAGAGAAAATCTTTCACTTCTTAGGTTTGACAGCGTAAATACTGAAAGAACCTGTCGACACCATCAGAAGTGTAACTTGCTGTTGTTGTGGAAGAGGGAAATACTTACTAACCCACTCATTGAAATCGATGTCCGCAACTCTCTTTGCTCGTATTTCGGCCGATTCAGACTCATTTTTTGTATTTGCATCAGCTCCACAGCATGAAGTAGCTGGAGCACAGCAAGAAGATCCGGATTCTGCGGCTTTAGAAGTACCTATTTCGCCTGCTGGGACGCGTTCCTTGTAGATATTGAGATCAGACTTCTTATCCACGATGAGAACATCTACACCTCTATCAGTCAACTTCTCATAAAAAAAAAATAGAAGATTTCAAGAAAATGGCAGCCCGAAAATCCAATTCATACCTTCAAACCCCACCTCCCGCAACCACCGCTCATACTCCCCCACCAAACTAGCACCCCCCACACAGCCCACAAACAACCCCAAATCCCCCCTCATCTCCTCCCCCAACTCCCTCTTCGCAAGGATATCACTCACCGCCAACCTCCCTCCCCTTTTCAAAACACGAAAGCATTCGCTGAAACAGAGTTTCTTTTTTTCTGGGGGGGCGAGGAGGTTGATTACGCAGTTGCTGATTATGCAGTCTATGGTTTCGGGGTCGAGGGGGAGGGTGCTGCTGATGTCGGAGAGGATGAATTGGATGTTTTTGGGGTTGGGGTTGGATTTGGGGTTGAGTTTGGAATGGTTGGTCCGGGCGAGGGAGAGCATGTCTGGGGAGCAGTCGATTCCTATTGCGTGGCCGGAGGGGCCGAGTTTGAGGGAGGCTTGGAAGATGTCGAAGCCGGCGCCGGAGCCGAGGTCGAGGATTGTTTCGCCCTGGATGGATTTTAATCTTGAATTTTGAATTGAATTGGGTTTTCAGTCGAGGAAAAGGGGACGAAGAAGAGAGAGGGCACACCGGTTTGATTCCTGCTATGGCTAAGGGGTTGCCGCAGCTTACGCCTAGGTTTGCACCGGAGGGGATGGCGGCGAGGTCTTCGGGTGTGTAGCCGAATGAGGAGGCGGCTTTGAGGGCGTGGGTGTTGTTGGGGGTGGGGTCGGAGCGTGCGAGGAGGGAGTAGTGGGTGTTTACTGCTTGGGCTTTGGAGGTGGACATTGTGATTGTGGTTGATGGTTTCTTGGTTGGAGCTTATGAGGGGTTTTATGAGTACTGGGAAGGATGGTCTGCTATTGTGCTGTGAGGGGAAATGAAACAGGCAGAGAACAGGCGAGCGGGAAAGAAGTGAGATTTGAGGTGGAAGTTAATGATTGGAAATAGTGAGAGAAGTGATGAAGAAAGGAACCACCTTATGAAGCCTTGAGATGGTGTTGATCTGAAGGTGGACTGTCACTGCGATCTGTCACTGGTAAGGCTTGAGAATGATTGGTCAGTTTGGCGAGTTGTCTTCGCAAGTTCACCTGTCCATGAATGTTTGGCAGAGAGGAACTACATCCTTTAAAATTAAAGACGAATCGCTTTCATGACTTTTCTGACAATAGAATGATATTTCAATAAACACCTGACAATCAAGGCCATATACGACTAGACTGAAGCGAACTTGAAGTAAACACAGTGTCCTGACAACCACTCGGGAGCTTTCCGGAATCGGGGCAAGCCCTGCCCCTGCATCGGAGGCTCTACGGAGGACCGATGCCATCGGCAACAACGCAATTTTCTGCAGCTACAGTAGTAGTAGCTTTATTGACGGCGAGGAAGTGCAGATCGAGTCAGCATTCATTCATATTAATTGCTTGCCTGCTTGTCTCCGAACTGAAGTCTTTCTTCTTATAAATGAGTATCCAGATTCCAGGGTGAGAATAATAAAATAACTTGACAATCTGTCCAGCAATCACCAAACCAGCACACACCTAGCTTATCCTCGTCCCTCGCAACATCGAGAAAGCTCCCTTCCTTCCTCCCTCCAAACTTCCAATCAGAGTTTCGAGAAAAGCTAATCAACCGCCACGTGATCCCACGCTAACCCCCACTATCACTAGTGCTAACGCCATTTTGCGCCCCTCACCTGCGCTCACGCCAACACTCTCCCACCAACCCCTCCAGTCCAGAGAAGAATCAAAATTTCCCTCACACCGCTCTCCTTCTCTCCTCAACATCTCCTCCTTCCCCTCATATCCTCCCCAGAATCACTCCAGAGGGATTTTCCACTGCTACACTTCATTGCTTCTACTCGTTGCAATAGAATCACATATCTACCCCTCTTCCGAATACCGGAACGAACCGACTTCAAAGCACGCTGTCGTTCGTGTTGGTTGAGTCTTACATCAATTTCTCCGTTCGACTCTTTGTTTCTTCACAACCGCCAACATGGTTCAATCGTAAGTTACAGTCCTCGCAGACCTCATATATATCTGCAGCATGCTAACTTGCTGTTTGCAATAGATCCGTTCTCGGTTTCCCCCGCATGGGTGTTCTCCGTGACCTGAAGAAGGCAACTGAGGCATACTGGGGCGGCAAGCTCTCCCAAGCTGACCTCCTCGCTGAGGCCAAGAGACTTCGTCTTGCACACTGGAAGATCCAGAAGGATGCCGGCGTCGATATCGTTCCCAGCAATGACTTTGCTCTCTACGATCAAGTTCTCCACCAGATTCAGGACTTTGGTGTAAGTTTTCCCCCGAAGCAGACGTGAGGCAGCTTGGCAGATTACTAACTTTGATTCTGCACAGGCCGTCCCACCCAGATATACCAAATACCAGCTCGACCCTATCGATGAATACTTCGCTATGGGCCGTGGTCTCCAGCGTGAGGGTGTTGATGTTCCCAGTTTGGAGATGGTGAAGTGGTTCGACTCGAACTACCACTATGTCAAGCCAACCCTACAAGACAACCAGGAGTTCAAGCTCACTGCCAACCCAAAGGCAGTTGTTGAGTTCCTTGAGGCCAAGGAGGCTGGTATCACCACCCGCCCAGTCCTTGTCGGCCCTGTCTCTTTCCTCCAACTCGGAAAGGCCGACCGTGACCAAACAGTCGACCCCATCGACCTCCTCGAGAAGCTTCTCCCAGTTTACGAGGAGCTCCTCACCAAGTTGAAGGCTGCCGGTGCTGAGACTGTCCAGATCGATGAGCCAACTCTCGTTCAGGATCTCCCAGCCAAGACCAAGGCTGCTTTCAAGCCAACCTACGAGAAGCTCGCTGCTCTCGGTGACAAGATCCCCAAACTTGTCTTCGCCACCTACTTCGGTGATATCGTCCACAACATCGAGGCCGTCCCCAAGGACATCTACGCTGTTCACGTTGACTTGGTCCGAAACCCAGAGCAATTGAGCACCGTCATCTCTGCTCTTGGCCCAAAGACTGTCCTCTCCGCAGGTGTTGTCGATGGCCGAAACATCTGGAAGACCAACCTCAAGCGTGCTATTGAGACCGTTGAGACCGCCATCCAGAAGCTCGGAAAGGAGCGTGTCATCGTTGCCACCTCCAGCTCCCTTCTCCACACCCCACACACTCTCGCCAGCGAGAAGAAGCTTGACCCAGAGGTCGCTGACTGGTTCTCCTTCGCTGTTGAGAAGGCCTCCGAGGTTGCCGTTATCGCCAAGGCTGTCACTGAGGGCCCAGCTGCCGTCCGTGAGCAACTCGAGGCTAACGCCAAGTCTATGCAATCCCGTGCTTCTTCCACACGCACCAACGACCCCAAGGTCAAGGAGCGTCAATCCAAGATTACCCCAGAGATGTACAACAGACTGTCCGAGTTCCCCACCCGTATTGCTGCTCAGCAAAAGTCCCTTGACCTTCCTCTTTTCCCAACCACCACCATCGGTTCCTTCCCCCAGACCAAGGAGATCCGTATCCAACGTAACAGGTTTACCAAGGGCGAGATCACTGCTGAGGAGTACGAGAAGTTCATCGAGAAGGAGATCCAAGATGTCGTCAAGATCCAAGAGGAGCTTGACCTTGACGTCTACGTTCACGGTGAGCCTGAGCGTAACGACATGGTGCAATACTTCGGTGAGCGCCTTGATGGCTATGCCTTCACCACCCACGCCTGGGTTCAATCTTACGGATCCCGTTGCGTTCGTCCACCTATCGTTGTCGGTGACATCTCCCGCCCAGCACCAATGACCGTCAAGGAGTCCAAGTATGCTGTCTCCATCTCCAAGAAGCCAATGAAGGGCATGTTGACTGGTCCAATCACCTGTCTCCGATGGTCTTTCCCTCGTGATGATGTTCACCAGTCCGTCCAGGCTGAGCAACTTGCTCTTGCTCTCCGTGATGAGGTTGTTGACCTTGAGGCTGCTGGTATCTTCGTCATCCAAGTCGATGAGCCTGCTCTCCGTGAGGGTCTTCCCCTCCGCGCCGGAAAGGAGCGTGAAGCCTACCTCGACTGGGCTGTCAAGTCTTTCCGTCTCTCCGTCTCTGGTGTCCAGGACTCCACCCAGATCCACTCCCACTTCTGCTACTCCGAGTTCCAAGACTTCTTCCACGCCATCGCCGCCCTCGATGCCGATGTTCTCTCCATCGAGAACAGCAAGTCTGACGCCAAGCTCCTCAAGGTCTTCGTCGATGAGGCTTACCCCCGCCACATCGGTCCAGGTGTCTATGACATTCACTCTCCTCGTGTCCCAAGCGAACAGGAGATCAAGGACCGGATCGAGGAGATGTTGCAATACCTCAAGCCAGAGCAACTCTGGATCGATCCTGACTGTGGTCTGAAGACCCGCCAATGGTCGGAGACAAAGGCCGCCTTGACCAACATGGTCAACGCCGCCAAGTTCTACCGCCAGAAGTATGCCAAGTAGAGCATTCTTCTCTCCAACCCTTTTCTTTTCTTCTTGGTGTAGTTTGGGGCATGAGCGATGATGATATTACGAAATTTTGTAGTCTGAAAGTTTTTGAAGCCAAGCAGTGGAGACGATCTCAACATCGGCGTTTCTGGCAGGGCATTAAAGACAAAAGCTACTTCGTGTTTTCGTTTTCTTTTTGAAAAATCTAACTTGGAGGGCGAGCGTGCGCTTTTTTCAACAGCATCGGGTAGTGATGATCCATCAACCGGACATCTACAAATGGCGTACAAATTTGCAAAGGATATTATTGGAGCTCTGGAAATGGTGGGGCTGTAGATGGATGGATGGATGGATGTGTATTCTCTCGTGTACGAGAGGATGATAGATGATTAGAAAAGTAGAAAATATACCCTCTTCAACCGGGAATTTGGATGTCTTCTTCCAACTTGATACTTGATTGATTGATTGATTGATTGATTGATTGATTGATTGATTGGCGTGTGAACATGATGAGTGGTGGTCGTGTCTACGGAAGGTAATATTACATTAAATTACTACAGGTGCGGGGATTAAATTACTACAGGTTACGTTTCCCCGCACCTGTATTGTGATTTCTTTCCTTTATTGTTATATATCGGATCTCCGTGACAGTATCTCAAAGTCTTCAAGTGTTTCGCCTAATGAGTTATTACTTCACTCACTTTGTTGTTATTATTATTTGCATTCACAAGTTTGGCTGCTTTGAAGATTTGTTGCCATGAAATCGGCATTTCAATCTCCTTGAAAGCTTGAATACCATCTCTGGTTGAAGTTCTTCGGATGTGTGCTATTTATTTCCATTTAGAGCCAAAGAAGGAGTATGCAAAATGGATATCACGATGCTATTCCTTCCTTGTTGGGGTTCTCAAGGCAGACGCCCTGCGAAGATCCAGTGATCTGTCAGCATCTCATGTCCAGACCACATACCTATCACTTCAGGGACATTTGTGGCGGTGACGTTGAATTATAGTGCTTTTCTCTCTCAACACAAGCATAAAGTGGGTGTCAAGCATGAAAGAAGGTCGGTCACAATACCAGATAAAAGAGTCCCCAGAGACTTGAGAAAATGTTTGAATAATGGTACAAGATTAGCAAGATGTTTAACAAGCTGTTAAAACAAATTAACTCTCAAAAGGCATACCCTCTCGTCTGGACGTGCCGAGTTCCACCGCGGCACAACCAACGAGATATCTCAAGATGGCCTGGTGCTGACATATGCCACCACACACCCCTGGAGAAGACAAGCTCATTGACAGGTTGACCGCATTTCCTGACAGGTCAAGCAGCATTACGATATCGCCAATCAGAAGCTTGTCTCGGTGACAAGGTCTACTTTAAAATTCCCAAGGGACTTGCGATTCCCCCTCGAGAACTAAATCTCGGACTCTCTTGTGCAATATTCAATCACATGATTGACCTGCTTTGCTTTATTGACAAGCTGTGATTGAAATCTCCCTTATATCTTACATTCATATCTGCAGTTGAGGGAACTACGTCACTTCAAGAGGAGTTTCATTAACAACCTTTTAATTTAATTCTCCGCCTCTGCAAATTATATATTTTCTTTCTTCAACATGGCAGACGAAATCAAGCTCTCGGATCAACAACCCCAGACCCCGGGAGTCAGAAATGTGGACTCGATTACTCAAGTACCTATTGAGACTTGCCCAGATACCACGCGAAATATTATTTCGACTGCAAAGCCTGATGATGAAGAAGTCATAGCCAGCGTACCTGAAGAAGTCGAATACCCTACTGGGATACGCTTCGCGATACTCACAGTATCACTCATGCTCATGGTATTCATGGTCGCTCTCGACACAACTATAATGTGTAAATCCTCACGCTCAATTCTCACCATCTATCCATATCCAAGATCCAATGTATTCAATATCTGATCATCTTTCTCATACCAGCAACCGCCATCCCGGCAATCACAACCCAGTTCCACTCCATCCCCGACATTGGATGTTACAGCGGGGCTTACCTCCTGCCCGTCATGGCGCTGCAGCCCTCGTTTGGCAAGATCTACACGTTCTTCTCGATCAAATACGTTATGCTTTGTGCTCTCCTTCTGTTCGAGACAGGATCCCTCGTTTCTGCTCTGTCGCCAAATTCCCCTGTGTTCATACTTGGGAGGGTGGTGAGTGGGATTGGGGGTGCAGGGATTTTTGGAGGCGGAAGTACGTTTACGTTTTCAAATCTCCCTTTCTGTCTCACTGTTCTAACTCAATGCAGTGATCTTGATCCAGCTCGCCGTCCCGCTGCGTCGTATAGCTCTCTACTTGTCCGTCATGTCAAGTATGTATGGCGCGGCGGGACTTACAGGACCACCTGTGGGAGGTGTCTTCACAAGCAGTGCACGATTAACATGGCGTTTCTGCTTCTACATCAATCTCCGTATGTCTTGCCATGACGCCCTCGTGCGTTTCTCCAGTCTGACATAACTGTCACAGCGTTTGGTGGGATTTCGGTTCTCCTGATGCTCTTTGCTTTCCGCGAGCCGAAGAGAGAGAAAATGAAGCTCAGTGTTGAGGAGAAGTTCAAGAAGATGGATGTGATAGGCACGACACTGTTTATCTCAAGTATGGTCTGCCTATTTCTCGCGCTTCAATGGGGCGGGAACAGTATTCCCTGGTCGAACTCGACGGCTTGGGGTCTGATGCTTGGGTTTGGTCTTCTGCTCATCGCCTTTGTCGTGCTTCAGTTTCATCTTCACGAAAAGTCCGTCTTCTTACTTTCCATCACGTGTGATTTCAGCTCACAGACTTCAGCGCAACGATTCCACCCCGTGTCTTCTCCGATCGAAGCGTCGTTCTCGCTCAATTGATAGCAATTTTACTTTCTATCGGGACTAACACCCATACTTTCTACCTGGCATTCTACTTCCAATCAGCTAAAGGTCTGTCTGCGTCAGCATCGGGTATCCGATCGCTACCATATCTGCTCTCTGTCACGTTCACGGAACTCTTTGTCGGTGCAGGTGTAAGCTGGACAGGTTGGTACAACCCATTCATGATTGTTGGAACGGCTATATATGTGATAGGCTGTGGTTTGTTGTGTACACTTCAAGTCGATACTGGTGCAGGACATATCATTGGATATCAGATACTGGCCGGCATCGGATTTGGTAGTACACTAGCATTGTGTGCGACGGTTGTGAGGGTCAATGTTAGGGATGAACATATCCCTGTTGCGGGAGCACTCGCTTCTTTCGCTCCATCTTTTGGAGGTACATTGGCTGCTAGTATTGGACAGAACGTCTTTCGGAGATCTTTGGTGGACAAGTTGTTGCAATCTGTCTCTCCCGAGTTGACAGCACAGATTGTGGACGCTGGTGCGAGAGGTGGCGTCGATGTGGTGGCTGATTATCAGAAGGGCTTGGTGCTGGACGCATATAATCATGCTGTGAAGAAGACGTTCTTGGTGAGTGCTATTGTTTCGGGGGTAGCGTTTGTATGTACGCTAGGGTTAAGGTGGAAGAAGATCAAGAAGAAGGCTCCTGTGGCCCAGAGTGTTGATGCTCCTCAAAGTAGAGCAATTTGACTGCCTGGGATGAGGGGGACGTATGATCCTCCGACTGCCAGATGCAAAGCTAGGATATAAGAAAGAAGAGAGGTTATATGTAACGGCTGAGAGCGAAATTCGCGAGATAGGATGGTTATAATATTCTATTTTCACAGCCCTATATTCTCTCATTATAGAGCAAAGGCAGCATTGGATCTTAATGAGATAGCCGCACGGAAGTTGCGATTTCCTTCCCAAGAAATTAACTCAATTGAGCCCAACAGGAGACAATATCAAACAAACATCATTGCTGCCTACTCACCTTCAAATCAATACCCTCATTACCAAACTGGCTTCTGTTTCCCATACGAATACCACCTGCTGTAAGGTGTTTCGCATAATCCATTATATCATGCTCCATCTCTTCCTCCGAGATCTCACCTCTCATCCTCTTCTCCAACAACAAAGCATCGTAGGCCGCCTGACTTGTACTAGCCGCTGTATGAGGACGGAACCCAGCAATCGCATCTCCCATAAGTAACAACTTGGTATCGAAAAATGACATTCGAGGCGAAATGACATCCGTTATGCACTGCACGAACGGTTGTTCCGTATTGCGAACCAGCTCTGCAAACGCTGTGGGGAGGTCTTCGGTGGCAGTTCGCTTAATCTGCTCTTGGAGATGAGGTTTGATCTTCCCAACTGGCATCGAGAAGTGGTGCCGATGCCCATCCACGTCCGTCATCAGATCTTGGTACTCGGGCGAGTCTTCGGCGTAGTTGCAGTACCACACCCAATTCATAAGTCTCGATCCACGCTCAACGCTTCCGTTCTTGCCTGGAATGAGATAGCTAAGTTCGTTCAGTCTTCGCTTGTGTTTTGAGAACAAGATGGTCGGTCAACTTACGCCAATATTTGACATCCGGGAGCATGATAGAACATGAAGTGATCCACGAACGTCTCCTTCATCAGATCCGAAGCTTCATTCTCAGGCACTGTACCCCTCCAAGCAACATACCCCACGTATTTCCTTTCCACCTCTGGCAGCAACAATTTCCGAATCGTTGAGCTTGGCCCATCTGCAGCGAGGACCATATCCGCTGCTTCTTTCTGTGTTCTTCCCTCACCGTCTTCATACTCAACCTCAACCTGATCTCCGCTGTCTTTGACATTGATTACTTTCCTACCATACAAATACTTGGCATCGCCCTCCCCTGTCTGCTTTTCTGGTACAATGCAATAATCGCTTTTGACGCCATCAAAGCAAGCTCTCAGTGCACTGTACAGCAAATCCCAGCTGACCATCTCCTGTCGCTTATCGTTCTCACTGATCACCTTTCCTTGTCTGTCAAGAGTGCGGCGAAGGTGGCTGGGTACGGATAAGTGACGATTGATCTTGACGTGTTTTGAGAAGTATTCTTGGGCTTCTGGTCCGAAGACTATTCCAGCTCCTGTGGTTGTCTGTTTAGAGAATTTCATAGAGGATTGATTTAATGGAATTCGCATGCAGGGCTTGAAATAGAGAGCCCACCTTGATCCTGCAACATCGCTGTCGGACTTCTTTCAAAAATTCGTACATTATGTCCCAGGTGCTTCAACATCAATCCGCTCATGAGTCCACCTAATGATCCTCCAACCTGAGTTTGTAAGTTTTGAGTCTTTGCAGTGTCAAGGAGCGGGGGCTCTCACAATGATAACATCTCTGGTCTTTGTGAACATTTTTGGCTCTTCTTGAGCAGTATTATTACGATTCGAAGCAAGAAGATAGACCAAAGATTTATTGATTAGATATTATAATAATGTACTTGGTTTAAGATCGTGCTCCGAAAGATGGGATTCCTTAGACCGTATCCAGTTACGTCATGAAGGGAGATCACACGTGACAAGAATTTATCCATCCGATTTTCCAGATAAGATACCATCATTTCTCAATTTCTTTCTGAATGTAATAGTCCCTTCCAGAGACGATATCTCCGAGAAAACTTCGTGTACTTGCACATGGTAGAAAGTTGAGTTTGTCGTCCCGATCGCGAGTTCTCATCCCGAGTAGCCCTCGGCCGAAGGGGGTTGAACATCACCAGAGGTTTAATTAAGTAACTTGTCATTGAAAGCTATTGCAAATGATCCAATCCAGTATAGCAAAGTCTCTTTCAAACTTCATACTCAGCTTAATGAGAGCTAAAAGTTCTAAGCTCACATGTTCGTAACCGCATCGTATCATGCATGGTATTCATACGTCGTGGCTAATTCTATTCGATCTGCAACCCCCAACGAACATGGCACAGTACACGCATGGGGGGTAACGCTAACTCACCATTCTCCATCAGCTGTTACTTCTCTTTGCACCCCATCTGTGCCGTCTCTACCCTTCAAGAACAATCCAGTCCATCTCTCTCTCACTCATGGCCCGAGTGAATAAATATCTCGCTTATAAGTACTGTATTTTCATTCAAGCGAGCTCCGCCCGTCTCGTCTCACCTCGGGGCCATCAACAACACAAGCGCAAAGTCAACAAACAGACAGTGCAAGCAAGCAAGCAACAAACGCTCTTCAACAGCAATACCCACGACGAAACTAGCTGACTTTGAGCCTAACATCAACACCACCGATCACAAACAAGCGACAAATAGATTGAGTATATCGTCCAGTCTTGCAAAGGCACGAACAAACGAGTCAGTCAGCCCGGTAAAAAAATCAATTATCAAGCGGATAGAATAGATATCTTCCGGGCATCCCGCCATTTCGATTCGATTCGATTCGATTCGATTCGAGTCGGGTTTTGCTTGATTGGTAAAGACTGCCAGAGCTAGAACGAGAACGAGATGGGTATTTGTACTTAGAAGACGCGATACGATACAATGCAGTAGTACAACACATCTCATCTCATCCATCTATTCATCTTATCCATCCATTCATCTATCTATTAATTCACACACACTCTCCCTCTCCCCCCTCTCTTACACACCTAGGTATATCAATCAATCAATCAATCAATCAATCAATCAACTAACTCAAACTCAGAAGCGCGAGCCTCCCCTCTCCCCTCTCCCCTCCCCCCAACTTTTCCTTCATCCCCACCAAACCCCAGCACTTCAACCAAAAAACAAAACAAAAAACAAAACAAAAAACAAAACAAAAAACAAAACAAAAAACAAAACAAAAAAAAAAAACTCAACATACATACATGCACATGCACGTGGCAAAAAAGAAGAAAAGGATGAAAGAAAGATGAATGGCACGAATAGACCGAACGAGTGGAACGAATGGACCGGACGAATGAATAGAATGAATGAATGATACACAGTATTCTGTACATACAAAAATAATAATTTTGATCAATCAATCAATCAAGAATTACCACCTCTCTCTCTTCCTCTCCTCTCTTTCCTCTCCTCTCTTTCCTCTCCTCTCTTTCCTCTCCTCTCTTTCCCCTCCCCCTCCCCCTCTCCCTTTATCTCTCTGCCACCCCTCCATCGCTTACCCAGCCCAGTGGACCAAAGCAAGCAAGCAAGTAAGGAAAGCGGGTCTATCCCCATCCCCATTCCCATCCCCCAATCCCCAATCCCAAACCAAAGCAAAATCAAGCCCACCCAAACCCAAAAACCCAAGGTATCATCGTGTCTCCAAACAATGGCCTGCCGCGGCTATCATTCATTTCTCAGCTTTTTCGCTTTTCCTTTTCCCCATGGCTTTTACACTCTCCTGCAGCCGGACAGAAAAAAAGATGATGAGAAAACGGACAATCGTTTTATCCGCACCTCCACTCCCCTCATACACACAAGAACATAACAAGAACATAACAAGAAAAGAAAAATGTAATAGTGGACTTGGTCTGGACCGGGGAATCTCTATCGGTCCAATCCCATCCGTCGTCGTAAAGTGTAGTAGTAAGACAAACGCCGTTTTTCGCCAGCCAGCCAACCAGCCAATCATGTATAATCATTCGCTAAAACGCTATTCAAAGAGGTATTGTGTCTTGAGGGGGTATCAAATCAAAAAAGTAGGACTGGTTCGATCCATCATAAAGTATTCGTGCGAGCTTCGGATGTATGGGGTGGTATGTACGTGTGTGTGGTATCGGCCGTTGCGAGGAGTCTTTCATATTGGTTGCGCAATTGTGGGTTGCCTCTCCCTCGAATGTGTCCAGGCGAAGAGATCAAATTTGTCTGTTCGAGCTGTTGACCAGGGGTTCTGTCCATCGATTGGACTAGGTCTCGGTTGTGGATCGCGGGGTTCGAGAAGGAGACTCTTGCGGTAGTATTGCTGAACGTTCTCGTTCTCAGATGAGGACTTGACGCGGACAATCTGTGCTTGGATCCATTCTTGTAACTCTGGAACATCTGCCAACCGGTAGGGAATCTGGAAACGTTGAAGCTCGCCGATAATCTTTGCTGTACGAGTGTGCTTGTCAAAGTTGATGACCGAGATACCTTCACTGTCACCAAGACCAGGAAGTTGTCTCTGCGCAGCATTGCCTGCATCAACAAATGTGAGATCGGTCAAGTACATTCCAACGAATGGGAGACAAGGTGGCACGTGGTCGTGAAGTCTTCGGCGGAGAACAGCGTAGTTTTTATCCGGCTCAACAATTGCCTGCAGACCCTTGAGCATATCCTTTCTCTTTTGCGAAACCATATCCCAAGTTCTCTTCAATCGGATGATGGTAGATGAGTTCAAGGAACAGATGATAGCCATCAGGGAATCGTAGTTGTTCAGCTCCAAGCACTTGTGTGCGATCTTGATCCAGTGCTTGATAATGATTGCACGCTTCTTCGCATCATCGTACTGAAGGATGGTGTCGGCAACCAAATTGGAAAGATCAGTCGAGAGTGTCGACATAGCACGAACGTTGACCGCATTGGATCCAGATCGCTTCGTCCATTCCGATCCAAGAAGTTCCTCTGGCATGATCGAGCAGAAAATAGTCATCTCCTTGATGGTCAATTGTCTGGCCAATTCCAAGGGGTCGAACTCCAGGATGGAAGGATTGCTTCCACCCATCTTCCAGTTCTTCAAGGCTCCAATCTGACTCTTCGTCATGTTAACAGGAGGGAGAGGAGTGTCGGCTGGGATGTATTGCGCAATCGAAGTCGAAGTCTTACCCATGGATGAAACCAATCGGGGTACAAGGGGGCCATCTGTGGAAGATACCTTTTGCGACAACTCCAGCAATCTTCGGCCAGCTCCGGGAAGAACCTTTCCAAGCTTATCACTAGCGAATGGCTGGATAACCTCCAAAGCATTGTGATCTGAAATATCTCTCCAATGCGACTCCAACCATCCCTTGAACACGTTATACACACGTAACCGTACAGGCCCAGCGATGTGAGGGCTCTCCGCAACGTAGTCGAATCTGTCAACCAGGGCCTTGGCAAGCTCAACTGGTGTGACGAATAATCTAAAGGTGAGGTAGAAAGTTGAAACAAAGATCGAATCAGGTGTCGAATCGTGAGTAGTGAGTCTCTCTACGAGAGCTGGGAGGGTACCTCCTGTGATCTGACCTTCTTTGTTGTGAAGCAACTCGTGTGCAAAGGTCCTCTCCAACATCTTGCTCTCTCCGTCGTCCAGGTCATCAGCAAGAGTCGATTGGCTTCCACTCGTGCTGAGATCGGAGATCGAAGGTGCAGTTCTTGGAACGTAAACCGAGTTATCTGGGGTGGTCGCGCGAGTTGAAGTCTGGGAAAGCATGCTTGTTTCGGAGTCACGCATACCACTAAGATAGGTACTGCTTGTACCTGAGCTCGAGATTGCAATGCTACCAGATCGGAAAGACGATTGGAATTCACCATCGTGGCCCGATGATTGTTCCGATGGGCTGTAATCATCTTGATTCAACAATGGGCTGGTCATCTTCGGTAGTGGAGGTAGCAGCGATTTTCTCGACGATCTCTTCGAGGACTCCGTAGTTGCGCTCTCAACAGTGTCGTTCTCGGCCACTGACTCCAATGCCTTCGGCGACAATCGCTGCACAGTCTCTTCAACTTGGGGAGATGCCAGTGGGACATCTGGCAGAGGTTTCTCGTAACTCGGAATAAGAAGAGGAGGTGGAGGTGGCCGGCTGGCTGGTTCTGGGGGCGTGTCTTCTTGAGGTGGTGCTGATTCCTTAGTCTTCTCCGCAACCACGCCAATTGACGCTACGTCGATACCAAGCCCATCGTTCGCGGGATCAAACTCAAAATCTCCGATTCGTTCAATCACGAATTTAGTCTTCGCAACGCACTCACCAGCAGCTTTCACGCATCCCGTAGCCGCCATGAGAAGTCTGCCGTTCTCCTGAGGCATGACTACGTCCTCATCTTCTATCCCCGACATCGTGATGATCTCCCGTGCAGCAAGCACTAGCTTGTTGATCCTGTCATACATGGCGTTTCGTGATGCGTGGAGCGCCTCAGCACTTTGATTATCGTGTGCACAAATCGCCTCCACGACAGTCAAAAGCTCTCGTCCTGCAGTAACAGATTGTCGTACTGTTGAAATGAGATCAGCAGATGATTGCGACTGGAGATGCAGTCGACCAATAAATGATCCGAGGTACGAGAGGAAGGTATCATGACTGGCATTGAGTCGTTCCGACACCAAATTCTGTCGCTGTGCTGCTGGTATTGATGCTGACAGTCTGTGAGAGAATGATTGTCTCTTGACTTGCATCGAGGATGGCCTCGACATGGATAATGGCCGTCCAGTCGAGCCATTGGTGGAGTATGCTGTGGAACCATTGGAAGAGAAATTGCTCGACATGCGTTTGTATGACTGTCGTTTTGATTGCTGCTCCTCGGGCCGTTGTGATCCCAAGCCGCTGCCCGAACTGCGACTCGAGCTCCTGCGAGATGCCGTATCGTCTGCAGGGTCTCCATGCTGTGCTGCTTCAAATGACGTTGTATCTGCTGGAGGTGTTGGGGGATTGTACACTTCCTCAGCTACTGTTGCCATTACTCTGTGAATCGGTTGCTGCCGTGACCGCATCTCATCTTCTAGGACGTCAAGGAATCGTACACCCCTGGTTACTATCTTGAACGCCTTCAATATCATCTCGTCAATCGTGTTGTTGATATCTTCCGCTTCAGCTTGCGTAGGATGTGATCCAGCTGTGTACTCCTGTAATTTCTTTGCCGTCTTTACCAACGCTGAAAGATCTGACAACAGTGCTTTCCGATTCCTTCGTAGTCCCTCATTGCCTTGAACGAGGTGTGACTCTCTCGTCAAGCAATTTGATTTTTCCTATGATCGTCAGTAAACGGTTACTCGATATTAGTGCTTACTACTGACTAGTAAATATCGCACTCCAGCGATAATTCCCCGCATGAATTCTTGGTTTCCAAACACTTCACTATCGCTGATGATACCACTCCGCATCAGATCCCAGAAATTCAAGAGCGCCTTCAGCAGATTTCGCATCGCTTCTGGATCGTAAGCTTCGCAGTAATTCGTCGGCAGCCAACCCCGGGCGCCAGATACGAGTAAAGTTCCATCAGCCCAGCCATTGGTGTGTATCGAATGGACCAAGATTACGTCGCCTTCATTCAGTGGTAGAGTTACTGTCGTGTCGGAGATGGCGTATGTCGGGTGGAAAGGGTAGAAAGCGCGTAGGAAAGGATGGAACACCGGTTGTGAAGGTTCCATATGTCGATTGAGGTCCTCCTGAGAACCATTAGGTGTTGCGGGTGGTGTCATTTGAGACTGGCTGCTCGAGTCTCCAGTCTTGCTACTACTCCTCGAGGAGGTATTCCTGCTGTGTCTCGATGCCGTACTTGATCCACGCGCCCTCTCCTTGTTGATGGTCAGAGGAGCCACGAGAGCGCTGGACCGCGCAGAGTAATCACTCTCCTTCACCATGATGGGCAATCCTGTATGGCTACCATGGAAATTGCTCTCTTGTCGTCTTCTAGCCGGATATTGTTTGCCCGTGATTGAATCAATGTTCTCCAAGTAAGTCCTTCAAGTATATGTTCGAATCCAAATACTCGTGGTGTTATGATCGAATGGAATGAGGGGACGGTCAGATAGAAACGCGAGGTTGTATGCGGACCAAGCCGAGTATCAATGCGTCAGTCAAGTTCAGTGTTGTTGTCGGTATGAATCGAGTCCTGCTTTCCAGATCCAGCCGGTCGTTCCTTCCTCTTGTTCTTGACAATATTGGCGTGATGGAAAGGATCTGCGCAAGTCGAACGATTAGCAAGCCCGTCTAGGACAGTATGGAGATCTGAAGTGATCTGATGTTGTTGTGTGTAGGTGAGTGGAAAGGAAAGGTGTGGTGTATCAGGAGGAATGCATCAGTGAGGGGCCAAGGAATGCTACGATGATCTCGAGCGTGACGGAAGGTTGCATACCTCTTTTGGGTTGAGTCAAGGGTTTCGGGAGGTCTCTCCAGTCAACGGTCGTCATGCACAGACTGACAGGTAATGCCGGCGAGAGTGTGTTGCTTATGCCGATCCCAAGGGGGACCTTGAAGTGGTCTTTCCTTCTGTTAAGGATCTGCCTCCTTCCCAATAGTCGCAACGTTAAGTGGGCAGGGAGTGGGAGCAGCTGGGTGCTCGAGCAAAGGGGTTTTGTCAAGACAGCTGGAAGGCAGAACCTGGACCCTGGAATGTGCAACGAAAAGTCGAGTCAAGTGAGCTGGAGAAAGAGTTCGTTATGCGTTGATGATGGATGCTTTCTGGCAGCTGGCAGTAGGTAGCTGTGGCTGTGGCTGTAGAATGCCTAGTCCTGTCTTGTCCAGAGCAGTCCAGTCCAGCCCAATTCGATCCAGTCCAATCCAATCCAAATATGACAATATCGAACCAATAGACAGACCGGATTTCGGCAGCAGTCGATGTGTCAGGCAGCTGATTTTGGTCGAAAAGTACCAATGCGTTCGCTCCTACGGTCTCGGATATGCAGGATAGGGAAAGGGAGGGAGGAGCAGTTTTCGTGGGTGAGGTGTGATGTGTGATGCACCGGGGAATCCGAGCACAATCAATGCGTGAAACTGTGGAAGTCGAACGATGGACGGAACAGATAACTTCCTGTCCTCTCGCAACGCAGGAGAAATCGACGGTGGTGTAGTGACGAATTAAAGATCGGAATTGAGAGGGACTGATCTCCAACCAGCAGTGAAGCTGTAGAGTACAGTATCTGGTGGTGGTGGTGGAGGTGGTGATGGAGAATTCTCGAATGGTTCAGTCGAGGCGAGGCAAGGCGAGCTGGCGAGACCGAGAAAGCAAGGGGACGATGGGTCTCGGTGGCAGCGAGCCGAAGTTGAATCGAGTCGGGTCGAGTTCCAGTACGGAAAGGATGGAGACTCGAGCTGTTGATGAAATGTTGCAGGGTGTTGTCTGGAGACTGGAGTGGAAGTGGATTCAACAACGTCGTATTTTGACAAGCAAGGGTACGGATACCCGTATGATTGTGGGTTTTGTAACCACACTGTCCTGCACCGCACTGGACTCTGCACGCGCTCTTTTTTTTCTTCTGTGTATTTGTTTGTGCGTGCTCCGTTTTGAATTACTTCCTTGACGGGCCGATAGATAACCGGCAAGCTATCGATTGAAGACGTGATACGATGCTTTGACCACAGATACGCACCGCACGACACAGCTCGAAGATGAGTTTATTCGTTATGCCTGCCCAAGGGGAAGGATGTTGTGGACCAAGTCCAAGTCGAGGTCAAGGGAAGGTACCTTAGGTAGGTAAGGTAGGTGGTCACTTTCAGACAGGGGAAGCAAGGTCATGGTTAAGGGCAAGGTGCATTGCAGCGCAGTCGGGTCTCTGTTTGGCCTAGGAATTGCTTGAATGGTTGGGATTGGTTAAAGTTAGAGTGGTGTGGAGATACAAGGGCCAGGGCAGGGAAAGGCAGGGGAGGCCCGCTGCCGTTCGCTCTCATCCGGGCCAGGCCAGTGGGAGAAGGCGAGGCGTGGGAGTGGCAGTGGCAGTGGGAGTGGGAGAAGGAGAGAGGTCTCAGGGCATGGGAATGGAAATGGGAATGGGCATGGGCATGGGCATGGGAATGGGAGCAGCGGGTGGGGCGAGCCACACTGGAGACCTCGAGCCACTGGGATTAGGGGGCGGGCGGGATGTGGGCGTGGGAGAGGAGAGGAGTGGAGTGGAGTGGAGTGGGACGGACTACTACTGTACTGGGGGTGGGAGTGGGACTGAGAGAGCTTTGGGATTCCATTGAGCAGGCATGGGCATGGGTAGGGGTACGCAGGCACTGGCGAGGTTTAATTACAGGGGACGAATGTGCCGAACAGTGCAGCGCAGGCGGGCTTGAACTAGTCCCTGACCTCTCTAGCCTGAGCTTGCTCTTTGCCCTTCTCTTCCATTCTTTTCTCCTGCTGTTCCACAGTGCAATACTGCTGTGGTGTGCTGCTGGACTACTGACAAAACAGGCGAGGAAGCACACGCCAACTGATCCTTAAGGTAAAGTCAAGATTCCGTCACTGTGTCTCGGAACGGAACAGCAGGAACGGTACAGCAGGAGGCATAGCAGGGCATCGGGTCTTGATTTACCTATCACTTGTAGTAGGTAACTTAGGGTGACGATTGGCCCTGTGATATCAACCAGCAGACGCTCTCACGAATATCCAATGCAGATCCAGGAGAGATAGGTACAACTCATTGCAAGTCTCTTGACAACAAATGGCCATATTCCGCCTCTTCCCTTTCCTTTTTTTTTTCTCTAGCTCCCCTCCAATATCCGTCTCAAATGCCATCATCCAACACAGGCAACCCGCGGCGTGGTAGCTAGGGTAGGAAGCGTAACCAGCGCCTGCAACTAGCACCGCGGCACAGAATGTCAACATCCCCAAGCCTCGGAGTATTTCAACAAACGGCCGGCGCAGCACAAAAAAAGCACCACCCAATAATCTCGGGGGGACTTGTACGGGAGGTATTTTCTGTACAAAAAGTGTGGTTACATAGCCGGTCGAATGCAACGGTTTTCATTCCCATTCTCGAAGAACGTGAAACGTCCTAATCGAGCTATTTTGAAGGAAGGGTACTGTACTGTAGCATTTTCATCAACCAGTGTTGCATTCGGTTACGCCTATTATTATCATCGTGGGGAATGTGAAGGTATCTTTCAGGTATCGTGGGGAGGAGTTCTGTAAGGTAAGGTGGGAGGGAGCTCATGCAGGGTTGACAGGCCATGCACATGCACACCACGAGCTTCCATTCTGCAGCAGCCCCTCTCTCCCCTCTTACCCCAAAGCTGCATCTTCACTGCACCGCGTCTATCCATCAGGCACCGCAATCCTTTGCACCAAAGAAAACAACAACACCACCGCCCAAAAAAATCACCCAAGCAAGCTTTAAGCCAAAACACGTTCAGATCTCATCCAGTCCACTACTTCGCCATAACGCCATCTCATCTCATCAGAAACGACAACCCGCAACCCAATGAACAACACGATTCAAACCCCAAAAATGTCCCAAATCCCATCCAAGCCATCCCAAGCCCACCATCTCCCATCTCCATCCCAACCATTAGGATAGCTCCTCCCCTATTATTCCCCGGGACTCATCCACCACTACCTTATCCATCTGAATCCCACCGTCCCATCATCATCACTACCACTCCAACCTTAAGGTAACTAATCCAATCCAATCCAACCCTCATTATCCCCTAGCGCTCTCCCAATCCCGATCCCAATCCTACAGTATTCCCACTAAAAGTCCAGTCCAGTGTTCACACGGCAAACCAAACCAAACCGCACCGCACCCTACCCTAAGAGCCGGTAGTCCAGTCCCATCCCATCCCATCCCAAATAATCCACCTAACCTAACCTAACCGAGCTAACCTAACCTAACCAACCCATCCCAACCCAGCGCTACTCCCGACTCAAAAAAGCGATCCCCAAATCCACCCAACCCAACCCAACCCAACCCAAGCCCTCAAAGTCTAAAACCTCCCCAAATCCATCAAACTACCTTAACCACCCCAAAAAAGGGTCGAGATCGCCGCCCCCATCGCGCCAATTCCCAATTTCCAATTCTCTACCTCCTCCCTGAGTAGTAGTCTCCACGCCGTCATTGTACCGTGCCGCCGCCCGCCCGCTGCAGAATCTAAGCGCTCCCTCTTTTTTATTTATTTATTTATTTATTTATTTATTTATTTATTTATTTATTTATTTATTTATTTATTTATTTATTTATTTATTTATTTATTTATTTATTTATTTATTTATTTATTTATTTATTTATTTATTTATTTATTTATTTATTTATTTATTTATTTCCGCATTTTGCATCCATACATACAGTACAGGAGAATGGTTAGTTAGTTAGTTAGTTAGCTGTACTGTACTGTATGAAAGACAAGTGTGAACTCAAAAAAAGTTCCCAAACAATCCCAATCTGAAGGGTAGCAAGGCAAGCAAGCCTCGCGTGGGGAAGATCATACAACAAAGCCGTGCCGGCTAGCTGGCTGTTGCTTGAATAAGTCCCGCTGGGAGAGTTTGATTACTACTGTACTGTACTGTGTGAATAATACACTTTAGGTCTGGGTTTGGGTTTGGGTTTTGGGGGAAGAGGAATAAGTGTATCCGGCGGGAAAGTTTATCTAGGTATGGTGTGATATGAGTGTGAGTTTGAGTGTGAATGTGAGATGAGGTGATCATTGATGTGATGTGATGTGATATGTTTTTGCTTATTTTCATATTCTGTCCTGTCCTGTCCTGTCCTGTTCTTTCTGTTTATCTCTTACTCTCTTTTCCATTGATTCATCAAGTTGGAGAGCCTACTTACATATGACTACGTGAGGTATTGAATCTAGTGATAAACATCAAAGGCGTGAGGATTCCCTTCCCCTTACAAAGAATCCCAGTATCAACTCACTCTGCAGTACGCACAAACGCACAAACAAGTAGATTTTACCTAGATGTCCCAATTAGTCCTCCTCCTCTACCTACCCATTGCACTATCGCAATCACTATCACCATCGCCATCACTCACCATCGCCATCGAAAAAAAGCAAAACCGCCAAAAAAAACAAAATAAGCAGAAAAAGAAAAACCCTGACGATCTTATGCTTATCACATAATCTGATATCACTCACTCACTCTAATCACCACCCTTGATCCCTCCCCTCCCCTTCCCTCCCCTCCTTTACCCCACCATCTACCTATCTCACCATGTCACCAAACCAAACTCACGAGTAGTTCACGATCTCACCTCACCGTCGCATCAAACCGAGGAAGAAACTAAATTTACAGTACGTACAGAAATAGTGCGCAGTGCGAATCGAATCGAATCGAATCCTACCTTCCCACGCGGCGAGCCAGAATAATAATCTCTTTTGGCTTCTGATCACGATCGATCCCCAATAATAACGACCAGGTAGGAAATTCGCCCATCCATCCGCTTCTCTCCTAGATCCCCGGAGAGAACCGAAGGTAGGTAGCCCGCCTTCAGCCCCCAAAAGCTCCAAAGCTCCAAAGCTCAAAGCTCCAAAGTATTATATCCTCGCATCTCTTTCCTTTCTGTCTTTCTACCTTTCTTTTCTTTTCTTTTCTTTTCTTTTGTGTCGGCGCGCGGAAGAAGCGCTATCGTGCCTTGAAATTTAATCTACCGACTTCTCACTCACCCGATGGATGGATGAATGGATGGGTATCGTGATATTTTCAGAAGCGAGTGTGGCATCCACGCGCGTCATACCTTATGTCTCTCCTTACCATCGACTCAACCAGCCACGTCCGGCTGGAAATTGCAGCGAAAATTGCGTGTGTAATTTCATCTGAAGGAAGCACTGGAAGGGATGGAAGGAAGGAAGGAAGGAAGGAAGGAAGGAAGCAGATAGTTAGCAACGTGTAATTTAGGTAACAGGAAAATGAGGTCAGTGGTTGACAGTGTTTTGATTTCGGGTTGCAACTGCAACCAACCAACAGGAACGCAGATCTTCATCTACATCTCTCTGAGATGAGATAGCTGGTTGGTTGGTGGTGGGGTACCGAATCAAAATATCCAGCGCCTCGCTTCCCCCCCCCCCCCCCCACCCCCTTTTCTTTTCTCCCCGTTCTTCAGCCCTAGCTTCAAGATCAGGAGATCCAGATCTCTGTTCGAGAAGAAATAATTCAAGATCTCAGTCACCAATTAAGTGCACTATCTGTGCTATATCAGTCTCATTATCACAACATCGTTATCTGGACCCCTCATCTCCATTATCGCCCTCGGCCCCTCTGTCAGCATCGTCATCTCACAATTCCAAGCGAGAACCCCGTGAATCTCTTGATGGCGCGCGAGGTGCAGTGCTTTTCCAGAATACCCCACCGCCCCTCCCCTTCTCTCCGTGCTCGATACCTACCCCTGGACAAACGCCGTGCAGCCTCAAGCCATACCTAGGCCGCCGTCGCTGAAATAGAAATTCCGGCCGGGCTTCCTCGCTACAATAATGTACTTAAGTACCTATGAGGCTTCGAGTCCAGACCGCTCGCTCAGTCAGCTCCAGGCTTGTCTCTCCACTGAAAACACGCCAGGCTTGAAGCCTCCTCAGAGACAACCACACGATCTCCACCATCCTCACGATACCCACTAACAACAACAACGTTTTCCATCGCGTTATTTATACTTCGATCAAGCTCCGCGTCTGTCCTTACTTTTTGTTTGTTTGGAAATAGAGTAAACAATTCCAAGCACACATTCCATCTGAGAAATGTCCACATTCCCACGTCCAGCTAAATTTACAGCTGTGAGTGGGAAGTAGACACACCAACCAATCCCCTTCCTCATTCCTCCCCTCCATCACACGCGGCACGGCACGCACCACCCTTCCCTTCCCTTCCCTTCCCTTCCCTTTATTTGTTTATTTCACCACACCCTCAGCATCAGCACGCCGTCAAGAGCACAGACAAGAGGCTGCCACGTTCACGTTACTCTACATTAAAAATGTACGTGAAGTCTGGTAAGCATCAACGAACTGATCGATAGGAAGGGCGATTATCGATAAACCCCGCCCTGAGCGACATATCACCGTCATACATTCATTACTTTTCACTTTATCCTCCTCTC